TAACTGAGCATGTACGTGCGTCACCGCTCGATGCTCTGGAGAGTGATGATGCTTGTTGTAATCCATACAGCGCCCTCTGCTGGTGAAAGAGAACTGCTAGTGTGATACAGTGAAACTTAAATGAAATGATATGTGACTGGTGAACATATCGAGTAATATCGGCGTATATCTGTGATAAAATTAGCAGACACTGATAGAGACTAGCTAATAATGGCTGAATAATCAGTCGGGCTCTCCGAGAAAAACAAAGACACAAATGACAAATTAAAACAGGAAATCACATCTAAGCAACATCACCATGTAACAAACAGGGACAACTTCTTTTGCATTAAATAAATTGGATTCACAGGCACAAATAATCGACGTGATGAGGGACGACCTGTGAGGGAACCAAAGAACGGACTTCTCATCCTGACATCAAATATTGTTTTTGAAGTTTTTTTGTGAGTTTTGCCAACTGAAGAGAGACAGGAAGTGTTAGGAGGAGAGAGTGGGGGAGAACATGCAGCGAAGAGCCGAGGTCAGATTCAAACCCACAGCCGCTGCATAACGGCTAGGCTATCGGCGCCCCTCAAATATTGTGTTAGCTTTGGGACAGCAGAGAGTAATGCTGATACAATCGCTAGCTACTGTCAACTAGCTAACGTTAACTAGCTAATGACAGCTAGCTAACATTAGCGAATTAGAACGAACTGATGCTTGGATGATGGTTCTTGTTTTTGCCCTTCACGTCCCAAACAGCAGAGTAATTGACCCAAACACTTCTAAAGGTTTGCTAACCTGAGACAGTTGACCTACAGGATGTGACCTCTTAATTAAAACTCTGAACAGAGATCAGGATTGAATGTCTCAGTTGGACTCTTTGTGCTTATCAGTCTGATTTATCTTTAGCCCTAACCCTAAAGTGAAACCATGAAGCCTTTTCTTCTTAATCCTTCATTTAAAAAAGACGATAATAAAACGGAGCAGCTGATAACTGAAGACCTGTCTGAGTTTTTCCCTGTTCGCATTTACCCTGGTGTAACCGCTGCTTCAACATTTTATAACCACTCTCTGTCTGCATGACTGATCACACAAAATCTGAATCACGTTTTTGAGTGTTGTCGGTCTTATGAAACAAGCTGTGCTTCCACAGATGACATAAGACTTCAGATTAAAATCACATTATTGTTTCTAGCCCTGACAAGTCCTGACAGAGAGCACGGAGCAGGTTCAGGCTTCAGTTAAGTGACACCAAACATCAAGGGGAGAGGCGGCACACAATACAACACACAGGTTAGAGAAAAAAGTGAAAATAAAGAGGGAGATCAAATCTTTTCCTGACCAAATGAAAACATGTTGAAACTGTGTGAGAGTAGACGTTAGGCCTGCACAAATATGGGATGTAAATTCATGCAAATGACTCAGTGTGTGACTGCAGGTCGAGGAGAAGCTATACAATCTACCTTTGTGTTGTTGTGTTGTTGGCATGGACTCGCTTTACTCTGCATTATAAAAGAGTAAAGATAACATTTTTCAGTGTAAGAACAGAAACCACTGCAGAACGGCTCTGAATTCTAGTTTATCCTCAAATGTTCCGACTTCTCAGTTGATTTATTCCCTCAGTAAACATTTTCCTAACGAGTTTACAATCTGTAGTTTCAAGTCTTCTTCAACACAGCATGATGTTCGTTTAGTAAGTTATGCTAGTCCTTTTGTACACATGCACTGCACTCATCAAAATGATCGAGGTAAGCTGCATGTGTGAAACAAGTGAAAAATGAAGCCGATGCTGAAGTGTAAAATCTTGCAGTTCCTCGAGTGTCCACTAGAGGCTGGCTGCAGAAACACAGGAAGTCACATACACACCCATTCTAAAAAGCTTGTTTTTACAGCAGAGATTAACATGTTTACAGCCTGGTTCAAAAAAACAAATAGTTCTGATTAGCTCAGTTTTGATTTGATGAAGGATAAGAATTATTCACAATAAGGCGCGTAGCTGACCTGATTGACAGGTGGAAATATTCTGTAAAATTCACCGGGAGACAGTTAGCGACGCGACGGGTGGAGATCTTGATGTTTAAATCCTGCGCCTGCTGCTCGACCAGTTTGATCTTCCTGCACGTCAAATGCAGCATGTATACTCTTCTACTTGTTTGCTGATAGAGTGACTACGTCTAGTTACATGTTGCACATTTGTGAATAAGCGACTCAGGAAGATTTCAGCGACAGACTTAAGCAACAGTTTAATAGACCATAAAGTAGCGGAGGATTTGGGGGCGGGGCTACCTCTTATTGATAAGTGGCTACTATGGAAACCTGTAAAATGTCTTGATCAGCGCTCACTTTTACCTGGATAAATTTTAAATTTCCTCATCTGCAAAGGTGTAAAACTCAAGGCTCCTTCCTTTGAACACACAATCAGCTGGACGGCTTGATAAAAGCTCTTTCATGAACACTAACAACCTTGACGATGATGACGATGGTTTTGATAAAAGTGTCTGATTAATGATTTGTAGAATTCTAGATACATTTCTAAGGAAGAAATGGTCTGATTTGATAAGAGAATGGTTTGTAGAGATCTGCGTCAGTGGAGAGACACACTGTGAAACATGTCCATGAAACTCTATGAAAGAACCCTGACGGAGCTTTAAAGAGCTCAGTGTCTTCTTTTCATATCTTTGAGGAGTAATCACTTTAATGTGAGGACATTAAAAGGAACTGATCTGAGGAGAGACTTTTTTTATTTAAAGCCTTGAAAGGTCAACGATGAAATCCCTCACTATATCATTAAAATTATATTTTATTTACAAGATTTGGAGACACAGTTATGTCATCGGAGAGATCTGAAAGGTTGATCTGTTAACACGAGAGATCAGCTGCTTCCTGAATTCATCCGCAGATGACCGAGATAACAGTTGAAACTTTTTAAACACGTTTTACATTCTTTATTTTACAGGGTGCTTTTAAAGAAACTGCTGAGATATTTCTCTGGAACATTTACGATACCGAGACGGCTTTTTAAGCGTCTGCAATCGACCCGCATGCTGCTCTTGTAAAAGCCGGATTTAAATAAATAAAATAAACATTTTACAAACAACATACAAAATAAAAACTAGGGCCCGACCGATATGGGAAAACATATACAAAAATACCAAACTGTTATAACGTTGGTCGTCACTAGAGATGCTTCTACAAACAGAGAGATAATAGTTCTGGTAGAGGCAGAGCTCGAGCACAGGCAACACTAATGTGCACTCAGAGTGATTCTGTGGTCCAAGAGCCGCGATGAGATGTTTCCTGTTTGTAACGTCTCCACCACTAACCCTAACCAACAACAGCTTTCTACACAGCAACGGTTACACGCAGTTAGTTCCTCAGTCTGCAGGATGCAAAGCAGTTAGTACACAGAGCACAGTCGTAGTGGATTCAGCTCTTAATACGACCACTGCTCAGTCCAGCTTTGATAAAAAAAAAAAAAACAACAAGCCGCTGATTCTACACGGTGACCTGTGAGTGTCCAGGTTGTCCCGGCTCACAGGCTGATAATCTGGTTTGAACTGATCGGTGTGATGTTTGCAGAGGAAGGTGTGGTTATTTGAATTAATAAGAGCAAACACAGCAGATCACTGTGTGTAAAGGCTTTGAACCACCGTGTAGCAGCAGCTGCAGATTTTTGTATCCGACCTGTCCTACTGTTGAAATGAAAGAAGTATTCCACCAATTTAACACATCCAGCTCGGTTTAATGTATAATGTGTAATAGTGTATAAGTGTATAAAGTCAGAAGTGAAATGTCTGCTAGGGTGCTTGAGAGACTTTGTCTTGTCTACGAAAAAAAAAAATGCAGTTCCTCCAGTGTCCACTAGAGTCTGTCTCCTGCAGTGAGTCAGTCCCCATAGAGCCCCATGTTAAAATGTTCAACTTTACAGATGCAGTTCCTCCAGTGTCCACTAGAATCTGTCTCCTGCCTAAATGGCTTGGTCTTGTCTCGGTCTTGCCCTTGATCTTGGTCTTGATATTGGTCTTGGTCCTGGTCTTGGTCTTGGTCCTGGTCTTGGTCTTGTCTCGGACTTTGAGCACTCTGGTCTCGGGTATGTCTTGGTCTCGGTAAGTGTGTTCCTGACTACAACATGCTGCTTTCAACACATGCAGCGATTTGACATTTATTAAAATGAGGACTGTAAATCATTACCATTGCATGATACAGCAGGATTTGTTAAGTCTGGCTTGACAGAATCACACAATGATGCGTCACGATTGGATGACTCATCCCACATGGTTCATCATGATGTGATGAATCATCACACATCCGATCCTGATGATCTCACTAGAGAAGCTGTTGTTTTTTATTCCTCCTACAGTGAAATCCATTTGCTTAGCTGCTAAACGTGCTAATGCTAACAGACATGCTAGCAGTAGATTTGAGTTCTCAGGACTCGTATGTTTGGTTGCTATGTCCCGTCAGCATGCTGGCGGTATTGTATTCAAACATTGTCAGTAAAGGCTGGTTGATATTTCTTTGCACACACAGATGCAGAGACTGAAGGTGTGGACGGTGTCATGTTCCTGTCTGTGCAGTCTCTTTAATAATACATGCAGACTTTAAAGGGGGTGTGGGAGCAGCTCTGTGCAGAGGTTTAGTGGGTCGGCCTCGGGGTCTAATGGCCCACATACCTGTTTGACAACAGACACAGAGAGACCTAAATACGGGAGAATGTGCAGCTGTCATGAAACGCACAGTTAGTTTAGATGTCATCGTGTTAGCATGTACAGACTGCAGACACGGCCAAGAGGTCAATTTACTCTTTTGGTTTTATAAATAATGACACACTAGTTAACAGATTTGATGGTAGGGGTCTGTAGACTGAAGAAAAACATATTAAAGGTCACATATACTACTTGGGCTTTCTAGCATCAAGAGGCTTAACATCCCAATCTGCCATTTGTATAGAATTAATAAGAATTTGTCATATATCAAGCTAGCATTAGTGTTTACTTATAACTAACCCTATATTAGTTTCAGATCCCCCCTCTGGTTCAGATGTGGTCCCTATTGGTCCTAGTTATTCATAAGTCCACTGATCAGTTTAAAGATATCAGATTATCTGTTAAACCTGTTTTTCAGATATCTTGAAAAACAGGTTTTTCAAAACAAAACAAAAAGATGACCAGATAGGAGTGGTGCGGAAGTGTATTTTATTCAAGAGGAAATACAAATATGAATTTTAAGGAGTAAGGACCATGGTGACCATTAATATGAACCTCTCTCTCTCTCTCTCTCTCTCTCTCTCTCCCTCTCTCTCTCTGCAGGATTAAGGCGATTGAAAGTGCGACCAAAGAGGACGACACTAAGTGGCTCACGTACTGGGTGGTGTACGGACTCTTCAGCGTGGCCGAGTTCTTCGCTGACATCTTCCTCTCCTGGTTCCCCTTCTACTATATTGGAAAGGTAAACAGCCAACAGAGTCTGTGTGTGTCTGTCTGTCAGTCAGTGTGTCAGCATAGGCCTTACCTGTGATCCCTCCCTCCCTCAGTGTGTGTGTGTGTGTGTGTGTGTGTGTGTGTGTGTTTCCTCTCCTTTCAGTGTGTAGAGGGTGGAGCTCGCTGTACTGATGATAAATGATATCTGAGTGCTGAGAGCTTCTGCAGCAGGTTCACCAGCTGTTAGTGATTCAGGGAGTTTGTGTTTGCTTTCAGGGATGTGTAGTTTGTGTGAGAGTCTGAACCCTCAGTCAAGACTGGCAGGCAAGAAGATAGATAGAGAGGGAGAGAGAGAGAGAGAGAGAGAGCGAGAGAGAGAGAGAGAAAGAAAGATGGAGTCTGCCTGAAGACACTTTGTATTTTCTTGAATGTATTCATGTTGTTGTAATCCTGACTAATGAGCACCCTCACTCTCTGCGGGCGTCTGTAAACCTGCAACAGGCTGTGTTCAAAGCTACAGCTGTGTTAATGACGCTCAGGAAAAATGTAGATTAGTGTGTTCAAAGGCATAACTTTTGAACAAGGACACAGGACAAAAGATATTTTCAAACTTGCACTCCTCCTACACATTTCAGTCTGAAATGTTGAGGGCGGACTCCAGGAAGGCGTATGTGTAGAGACACCAGCAGCTCCTGCAACATTCAAACATACAAATGAAGTTCACTGATTCTTCTAAAAATCACGAAATCTGGAGAAACAAACAATAAAAAGGTCGAACAAGTTGTTTGGAAGAAAAAATTTATGGAAAAATCACCAATAATATGACAATTGAAAACTGAAGCTTATCATCTAGCCGTTTTCACACATGTATGCCTGAACATTTCTAGAAGATTTCTTCAGCCCTGAAATCATGTTTTGTCACACATGCTCCTCACGGCGGGGACTCACCCTGTCGGACGGAAGAGATGGGGGGGGGGGTCTCTGAGGTAACACATAAAAGACACTCCAAGAAAGAAGAAACAGAGTCCAACGCTAGAATGAGAATTTGAGCTTTTTAATGCTGTGAGCAGTTCCATTTATTCACGATCAGCATACTGGAGAACAGAAAACAAAATTAAACAGTCTCATTTGAGTACGGAGATCACACCAGTTGTGTTCATTCAGTCGATTTCTGTGCACCAGTTGCAGGATAAACGTCCTCACTCTCTCCTCTTCCTGAATATTTCCTGCTTTGTCCTAACATCAGCTCGACCCAACTTCATAGGGTGAAAATCTCACAGGGTGGCCGGCAGAAAAAATTCAGCTTAAGTCAGAGTGATCATTTTTGCGTTCACACGTGCAGCTCACCCTGAACGCTCCAGGAAGGAAGAGTAGGAGGAAGAAGAGTTTTGTTTAAGTTTGTAAGCATCATGATTATGAGAGAATCTGAAGCATAAAACAACAACATATAAAAACCCTGCAGAGCTGATGAAGTGGAAACAGGTGAGCAGGTGGGAGAGATGGGAAGGTGTGCTGCCACCTACTGGATGCACTTACTGCCACTTACACGTTCATCTACTCAGTGTGTTTACTGTATACACACGTCCGTGACTTCACTCTGCTCATGCTGGGCCATTCTCTCTGATCTCTTCATTTCATGTAAAGCTTCTCATTTGTTTCAAATTTGGAACTGAAGAACATGACGTTCATTGAGCCGTGTTCCTGTTGTAGGATCTGCTTTGGTGTTATTTTTGGGTCAGTTGTGCACCGCTGTGGTTTTACACAAGAAGGAACCTGTTTACCTAAACATAGAGACACACCCACTGAGTGTCAGTGCTTCCATAGCGACGAAAATGTTATCAATATAAACAATATGAATATTGTACAATAGTAAGAGATGTGAAGATTGGTCAGAAGTGTTGTGAGGCTGCAGAGAGAGACTGAGGGGAACACCTGTTTGAATCTGAGTGTGCATGTTGGTGAAGAGTCACCTGTGCAGGTGTGTGACCGAGCTAATTATAGCAGTAATGTGAACGTCTTTGAGCTCAGTTTAATACGTCTGCAGTCAAGTAATTTTGAAAGTGTGAGTGTAAATAATTAAAGCACCTTTGCTCCACATTAAGATGTTAAATCTCTCAAACAAAGAGAGACTGAGACTACATGATGTCCTGTGTCAGGTTCTGATGACGTTTCTCTATGTGTTCTTCGTCCTCAGTGTGCCTTCCTCGTGTGGTGCATGGCTCCCACTCCCTCCAACGGATCGGATAAGATTTACAACCGCATCATCCGGCCGTTTTTCCTCAAGAACGAAGGCAAGATCGACGACGCCATGAAGAACATCAAGGACAAGGCGACAGAAGCTGCCGACAAGTTCAAAGATGAGGGTGAGAAACTGCAAATGTATTTTTCCTGTAAAGACAGTCTGAACAGGACTGGACTCTTTTAATCAAAGTAGAAATGTTTTAAGTACTTCAAAGGAGCAATATGTAACTCTGACCCCAAGTGTTTAAAGTGGGTACTGCAGTCTAAATCCTAAACATTGTATAGAGCTGTCTCCCCCCCTCCTCTCTAGAGTCCATGCTCACGCAGGTCACCATGTGGTGGACACTGAAGCTTCAGTGTTTATCCAGCTCTGCATCGGTCTGTAAACCTTTCTGTGTTCTAACCTCTCTCCATTTTTCAAAAGCATCTCCAATATTGATCCTAGTTTGAGCACGTTTCTGCTCGTGGAGCTTATTAGAAACATGCAGAGGCTTTTTAGGTCAGGTACAATCACTTCTATCTGAACCACTTCTCTTGCCCGCTTCCATCACTACAACACCTGTTGGTTTGACCTGATAACTGCTCTCATATCTGGCAAACCGAGGGGCGTCCAAAACGGCCGTGTGGGGGTGTCTTAAAACCGCCTACCTTCTCTGGTCCAAACAAATCCAGTGTTTCATTAATGTCTGATCATATAGTAAGGTCACTTTATCATTTCATTCACTACAGAACTTACTGATTGGACCTTTAATATGAGCAAAAATAAGTGATGTAATTAAGAAAAGGTGGGGGGGGGGGTTGAAAATAAACAGCTCTAAATAAAATGACATTTTGTCCCTTCAGTGTAGTGAGCCCTGACTTTAGCCTGATAACATGTAACTGAAAAGTGATTTTCTTTCTGACATTGTGTGTGTGTGTCTCCACAGCAAAGAAAGCCACAGCGAACATCATGTTCGAGGAGAAGAAAAGCTCGTAAGGAGGAGACGTGGCGTCTGCAGTGAGGTCCTCTGGAGCCGATTCTGTTACAGATCTAATGTTGCCTTTAATGCTCGTTTTTAAGATCGTATGTTCAGTACGTGTAGCCTTTCACCTGTATCTATATTAAAGCCATTCTCCGGGTCAGTTCACTTATTTAAGGTCGCCCTCTGGAGGGCTGAGAGATATCTGTACGCTGGTCCTGAGACACTTCATGAACCAAATAAAAACTAACTGGCTGAAGATGGGTTGTGTTTTCTTTGTCTGCAAACTGAAGTTAAGCTTCTCTGAAAAATGACACAACAGGTTCATTTTAAGATTTTCTTTCTTAGCTCCCTGAACTGTTAACTCCAGAAGTGCTAAAGGTTTTAATCCAAACAGGAAGAACAGGCTCTACATCAGCGTGTTTCATCCCTCCAGGTGAAATATCTCAAACTGTAAAGAACGTTTTCCCCTGCCGAGGATTTAAAAACGAGTTACACCATGTAGGAAATTTCTTTGTTCAAAGCTCACAGGTGCGTGACACTGACGACCTCCAGATCTACTAAACCTGTGCTTCTCAACGGGTCTATCCTCAGGACCGACGACCAACTCCTTAATGACAATATCTGAACCCTCATTTCTAACGTTTCAACCAATCAGATTTATGTAATTAAAAATGGTGCTGTTTGGACCTCATACAGGACAAAACTATTGACAGAAACATGTTTTTAAGAGCGCTTCAAAGACTTTTTGACACCATTTTTTTCCTGATGCCTGTGTGTCCCTGACAAATAAACTGATGAATAAATAATTCTGAGTTAGAAGTCACTGAAGCGATCCTTCCTGATTAAATCAAATCAACTGTAATCCAGTTGGAGCGTTGTACTCGTTGGCCTTTGAAAACTGCCCTGCGGTTTCTGTGCTTTTTTTTTTTTTTTTTAAAGGTCACATATTCTCGTCTTCAACCAGTTTAAATAAGTCTCAGAGCTCCTCAAAAACGTGTCTGTGTAGTTTCTTGTTCTAAATCCACTCTGATCCTGTATTTGATCATGTCTATAAACCCCTCTATTTCAGCCCTGCTCAGAACAGGCTGTTTCTGTGTCTGTACCTTTAAATGTAAATGAGCTGTGTGTGACCACACCCCCTCTCTGGAAGGGCTATGGTGTCTGAGGCTTTCTCGCTCCATGTCCTATTGTTTACAGTGAGAAGACAGACTCAGAGGGCAGAACAAACACCTAGCTGTGGGAGTGTCACCCACCTGGGGGAGGGGTTACTGCCCTTTGTGATGTCATGAAGGGAAAATCTCCAAACGGCCTGTTTGAGTACACATTTTCTGAAAAGTGGAGCAGGCAAAAGACGAAGAGGATGGACTTGTAGACAGACTAGGGACACACTAGTGTTAGAGAAACATGGTGAAGTGGATTTTACAGAATATGTGACATGTTGAAAGCAAACGAAGATTAGCATCATATGCAACATCGCAGGAGAACTGTGCTAACAAAGCCATCTCTCATGTTAGCATTTAGCTTAGCATAAACTGCAGCTCCGCCCTCTCGACCCGTCTGTTTACGAAAACAAAACGAGGTGGTGGTGACGTCATGCTGAATAACGAGACACTTTGTGTAAGAGAGTTGGTACGAGTGAGTACAGTGATTGATTTTAATGGCTTCATAAACAACTATATAAAACAGTTCATAAAAATTCATGCACTTTCAGTGTAAATTCATTTTCAAATATAGAGGAAATTTATGTACAACAGTGTGAACCGTAACAGTGACTTCATTTAGTTGGGCTGGTTCACCACAAATATACTTGGCTGCATAGAAACATTGACATTATTATTGCCTACGTAGAAAACAAAACTAAAAGGTAAGAGGAAGGAAAAAGAAGTCAGAAGTCTAACTGTTTAAGATCTAACAGGCGCTTCTACGGAGAGAAAACAAGACAGTGATTTCAAAAAGTCCGCTCCTTTCAGCTCACTGATTCAAGAGACGAAAGAACTAAGCACTAGTGAGAAAAACTGAGTAAGAACTTTCCCTTTACCAAAAGTTACATTCTGAAAGCATTAAACGAAAGAACTATTGTACAGAAACTCACTCGGAGAACAACGAAAAAAGCCTGAGTCGATGGGGAAAAGTAGAGTCATAATAAATCCCAAAAGCCTGAGGAGAAAAGACCACTGATTTACTATTTTACAAAAATTTACAACAGCATTATTGAAGGAAAAAAAAACATGATACAAGTTGCTCTAAAAAAAAGAATCCAGGTTATTTTTTTTTACATCTAAGATATGTTATTAAATAATTCACACCAGGTGGAAACAGAAAACCTGCCGAGGAACTGAGAAATGCTGTAAATGAGGTACTTCAGGTGGCTTCACCGCAACATCCACCTGCTCTGTGATTCTTGCGACGTCTCATCGAGTTAACACTTAAATAAGAAGCATGATTGAGAGACAGACGGACAGACGAACATAGAGAAACAGTCAGACAGGATCCAGTGTCGTGGGTTGGCGGGAATATGAGGCAGCACTCAGGGTCGACCGTGTACAGAGTTTAAAAAAAAGTTTATAAAAATAACAAAAATCCCAGCTGCGTGCTGTGGAGCCGCCGTCGCAGCGTTAAACTCTTAAATAGAAAAATAGGATTCTTTAATCTGCTGCCTGGGTGGAGCCGCTCCCCGGCGCTCGTCCTGCAGGTTCCCGAGGTGATGTCAGCTGCAGAGGGGGAGGAGCCGCGCTGATGTGACGGCTGCTCGCTGCTTCAGACAGCTGCAGGTTCAGTCCCTGTAAGGCATCTCGCTGTGTGTCAGTCTATGGCTGCTACGTGCAGACCCCGCAGCTCCTGCTATGTCTTGCGGCTGCTCCAGATCTGCTCCGGCGTGCTCTTGTGGTCCGACGAGTAGTCGAAGGGCGAGCGGTGACCCAGTGGGGAGCGGGAGTCGTAAGGGGAGCGCTGGTCTCGGGGGGAGCGCGGCCCGCTGGCCGAGGCTCGCTGTTCGTTCTGCCAGTCTGAGTGGTATCTGTAGGAGGAGCGGTGGTCTGAGTGGGAATGATCCTTCAAGTCTGGCCGGTGGTCTCTGCCAGAGCGGAAATCCTCCAGCTTCCTGTGCTTGCTGTCGTTGTAGTATCTGCACACACAAAATAAAACAAATATGACTGAGGTGGGGTTTTTTATGTGCAATATGAGTAATAAGCAATATTTTAAAAATAACTCAAATGACTCCTTCACACAGGCAGAATATGGAGAAAGTACTGGAGCACATGTGCAGAGGACTAACCTTTTGAAATATTAAAATGGGCGCGGTGTGAACATTTCGGAGAGTTCTACCTGCCCCTCTTTCTCTGGTGGAGTTTTTTTTTTATATTCATTTGGTAAATGTTTCTTTATTGGTACCTAGAAGTTGAAAATGGCGCTGGCGTTGTCAGCTCTTGGTCTTTTAGTGGAAAAAGAAAAGAAGAGGCGGAGGAGACAAATAAGGAGAAACCGCAATAATGGGTGAAAGCATGGATACTACAGCGGCATGCTCAAGGGGATTTCCTGAACCTGAGAGAGCTGGAGAGAAATGAAACCTCTGAACAGCCAATCAGAGAGAATCCTCTCACCAACCACCGCCAAAAAAAAAGCAGACGGGGGCCGACGGGTAGCGACTGGGCCAAACACAGGGCAACGACTGGTCACCGACGACCGGTCAACGACGGCCGACGATGTCCTTGGTGTGTCAGGGCCTTAAGACAGACACCCACTGTAAAGGTTTAAACATCCCGGCATGGCTAAAGTGCCTCATCTTGTGCTTGCTTTGTTAAGCAGTGATATAGCTGCAGGTACAAAAGTGTTTCTGTAGCGTTTTGTTCTCACCTTAGGAGCAACAAACCGACCGATGGAGCAGAGAAGCCAAAGTCTCCATTCAGAGGAAGAGAACATTCATGCAGAATAGAGCTTGCTTTACGCTGCAGCTGTGAAGAATTTGTTCCTCAAAATGTCCTCGGGTCACAAAGAAGGTGCTCAATGTGTTCTATATTTTTACTCAATCCTACACACTCCTTTCTGCTACGCCAAATACTCAATAAAAGATCCATTGTGGAGTCACACACAACTGAAAAATACACAATCATCTCTCAGGCTGTTTTATAAAGTTCCTCTTCCTTTAAACTGTTTTTAATAAATATGTGAGGTGTTTAAAGATTTATGTTGTCAGAGCAAGTTAAAGAAAACATACAGAAATACAAATGTAAGACTTTCTGACTCGTTCTTGATGTGAGTGTTGTCAGAGAGTTTACTTGGACATAAAAAAACGACGCTGTTACATTCAAAGGTGAGAGCAGGATTAAATGTGATGTGCTGACCCTCACCTGTCCTGTCTGTCTCTGTCCCGGCTGTCCTGTCTGTCTCTGTCCCGACTGTCCTGTCTGTCTCTGTCCCGACTGTCCTGTCTGTCTCTGTCCCGACTGTCCTGTCTGTCTCTGTCCCGGCTGTCCGGTCTGTAGTGGTCTCTGTCTCTGTGGTCTTTTCCGTTGCTGAAGGAGGAGTACGGCCTCTTCCTGGACTCTCCTCCTCCTCCCGACGTCTTCCTGTGAGACTCCGTGGAGTGTCTCTCCTTGCTGCCGCTGCTCTCGTGGTGTCGACCTGACGGCTGATGTCGGTCCGAGCTGCAGCTGTCTCTGCTGCTCTCGTCCTGGTGAGAGTTGTCCTTGAGCCTCTCGATGTCTGAGGACAAAGACAAGAACTGAATCAGAGCGAACTCTCTCTCATACTTAATGTCGTTACATCGTTAAGGCAGAGGGAGACTGAGCGTACCTGCGTTTTTGTAACCGTGTGTGTTCTGACTTCTAGTGTTCTGCTCCATGGCCTGGGCGTTCTCTTGCCTCTTCTTGATCGCATGTTTGTACAGTTTGTGAAGCTTTCTGGCGTCAAACTCGGTGAACTTGGAGACAAAAATCCACAGATTTCTGGAAGGGACGAATAAACAGAAATAAGAAAACAGGAATCTAACTGAGACACAGAGAGGTTTGATGTGTGTTGACAATAATATGACACAAAACTACAATCACTATGAGTTCTTCTTAAAGATGATAAATTATTTAATCTGTAAATTTGATGAATATCCTGCAATGAAAGAAACCTGAAGTTTACGTAGTGATACGTAGATTCTGCCAGCAGGGGGCTCTCAATCAATATCACGATATCAAAAGATGACGACAAGGCTAGCAGCTAGTTGCTAAGTTAACTTTAACAAAGAATAAAGCTGCTAATGTTTTCTCTGTAGGTCTTCTTGACACCGAGGAGTTGAGGAGGGGTTACAACCAATTAGGGACTTGAATGTTAGCTCAGTTTTTAGGTTTGGATTCGTTCAGTTTTATTACCATAAATAAATCAAGAGCTGAAGCATCCGGAGATCTCTCCATCTACAAACAAACTGGGGTATTTATCCAGTAAAAAATTTAATTTTTTAAAAATCATTAAAAGTTTTTATACTGCTACATTTTTTTCCTTTTAACTTGAGCACACAGGGACAGAGGCTTTCTAACAGTGAAGAGACTCGCACAGTTGTAAAGTCATCAGTTGGGAATGAAACGTCCACCTTGCAGGAGACGCACTGCAGATTATTTCTGCTTTAAGATCTATCTGTGCAGTAAAAAAACTTCCAAAGTGTATCATTGTTATAATTTTACAAACTTCATTTATCCCTGAGGGAAGTTCTGGTTTACACTCTTATTGAGAGACATGCTTCCCATACACATCGACCCGAAACACACACACAGGACCTGTGGACATGCAGGTTATTAATGTAGAGATGTCAGAGTTAGGCTGCCACACAGGGATCACACCAGATCTGCTGGGGGTTCTGTGCCTTCTTCAAGGGCACCTCAGCAGTGCTCAGGAAGTGACCTGACACCTCTCCAACTTCTACATTTTTAATTCGCACCGGAACTTGAACCAGCGACCCTCTGGTTCCCAACCCAAGTCCCTGCAGACTGAGCTATAGCCATCTTTAAAGTTTACTTTACCCAGGCCTCACTGCTGATAAGCTTTATTTTTATTGAACTTATATTAAACTCTGTGTTCTTACTTCCTCCACTGCTTGATGAGGTCGGGGTTTGAGTACTCCTTCAGACACTCAGTGATGTGGTCTCCGATCTTGATGAGGCACTGTCTCGTGTGTTCCAGCTGCTCGCGCTCAGACAGTCCTTTCTCCGGTCTGTCCAGCTGCTTCAGAGCCGCTTTCACCGGCCGCATCCTCTCTTTACACTGAAACACACAAGTCAAATGAATAAAAAAAAGCACATGTTTATTTAAGCTAGAAGATACAACATGTCGAACCTCTGCTGTCTAAGAGTGCTGATCATCCTTTGGTGAAGGATGAATTTAATGCAGAGAACATGTTAGCTACAGTTCATTCACTTGTAACATCAGCTAGAATCTGCCATAAGCTAAATTTCCCAATAATTTTTACATGAGTTTATTGTGTAAATCTAATTTCATGAATCTCAGAGCAGACCGAGCCTTGTGCCCCTCCTGAGATCTCAGAGACCAAATGTTCTTCTAAATGTTTCTGTGGCATTTTAGTCAAAAGGATCCAAACATAAAAAAATAAGGTTGTAAATAGCAGGAGTATCGGTGTAACGTACCACACTGAACGTCCTCTGGTCCAGTTCCTCAGACTCCTCAGATACTGGGACATTCTCTCCACTTGCTGTTATATGAACGGGACCATCAGAGGCTTTCTTCGTTCTCTCCTTCAGCTCGTTCTGCAGAACAGGATCCAGAATTCATTAAAAATCACCTCTTTTTCTTAGATAGTAGTGAACAGAAAGTACGATTTGTTGCAGTGAGAGTAAAACATCACCTTCTCCGCACTCTCCTCTTGTTTGTGCATCGCCTCCAGAGGTTTGATTTCTTTTCTCTCTTTGGGCTCCTTCTCCTTTGTGTCCCAGGTGTCCTCCTTCTTCTCCTTCTTGATCTCTTTTTTGACCTCTTTTCCTTTCACCTCCCTCTCCCCGGATGAAGAAAGCTCCTCCTCCTCGGGCTCGTCATCGTCCTCGTCGTTGTCTTCTTCATCCTCCTCTTCGTCCTCCTCCTCCTCCTTCACCACCACTCTGTCCGCTCGGCTCCGTCGGTTCAGCGTCTTCACAGGTGGAACAACCTTAAAAAAAAAAAAGAAGTCAAGTGATGTTACTTATCGTCTGCACTCTGACAACAGGAAACATTTGCTCTATTCCACAGCATGAAACAAAGTCCTCTTCGTGTGTAAACATACCTTTTCCTCCTCGATTTCTTCTTCATCCTCTGACCTCTTTTCGGGCGATGGCTCTGAGGACGTACTCTTCATCACCTCCTCTGTCTTTGTCGGCTTCAGAGTTTTGCTCTTTTTACTTCTTGGTTTCCTCTTCCGTGAATTAGCCTAAATAACAAAGAGTCGCGGTATTACACATGCCGTTAAATCTTTATAAAACGTCTTATGTCTGAGGTGCAGATGGAGGTGGACTTGTAAAATAACGGACTCACCGTCCCTGCTTGTTTCTGTGCCTCTCTCTTGGCCAGGTCTTTACTCAGCAGCTTGATGAGGTAGTCTGCTCGGGTCTGCAGCTGTTTGGCCTGAGGCTTCTTGTCTGGGTCGTCTGGTAAGAGCTGGTCAACAAGGGACAGAGTTCATATTGGGGATCATCAGGGAGAAGAAAAACTCATGTTTGAGATGAATATTAACCCTTTGAACTTCACACATAGCTTTCATCATTATCCCTACAATCTGAATTACCATGTTTTGTTTTCTTCTTGTTGTGATCACGTCTTAGAACATTTTTAAAACGTGTCATATTTCCATAATGTTACAATTTACTTAGCAGATGCTTTTATCCAAAGCGACGTAGATCAGAGAGTAAGTTCAACACTAATCCATTCATACACGGCCACCGAAATGGGAGCAATGCAGGGTTAAGTGTCTTGCCCAAGGACACATCGGACATGTTGCTCAGCTGGGGATTGAAACCTCGACCTTCTGGTTGAGAGGCGACGACTCTACCAACTGAGCCACTGGCTCTGGCTGGCTGTCGTTTGGAAGCGCTTCGATAAAGCACTTGTGCCCGAAGAATGAGGAATGAGCGTTGCTATGCGTCCTGTCTCTATGACAAAAGTCTCTTGACAACAGCCGCTGTATGACTGACACTGCTCCGTGGCTTTTTACTCTATGTTTTATATTTGAGATATTTTTTTGCCCTTCACTGTGAGAATCAAACCCAGGATGCTGGCCCTCCTACTCTGTCTGGATGAGGAGATTAATATTGATGACCTCGCCATCACAGCTCCAGGACAATGTGGGTACACGACACGATCCAGAAGAGATGAAAATGAGAGGAGTCACGACCAAGCTACAATATGATCGGCCTTCTGAAAAGTTCTCAAGCTTAAACGCTCTGAGCGGCCGCACATCAAAGATGGAGCACTCAGACAAAGGATGCTTTGCCTTTTCTCCGGGTCTTTTCTCTCTCCTCTCCGGGAAGAATTTAAAAAAGGGAAGCAGGCACTCAGAATAAAAACGGCAGGTGGACACAGGCCCAAAGCCGGGTTCTAGTTATTAAGGTATTATTTGACATAACTTATAACCGAGTAAGGAAACTGGAATCTTTCATGGCGAGGTCACAGCTGACTGTGTGTTTGACATCAAACATAAAGGTGAGATAGTGACATCAGCAGTGAACGTACAAATTGATGTCATGAAACATTGAAGCCTTGGCTCGTGGTTGATTGAATGCTTTTTCTTTTATCTCTTTAATTTTGTATGTTTTTAAACAGGATTATGATTTTAAAGGGTTAAAATCATGAGACAAACATTCAAAGTAAAAATATTAGGACTTTAAATATGAAGCTCATCAGACATGTGGCTGTCCTCACCTTGTGTGTGAGATTGAGGTCGGGGTCCATCTTGATCATCTCCCAGCTGCCGTATCCGTACTCATAGATTCCTATGAGGAGGCTCGAGTCGTCCTCCTTCCCCCACTCAATGTCAAAGTGCGCTGCCTTCGAGTGGCATGGAATCATATACCTGTTCAAACAAACGCAGAATTAAAATCCGGACAATGTTAACACTTTCAGTAATGGATAAGAAATCTAAGAATTGCCCAGCAGCCTTACTTCTTCCTCTCCTCGGGGTCGGCAGGAATGGCTTTGTGAAGCGGAGCCAGCTCTTCTTCGTGCGAGATCACAAGCTTGGCGTTCACCTGGACTCCAGAGATCCTGAACGTGGGACCTTTTACCTTCCCTCTTCTGCCTCCTGGTGGTCAAACAAATGGAAAAAAATAAGCTTTATTTGGCATTTAATGTTGAGAGACTTAATTCATTCTTTTAATAAATGTTTAAAGATTTATTTTTGGGGTTTTTGTGCCTTTAATGTAGAGATAGGACAGAGAGTGTTGGAAATCAGGGAGAGGGAGAGAGGGAGAGAGAGAGAGAGAGAGAGAGAGAGGGGGGGGGGGGGGGGGAATGACGTGCGGGAAAGGAGCCACAGGTGGGATTCGAACCTGGGACGCCCGCTTGGAGGACTATAGCCTCCATACATGGGCCGCGCGCACTAACCACTGCACCTATAATTCATTCTTTTTCAAGGCAAAAACAAGGCAGGTGTGTCCAGACAAGATCCAAACACATTTTCACTGATTGCAGGATCATTTGCAGTGTAGCTACAAGCAGTAAACGAACACACTACATGCAGCAGTGAGGGTGAGCTTCTGATGGCGATGAGCCCAGGAGGAGGGGCCCAGTTTGAATGTTGTGCTACATTAGAAGCTAGGGCTGCCCTTCAAACCAGATCACCAGTTTGATCATGGGGTAATTAAAGCGGTGCTCAAACTTTAACTGCATCCTCGTTTTAACCGATTTATCACATGATAGGGAAATAACAGTATAGCTGAGAGATCTGATGGTTACCGGAGGTTTTCTCTGGTCCACAGGGGTTTTCCCGTAGTGTCCTCACACAGCCGTTATGAACCGTCTCTGCCAAACGCTTGAGGTCGTGTTCGGACTTATCCACAAGTTCAGCATCACGAGCGATGGCATCCAACCTGAGTGAGCAGGACATGTGTTGAGGAGACTGTGTGGGACTTTATTCATCATTATAAAACATTTAAAAAAAGGTAAGCTTACCTTTCCAGTGGTCCCCCAAACTTCTTGTAACTCTTGACAAACCTGTAAATAATTCAGAGACGTTAACAGGAGTAAATGATGAACAGCCAAACTGAGGGTTCAGATGTTTATATGTTCACCTCCTGATCTCAGCGTCACTGAAGCCCTTGATGTTTTCTCGTGGAATGGTCCGCGGTCGTCCTCGTTTCTTTGGCCTCTTTCGGTCCGAGGGCGAGTCGCTGTCGGAGCCAGAGTACCGTCTGTTCCTGCTCTGCCGACCTCCACTGGAGTTAAAGCTTATCTGTAAACGATTGGGACGTTCATGAATATAAACAAAGTGCCTCTGATGAAGCAGCACACGTTCTGTATATCTCACAGGGCTTCTGGTGTACCTGTTTGGCACAGTTCCTCATGCGTGGCAGCAAGTAGATCTCCTCCAGCTCCTTCTGTCTCTCCTCCTCCTCCATCCGCCTCCTCTGCTCCTCGGGAATGATGTCGTCCCAGCTCCTGTGACTGCGCTCAGAGTCCATGTCTATCTCCTCCTCCTCCATCATGGTGAAGTTGGCCACCTGCACAGGTCAAATCGACACGTTATTAAATGTCAAGTTGTTAAAGATTTAAGTTTGTTTGTTTTGTTAAAGTTTGTTTTTACCTTAAACTGAGACAGAAGCTCTTCTCCCACTGTGGACGGTCCGGGGTCATTTTCTCTCGTCTCGGCTCTTTTAAGGATCTCGTCGATGTCCATTTCCTGCAAAGCGGAGCAGGACATGACAAGATGCTCCAAAACATATCAGGAGAAACGTGATAATGTTCACAGACAATGTCTACATACCTGAGGCTCCTGCTCCTCCCCCTCCTGCTCTTTGAAAAGCTCCTCAGCACCAAACTTCAGGATGGCCGACAGCTCCTCTTTATTAAACGGTGCCGAACTGCATGCGAGAAAAACAACAACAACAACAACAACCTTTTAGAGCCATACAAACACATTTCACAGCGCGATGAACACATTAAACATTCAGGTTAAGAAGAAAAAAAGAGGAGAAGAGTCAGTTTGTGTTGCTTGCCTGGAGGGGGCAGCACCCGTGTGGAGGACAGTTTTCCCCGTGGTGTCCATCCTCTGAATGACCAGGTGGTCCAGCACCATCTTTTTCTTCGCCCTCTCGATGATTTCCTCCTCCACCGAGCCCTTCGTCACCAGGCGGTAGATATTCACCTGTCATGTCACAAACAGACAGAATTAGCACACTTTAATATCTCCTTCTTTTATTGATCCTATTGTGGCAGCGCTTTCTTTGAATTTCACCCTCATACACTTTATGCTTTGTTGTGTTTCTCTTATTTTTACTGTGATGAAAGAACAAACTGGAAACAGAGTTTCCTTCAGGATGAATCAAGTTTGATCTAATCTCCTCTCTTAATTTAACACAGCAGCATGTAAACACAACCTGACAGTTTATAATCATTTATACAGCAACTTAATTCAGGGGCACAAGATCCAGATCTGAGGAAGGCTATAAAGATCGTGGGGGGAATGTAATGAAGTTCATTTACTGAAGTACAATTTTGAGGTACCTTTAAATCCGGAATTTAAGTCGCACCGATATCTAAGACGCAGTCTGATTTTGGAGTATCTCCCAGAGATAATAAAGGTCTAAATTGTGTTCCTGCTGGGGCGCTGGTGGCGCAGTGGTTAGTGCACGCGCCCCATGTGTGGAGGCTGTAGTCTTCTAAGCGGTAAAGATAATGGATGGATGGATCTTTTTTTAAACTACATCATTGTACTCCCCTACAGTGAAGGTTTATAGAAACATGTCTCATGATTTCATCTACAAAGTGTTATTATTAGTTTGGAGGCAACAAAAAAAGATACAAAGATAGGGGGCTCCACAACGTGCGACCCAACAGCCCACCCGTCCACCTGTTTTTAGGGGTTTTAAATTGTCTTGGCTTCTTCCACTGACTCGGTAGGCTGTGAAACTGAATTGCCCTTCATGGATTCATGAAGTCGTCTGAATCTGAATTTGAAGCAATCGTGATATTTAGACTTTATGGCAGTATCATGTTGACACAAGGCGCTGTGTTTCCACACTTTGTATGATCAATTATTACTTTGTTATTGTAAATATTTATAAAACTTTCTGGCACTATAATGATGAAAACATAGTCAACAGTGATTTTTCAGACCACTAGATGGTGCTGGGTTTGTTTCTGGTGGGGTCAGCAGAGGTCAGGGTCGGTGGGATTTGAAGGAAGTTGTTTTTTAAAACCAGGAAAGCACAATATTTCTACAAGATCAAAATACGAGTTTAAATATACTCAATAGGTTTGCTCAACAGTTGCTCCTTGCAAAAAGATGCAGGGCTATCGATGTGTCATCATAACATGAAGCAGAATAAATTTTAAGAACAGAAACTTTTCAGTGTTTATCACGCTAGTTGCTTACCTGTCTCTTCTGTCCGATCCTGTGCGCCCTGGCCTGAGCCTGCAGGTCGTTCTGAGGGTTCCAGTCTGAGTCAAAGATGACGACTGTGTCAGCCGAGGCCAGATTGATCCCCAGACCGCCCGCACGCGTCGACAGCAGGAAGCAGAAGTCCTGAGAACACAAGTGAGGGTTCATAATAAGTAAGAGTCTTTGTTTATCCAGTTAAAGCTGCATAAGTGTCGACGGGGTGTTAAACTCACCTCTGAGCCCTCAGCGTTAAAATGATCCAAAGCCTGCTTCCTCATCTCTCCTTTAATGGAGCCGTCTAATCTCTGCACAGACGAGCAACATTTGTAACGTATTAAAAACCGGTATAGGAGCTTCTGTGTTATACATGTTGACAGCCTGTCAGATGGTCATGTGAGAAAATTGTGCATGTACCTGAAAGAGGAACTGCCGGCTCCTCAGATAATCAGCCAGGATATCCAGCATCCGAACCATCTGAGAGAAGATTAAGACTCGGTGTCCTCGCTCCTTTAAACGCACCAACAGTTTGTCCAACAGAACCAGTTTCCCACTGCTGCGGATCAGATGCTGTAGAAAAGATTAGAACAGTTCCAGTCAAATTTATGTCAAGACAAAACGTCCCATCTGCTCTGGAACCACAGACCCTAAATATTAATGGACGTCCCTGACTCTCCGTCAACCTTTTTAAGCCTCCTGAGGAACCGCTACACCGGGAATGCCTGTGAATCAAATAAGCTACACGCCTAACTCTGGATAACAAGAATCATTTTTGGCTGTGGTGTGTATGTGACTTCCTGCGCTCCTGCAGCCAGCCTCAAGCGAACACTTAACGATCGAGGATTTTACTTTTGCTGCTTGGCTGGAACATTCAAAGTCCTTTATAGCCTTTCATTGGTTTCTTCTGCTGCCAATCAAACATGTCTGTTTTTCTTTTGTCAAACTTTCCTTCCTTTGCCTCTAACTTTCTGCGTATTCTTCTGCGATTTTACTGGAAAAGGTGTTTTTGTCAAACTTTTTGGGCTTTTGCCCCACTGTCACTCAGACACAGGTTTGAGCTGTTTCAGCTTTCTTGTTTCTTCTTGTGTTATTGAATGTTTGATGTGCCAAAATAACTTCACACTGGACACTGAACTGTCTTGGATCCTTTGCGGAAAAAAAATCCTCCACTATGCAGACTGACAGAGATTGCTTCTTTGTGAGTTAATAAGTAGATTTTTGTTTGTAATTCAGAAGAAGGTTGTAAAGAAAACCAGACTCTGAACTCTTAAATCAAGAATAATACAGAATGAATCAAACTGACCTGGAGAGCTTCAGCTCTGTTGAGGAACTCGTTGTCCTCCGGAGGTTTGATCAGGTAGCAGTGGTTACAACACTTCTTCAGCTCCATCATGATGTTCAGGAAGCCCGACGTGCTGCCTTTGGTACCTTTACTCAGAGCCTTGTAGTTCCTGGTCAGGATCCATCTGAGCAAAGACGCACATTTGTTAGTGGCAGAGCAGTTTCAAAGAAGTTTGAGTGTGATTGGAAAAGTAAATGTAAAGACAAAGAAACAAAACTCCTTTATTTCGTTTGAGGATTGAAGGTTAGCGTCCAGCTCTTACTTGTAATACTGTTTCTGGATAGCACTCATCTCCACTCGCAGGATCTGCTCCACTTTGGCAGGAAGAGATTTCTCCACGTCTTTCTTGACTCGACGCAGGAGGAAAGGTTCGAGTTCTTTGTGCAGACTGGTGTAGCCCGAGTCTCTGCCTTTACCGTGCTCCTCCTCGAAGATCTCCCAAGAGTGAAACCTTGAACAGAGATATATACGACTGTGAATCATTGTGAAAACCTTGTTTCATTATTCATTTCATTTTGTACAGTCTCAGAGGATTGTTTTTATGATGGCGTCATTCCACTTTACATGTACATATCCTTTGTATGGGAATTTTAAGCAACAAAAGGCTTTGACATTTTGCACAACATATTTGCTTCAGAACACAGATAACTACTTTAAAGTTAGCATGTGGCAAGCAGACAACTACAGTGTAACGCGACAGAATTTGATATTACACCAGTGTAAGAAGTATTTAATGAGACGTCTCTGCAGCCAGGAGAGAAATGGGTCAGTGTGCAACAGGTGATATGACCTACTTCTCAGGCATGATGAAGTGCAGCAGGGACCAGAGCTCTTTCAGGGAGTTCTGCAGAGGCGTTCCTGTGATCAGAAGCCTGTGGTTGGACTTGAAGTCGATCATGGTCTTGTAGAGGAGGGAGTCGTCGTTCTTCAGTCGGTGCGCCTCATCAACACCAATGAAGGCCCAGCTAACATTTCCCAGAAATGACTGCAGACACACACAATCGGTACAGTTCTCACATGAGCTAAAATCCCACCACAGAGCTTTAGAAATGTAAAGAGATGTACCTTATTTAAAAACACATCAGTAAATCAAGGAGATGCTGACCTTGTCTTTGAGAAGAATCTCATATGTTGTGAGGAGGATGTTTAACTTCAGTCTCTTGTTGTGGACATGCATCCACTCGTGTGTCCGGATCTGTTTCAGGAAGAGGAAAGAGGAAAGAAAAAGTTTTGAAGAAGCTCATGTTTGGGTTACAGGCGTTGCCTTTTTGTTCAAATGTTTCTCATATCAGGATGTAATTGGCAGAGGATGAAAAAGCAGGAAAAATATCCCATCACTAAAAGTAGAAAACATTTCTTTTCCTGCATTCTGATCAAAGTCTATGTACCAGTTTGTGCCTTTTCTGCAGCACTTTATAATCATGAGCTAGACTTTTTTCATCTACCTTTAAAATCTCTCCGTCAGTGCTCATCTGGCTCAACTTCACACAATGATAAATGCATTCAATGGAATACTTTTACAAACGTGAACTTTCAGAGTTCTTGTGCTGACATTACCGCCTCCCTCCGCTTCAGTTACCTAAACAACACACCTCCCGTTTTAAAATTTCCTCCACCATGACGTCATTGAAACAGATCAATGTCATGACACCCTGCACCACATTCATCGTTAGGAGCCATGTAACATAAAATCTGCGACATGTACAGGAGCGGTAGAGCGCGAGTGCAGTTTGTTCATTTGTTAATTATCTCCGATGGCCATTTTTCACCCATTAAAAAATTTATTCAAAAACAGGCGACAAATAGATCAAGGAGGCTGTAAATTTTTGGGAAAAGCGATCATGGATCATCTGTCAAAGTTTTGTGGATCGGGGCACCAGATAGCCCAGCAGTCACGTTGCACACCCCGAGTACAGGACGCTAAAGTCCTCCTCGCTGATACAAACTCTGCCCTGTGCTGCATCCCACCCCCTCGCTCTCTCCCCCTAATATGTGATAATCTGAACATCCGGAATTCCAGATAAATCCAGAAGAATGTCATCCCTGTGAAATATAAACAGTATGTGTGTGTGTTTGAGCCATCGTACCATGTTCCTGCTGCCTATGTCTCCCAGATAGACGACGATGTTCATCTGAGGGGCCCACAGCTGGACTTCCCTCTGCCAGGAGGTGAGCGTGGAGAGAGGCACGACCAGCAGGAAGGGTCCGTACAGCTGGTGGTCATGGAACATGTAGTTCAAGAAGCTGATGGTCTGGATGGTCTTTCCTAAACCCATCTCATCGGCCAGAATGCAACTGTTGCCCCTATGACACGAGACAGAAATGAAGAGAGCAACATGGTAATCTTAGATTGTGACGCTTGGACATAGTGCATGTGATTTCAGGACTTGTAGAGAAGCTGAGAATTAAAGGATTGTCTGAGTCTTACTTGCACCAGGAGTGGGCCATCCAGTTCAAACTGTCCAGCTGATAGTCTCGGAGCTCCAGCCCGTCTCCTCCGATGTAAGATGGCTGCTTCTTCATGGGCACAAACCTCGGTCTTTGTTTCAGCACCTACAGGAAGGAAAGGCAGCTTGTGAGGTAGGTGTTCAAACCTATGAGGACTTGAGGGCAGCCAGGGGAGATAGTTTGCAAAATCCTGATTATTTCGCTGGAGCATTTCTCTATTGCAGACTTTTCTTACTGCCAGCAGCCACTTGTTACTGGTTTACCTTGCAGTCTCTGAATGGAATGGATTTGGACTGGTTTCTGCACATGTAGTCGTCGATGCACTTCTGGAACTTTTTGGAGATCAGAGCACCGTCCTCCCAGCTGCACTCCGAGTACGGTAAACCCTGCCACTTACACAGGTAGTCTGGGTAACCTGCCGCCGACTTCTGATTTGAATGTCCTGTTTGAAGGGAGAGGGGGTTAGTTACATAAATCCATTGCATTTAAATACGGGTCTGTTCCGTTTCCTATAAACCAGAAGTGATACAGCGTAGGAAACGTACCTATGATTCTCTCTACAAGCTGGTACTGAGAGTGAAGGTCATCCATCAGTTCTTGCTGACAATTGAAATACTCGATATCCTCCGGTGAAGCTGCCTTTAACCTGGGGAGAAGAAGTAGAAGTTTTACAAAATGAATCTAGTCCTGGTCTAATCTGGGACTACTACATTTCTCATATTGTTGCAAAGGACAGAATATATTTGACTGTTGTCTCACACTCTAAAGAGTGTTTCTCCACTATGATGCATTATGTTATCAGAAATGAAGGCATTAAGTGCTTGAAATAGTCAGAAGAAAGTTGGTTGACACTTTGACTCTGCTCCGTTTCTGCTCACTTAACGTATAATAATAGTGAACTGTTAGTGAGTGTGATCTATCTGTCAGCAGCTACTCAGTAACTGTCAGCTGAAAAAACAAACAAACAAAATAAACGTTGGCTTGCAAGACCACCTTACTGACAAACTGAATTCTTCCTCGTGAACTTTAGCAACAATTGAGATGATTCTGCAGGCGAGCATGATAGTGCGCCTTCAAACAATCCAAAATGCAGCAGACCGGCTTTTAACAAGAACAGACAAATTCACTCCAATCTTAGCCTCCCTTCACCGGCTCCCTGTTGATTTTAGAACTGACTTTAAGATTATTTTAAGGCTCAACGTGGGCTGACCCCTTCCTATGTTTCTGAGTTTTTAACCACTCATGAACCAGACCACAGTCTGAGGTCCTCTGGTAGAGCCATACTGGTTGTTCCACGGTCCAGGCTGAAAACTAAAGGGGACAGGGCTTTTGCTGTTAGAGCCCTCAGACTTTGGAAAACAGCCTGCCAGAGGAGATCAGACCTGCAGAGTCTGTCCCTCGTTATACTTCACCACTTAAAAATGTATTTTACAAAAATACTTTCACTCTGTGATTTCGATTTTATTTTCTATTTTTGTTTTATTCTATTAGTCTGATTTTATTGTCTGTTTGAAACGGAACAGACCCTTATTTAAATACAATGGATTTATGTAACTAACCCCCTCTCCCTCCCAGTCTGTCTCTTTGCTTTTATTGTATCTTCTGAAGCACTTTGTTACTTGTATAGAAAAGTGCTATACAAATAAAGTAATATTATTATTATGCTCTCCGAGCACTACAGGAGTATGCAGATGTGCTAGTTATTTGATAGCATGTAACCTCGGCTAATAAACAGCTTATCTCATTTCTTATAACAGAGCTTTTATGAGTGTATCTCAAACACTAGATTATTTAACAGGTGTGCATCCTAGTGGCACCATTGGCACTTTTAAACATCAACATGAAGTTTGATAAGTTCGGACGATCTGTGAGTTTGTCAAAAAGCGATTTAATGCTAAATAAAGTGATTCAACCTTTTAGTCCGGTCTTCATACTGAAATAAAACATGAATCTTACTTTTGTTTTGATATACAATTGCCTAGCATTTTTGTAAAGAAATGTGCAGATATGCATGTAACAGCCAGGAAGAGTCAGCCACAGAAAGGTAGAGATCATGATATTTTGGTTTTGTTTCTCTCTTTGGTAAGGATCCAAATGTTGAGATTTAGGTTTTATTTTAGAGTGGAGATGGTGAGGATAGCACGCCAGTCCCTCTTTGTTTTCATTGTTGTCCTGTCTGTCTTTCTGTGACTCAGTAGTCAGTGTGAAATATTTTAGGTTTATATAAGTTAAAAAAAAAATGCATCGAGATCTTTGTTTTTCAAACAAGCTCTTACCATCTCTTCTTCTCTTGGTCCTTCTTCTTGAAGTTGTCCAGTTTCTTCATGCCCTTCACGTTCTGTAACTTCAGCGTCTCCTCCGTCTCCCAGGTGTTGTGGATGTGAGCCCAGTTCTTCCACTTTATCAAATACTGGATGTCACCGGCCTCTTTGTTGGAATTGAAGTTGGCGTTTGGGTCCCCGTCTGCTTCAACAGCGTATACAGTGGTAACACTTCCTGTTGCTGTGTGGAGAAAAAAAAAGAAACTGAGTAAAATATTCTCCAGCTGTTTGAATGCAAGGTAACATTTGGAAAGGATGATGTTAATTAACCACAAATAAAATACTCACCTCTTTTCCTTCCTATCCTGCTGTCCATCACTTTCTCCAGTGTTTCAAACTCGTCTTCTTCGGGCTGCGGCACATCTTCACCCAACACTTCCACCAGGTCGTCTGAGTCCGTCTTCAGCTCGTCGTCCTCCTTGTAGCTGACGTTGACGGTCGCCTGCCGCCGTGGACCTGCTGATGCCATCTTCTTGTAGTTCTCATCCTCGTCTTCAGATGAGGAACCCTTCTGTGTTTTCTTCTTCTGGTTGCTGCTTTTCTTACCGTTCCGAAAATTCATCCTGAGACAAAAGAAGAGGATGAGAAGTTGTGCATGCACTGAGTGACAGTGTTTGTGTTTTTAAAGATGATATTCAAATTATTGGATCAGTCTGGGAGAGTGGACTCATTAAGTGTGTGTAAACAAAAAGTCATAAAGAGGAATGGTATGCCTACTTTGTAGGAGGCTTTTTGCTTTTGATTTTGTGGCTGGGCTCGTAGTCTGATGCCGTCTCATCGCTCTTTTCCGCTGCTGATGAATCTGATCCAGATCCACTCCCAGATCCAGAACCCGATCCAGAGTCAGAGGAGCCGGAATTTCTTCTCCTTTTGGATCCACTCGATGAGTCTGAATCATCGCTACTCGACGAGTCCTGGCAAAGACAACGACAGAGAAAATGCTCATGAATAATCAACGTATTCAACATCCCCCCAAACTGGATCAGTTCACAGTTTAGAAGAAAGAGCGGCACAGGGATCAGTCCAAAACCAACCTCATCCGATCCACTGTTCGAGGAGCTTGGTCTCTGTTGCTGCTGCTGCTGCAGCTGCTGTTTCCTGAGCATAGCCGATCTTTGCACTGCGAGGATACTTGGGTTGGACTTCCAGAACTGCAAACAAAGAGTACAGTGTAAGATTAGCCGAAGAAACGTGTGAACATGTTGAATAAGCTTTCACATGACAAGAGCTGATCAAGCAGTTGAACAACCAAAAAGACTGTGTGCCACTAGGGGAAAGGTCAAGACATCTGAACTCTGAGTAGGGCATGTCATTATTTAAAAAAAATCCACGACACGCTCTGAATTTCAGTTTAAAGACACAATTTGATTTGATTCAATTAACACATTTTTGAGGTACACTAAGTAAGTGCTAATATTTACATGTACACTCATGTTCTACTATTGCACTGCGCTTCAGAAGAGTCCTTCGTACTCGGCTTATTTCCCAGGAACATTATAAAGGTTAACTTGCTGGTTAACAGGGTATAAAAGTATATTAACAATAAATATATTAATTAATTATGACCAGAAACAACGCAGGAGAAATCAGCATGTACTGTTTGTTTACAACATACATCTTATAAAGCGCTCAGACAGATCATCAGTGATGTATCCCGGGGTCACGGGGTGTTTCGGGTCACGAACATCAGACACCCTCACGCGGGCGACCCAGCCAAGGCTGATCAGACCTCTGCTTGTGTCTGAGCAGCATTCCTCCACGACTTGTTTAGAGTTGTCACAAGACCAGAATTTTAAGCCGAGATATGATACTAGTAAATAATCAACAGTAGTGATACCCGTTTCTAAACCACTGCAACAACATAGAAGTTTGAGTCGCCCAATATTGGGTACATTCTACAAGTTTGCACGCAAACGCCAACACACTGTCTGCATTGCATTGTACCGTTTTGAGACTGAAACATTGCCAATATATTTGTGCAATTCAGACTGCTCTCAGTAAGAGACATAACATGTTCATCTGTGTGAGGTGCCAGAGAGAACTTAAAAAGTGTCAAGTCTATGCCAGCCTGTGAACTTAAACGGACCATGACTTTTGGCTCTCTTTTCCCGTGACAGCTTTGAATCAAATTGTGACTTTTTTGTAGTTGTTTGTTCAGTTTACTTTTTGATACCATAGATCATACAAAAAACAGAAATTATATCATTTTAAAACAGTTGGTCTTAAAAAGTTTCAAAAATATTGACACCAGTTGTTTGTATATGTTGAATCAAGCTTCATAAATTTGCCTTTCTGTTATGTTGTGATATACAAGTCAAGTTTTAAATGATTGCTCTGGACATGTTTAAAACACATTCTATAAGTTTTCATAGATTTTAGCATGAGAAAGTTTCAGATGTTAAGTTGCTGCAGAGGATCAAAACAATGCTAAGCCTACTTTGCAGTCACAAAAACAAAAAAAAATAGATATTTTATGAAAACAAACTCTGAATAAAGACATGATATATTAAACATCTTCCAGTCAGAGTAACAGAGTCATCATCACCTTTCATTATTTCTTTAAATTCAGATTTTTTGTTTTTACCTCAGCTCCGTCAATGTTTGACTTATTTGGCGTCTCGCTCTTCTCCTTGGATTTCTCATTGTCGGAGTCTGACTGGCTGCCGGAGTCTGAGCCACTACCTGAGTCACTGCTCCCTGATTGGCTGCTGCTGCTGGAGGAGCTGGAACTGGAGCCTGAGCCGGACCCTGATCCTGAGCCCGATCCAGAACCGGATTCATCATCAGAATTACTGTCGCATTAAAAGAGAGGGACACAGTTTTGCATGAGAAATCAGAAGATTAACCGTCAACAAATCAAATCAGAAATACTGAACTTATTCAAAATCTGACTTAACACATTCAAGAAAAAGTACCACCCCTTTTTAAGGAGTATCAACATGTTTTCCAACATTTAAAACATTTTAGGGAGGGTTCAGCTTGGCATGACTTCTGGACTGTACACAAATAAACACAGACGCCTGAAAGTGTTAAATGTATGTAGGCCATACATTGATACGACAAAATGTGCAGCCCTGGAATACATTTAGAGTACACAGCTGAGTTAAAGCAGCTGGAGAGCCACTGAAGAGGAAAAACAGTTAATCACCGCTCGGTTTGCACCACAACTCAAGCCATTGTTGTCTTTCAATGCTGTGTGTTAGCTAATTACAGTTTTGTTTAACCTCCAATAATAAAGATCTTGAGCTAATTTTTGCTGCCTTTACAACTTTCTAGAATTGCAAAATCCTGTCTCAACGTAATATATGCTGATGTGGCGGGTAAATAAAAGTGTAGTGTTGAACATCATCACTGTAAACAACTGTGTTGTGACATTATCCATCAGATGTCACTTTATGAATTCTGCATTTCAATGCTAACAAACATATGGCTGGGTACTCTAGAGGTGCTCTACTGTCCGTCTGCTGTGTAAAATAAGGGTCAGACATACAGTTACAATGACATTATTATCAGCATCACCTGAGACTACAAAACTGATTTCTATAACCCCAAGCGAAACTACTATCTTTTATCTGAGATGAGTGGGTGATTTACCTCGATTCTCCACTGCTGTTGCTTACACTCTCCTCCTCACTGCGTCCCGCCATGTCGAAGTCCAATAATAAAGACTTCCCCTGACAAACCTGCAGTCGTATCTTTGACGTGGTTCACCTGTAAGAGACAATTTTATAAAACATTAAAATAACAACATTCACAGGTTAAATGATTAAATACTTCACAGCAAGTCAAAATAAATCAGGAGCCTAACACAACAAGCGCAGCACAGATTACATCAACATGGCGGCAGTGTAAGTTTGCTTTCAGGGCTATGTGTGTGTAGCAGGTCTCACAATAACAGAGTGAATCAATTAAATGTACAATTATTTCAGGTTTGTAAATAAAGCAAACTTATAACACATGTTATGACTATTCACTCAGGTTCTTTCACAGTTATTTAAAAATGGAGATGAAGAACACATGAAAAACTAGAAAACTGCTCGTCTTTATGTTTCACCTGCCGTTTAAAGATGTACCCAAAATGAAAAAGAAGATATTCTTCATTAATCCCGCAAGGTGATATTCTATTTTACACTCTGTGTGCATGTGTGTGTATTTCAGCCTGTGTGTGTAGCATCTTCAAAAACAAACAGGATCCTTTGGACATGCACTAATGGAGGGATGTCAGAGTGCTCCTGAGCTGGTGGGGGTTCAGTGCCCTGCTCAAGGGCACCTCGGCAGTGATCAGGAAAGGAACTGGCCCCTCTCCAGCTACCAGACGATAGTATGATAAATGGGTTCCTTCCCTTTTACCGTACTATGGTGCTCAAAATGTTCTATGCTTCAATACCACCCGTTCTAAAACAATACAAACTCCGTTATACTAATGATAGTACTGACTTTTATCAAAGCAACTCATATTTTTAACCAAAAGCTTCTGCGAATGAAAAAGAAAGAGAGGGAGCAATGTCTACATTTTATCAAAATAGTTAGAATAGTTTTTTACTAGTATCGTATTGAGGTTTAAAGTTCTGGTATACGGCCAATCAATATCTTATTACCAATGTTTGTTAAAAAAATTCCTTGTATGTGTAAATGTACTTGGCAATAAAACCCGATTCTGATTCTGAATATACACAAACATGATTGGAAATCCTCCGGGGGGAATGTAAGGACTTCATCAAAAGATAAAACACACTCCAGTGATTCGTCTAGAAACAACCTATAAAGTTACTTTTGTAAAAGTTAAAGCACTGGACAGCAAATAATAAACTCCCAAGAACAAATCATCCTATTTACATTAAATAAATTCACGTCCAGCTCGGTAAAACATCCCTGACCTGCTTACCCCCGACATCGAAGTTTAACCTATGAAATGTCCCTGTGGCTGTCAATACGCTGTCGCAGAACACTTTTTTTAAAACATTATTATTTCTTTAAACGGTTTTTATTGCTCTCTAACTTTTTAACATTATTGTTACATCATCTTAAATCTCTGCTCCTACATGTCTCAACTCATGTTGCTTGGGTTATTATAATGGTTCTAATGATGGGTCTTGTGATGGTTGGGTTAAATGTGTTTGTTGGGTTATTTTGTTGTTGTTTATGTTCTTCTGTGTTTGGGGTCTTTTGCTGTATGTCAAAGCACTTTGTAAACCCGAGTTTCTAAATGTGATATATACATTAAGTATTTATTTTACTCAAAAATGTCTGACGGCATTTATGAATAGTGCCTTAGTAATGAGTTTGTCACCTTATCAGATGAATAAAATAATTCATGACTTGTGAATGGAGAACAGCACAGTTTGAGTTTACATGAAACTTCAGCTGTGTTTGTCCCCTGAGCTCTGAGGCCTATCAGGCCTGCATATCAAAGAGTATTTTAACATCCATTCAAATCTCCGTAGTCCCTTTGAACGCCGGATAAATCCATTAACCGAAACCAAGGCAAAAACTAACTTCAGTTATCGCTATTTAGCCAAACTTGGTGTCATTTTAGCCTCACTGTAGCTCAAGTTTAGCTTCTAGCTAACTAGCTTACGCCGGTGTTATATCTCGTCCAGCTACCCATCGAGATGTGCCCCCCTGCAGCTATGAGCAGTACAGGGTGTAAAATTCACCTATCGAGTTATGCTTCCTCTAACAGCTAAAATACAGGTTTCATTTCTGTTAAGTATATTTCTTACAGTGAAAATGCAGCGACAGGTGGTGTTTCAAAATACTTATGTGGTGTATCAGAGATAAATGTCCATCGAGATACATTTCCCCTGAAATCTTACATAATAGTGTACCAAAACTTGCTCCCCATACTCTGACAATGCATATATAGTGAGAAGTAAAGTGATTTAAATTGTGAACTTGTTCTGGTAGTCTAATTTGGTTCGCCTCTGCTTTGGTTTCGCGCTACGGTAGCATCTTTCGACAAGGCAGCACTTCTCGACATAACACCGGCTAATGACGCCGACGTTAGCAATTGGCGGGGTACGTTAGCAGTAATGTATGCAGACACAACCGACCCGCCAGACGATATTTCATCATCAAATACAAACAGAAATCCAGCAACAATCAAATCCTCATCAGCACCTGGAGTTATTTAAAGATAATCGTTTAATTCAAACACTAAACCTGTTTACTACGAGACAACATAACCGTGAACTGTTAGCTAGCTCGTTTATGTGATGCTAGTATTTTGATGTTTAACATTTTTAAGACTCGTAAAACAAGAAAAGCTTCATGCTTGGTTGTGTTTTTCATCATCTGCGTTAATGATGTGTAAAAACCGAGACAGACAGAGAGGTGTTTGGATCTGAACATCAACGTGTGTTTAATAAACATCTTTTAGTTGTCAAGGAAAGTAGCTTTATGAAGCACGAGGCTAGCACGAGAGCTAACAAATGACAAAACTTTACGCTACTTCGTGTTAGCATCGAACCACCGGGACGTCCGCTTTCCTGCCGGAGTCCTTACTTGGCCTCTTTCGTTTGGCAGTATTTTACTATGCAAATGTCTGCGCAGGCAGTGAACCACGGAGTGCAGCTTGGCGTGTTTATTATTCATTATTAAAGCCACAAACACAAACGAGCTAACATAACTTCACCCTCTTCCATCTTGTTTTCATTCGCCGCTCACTTCTCGCGGCTTTTACCGCATCAACATGCAGCGTTAGCTCACTTTCTGGCTGAACCAGGGGAACAAGTTACTCCACAGTGTATGTTACCTGAAAAACTCCAGTGAAAATGATGTCTTAATCCACCTTCGCGGGGCCCTTTTCTTCTTTTATATCACCAGAGAGCTAGCAGCCGCTGGCAGCTAACGCTACCGTACGCTAGCTCGCTAGCTATCTCCCAGTCAGGGAGAGTAGCCCCGGACGGTTCAGTTCAGAAGAACTTGTACAGTGCTGCTTATCCTCTCCCGTCAATAATCAAATAAGTCCCCCTTTCCGTTCGAGGTGTTACCAAGGTTAAGCACTCCACGGTCAACTGTGATTGTAGAAAGCTGGCATTTCAATCCAGGCTCTTCCGACAACCGGCCTCCGCCATGACGCCGTAGGGTTCACTTCTCTAGGAAACCCCGGACAGTGACGTCACGACCGTGCTCCTCTGAACTCTGCAACAGAAGAAAACATCTGGCAGCAAAAACTTTAGACTGCAACACTTTATTCAGCACAGAAAAGGTGAAATACTATTATTTGCTCATTTTAAGCACAGCAACCGGACTGTGAAATGTGCAGGGTGGTCGAGGTGGTGGTCTTTGAGTTCTGGAGAGGTCAGTTTTGTAAGTGCTGATTATCATGTTTTGTTAAAGTAACTATTACATTTTCCTTTCATCTTCATCCATGTTTTATACAGTGTATGATCTCTATGCGGATATAGCACAGAGTTACTGTTTGTTTTGGAGCCTGGCCAATAATGATTTGTTTGTTTCTGCTGACCGTCACAGAGGTCAGGTTAAGAGTTGTTCAACTGCCTCTCCTGTGCTAGCACATGTTTCTTTAGAACAGTCTTTCAGTATCCTTTTATATAATATCTTCTAGCTTTTGAGTCCTATTTTTAGAAACAGTTTTACGGACTTACCTTTTTCCCTGACAACTATTTTTAATTATTCTTGAGTGTTTGTTTTTTTTGCAACACAGCTGTGTTTGATTGTCACGCTTTGCTCCTTTTCCAGAAAAAGTGCAATAACAGAGCGTTATGAGACAGATGTTAATATGTGATGAAGGTATGAGTGTAGACTTTGAGATCTTTCGGCAGCAGAAGAGTTTCTGTTAAGTCGGATTAGACTGACTTTTATTAAACCAGTTTTTGATTTACCGTGCATCTTCTTTACTTTGCTATCATTTTTACAACTACTTTAAACATTGCTTAAAATGTATCTTTATCCATTGATTTTCATTCTGCTTTGTATTTGTAGTTGTTTTATTAAATTCTTCCCTAACTCTCCCCCCTCACATCCTTACTCTTTATTTTAAGAAATCCCAGAAATTTGCGACAGGGAGAGAGAGAGGGGATTGACATGTAGGAAAGAAGAAGAAGATATACTTTATTAATCCCTTGAGGTGAAATTCAGTTTTACTCTCTGCTGTTGAACATGCTACACACATATAGGCTGAAACACACACACGGATCCTATGGACATGCACTAATGCAGAGATGAGTGAGAGGCTAGATCTTCATACTTCAGGTGTAGCTGGAGCTTTTGAACTCTTCGATCCTTTCACTCTTCATGCACCTCACTAGTTGGTGAAGTTGTGCCAGAAAACACTACTCTGCTGTTTCTGAGACTGAGGAGTATTGCAACAATATTCCTCTGATGTCAGACACATTGGGAGGAGAGAAGACGGTGCACTCATGAAAGAAACTTTGGGGTGCTCTGAGCGTAGTGGTTAGTGCGCATGCCCCATGTGCGGAGGCTGTAGTCTTCCAAGTGTGCGGCCCGGGTTCGAATACAACCTGTGACTCCTCTCCTCTCTCTCTCTCTCCCTGATTTCCAACTCTATCCACTGTCCTATCTCTACAACAAAGGCCCAAAAAGCCCCAAAATAAACCTAAAAAATAAAGGAACTTAAGATAAGATAATCCTTTATTTATCCCACAACGGGGAAATGTACAGTGTTACAGCAGCAAAGATTGCAAACAAAAAGTGAACACAGTGCACAATTTAAATAAAAAAGAAAAATTTAAAATGTACAAAAAATAGATAGATACCACAATATAGATTAAAAAAAATAGATCAGCTGATCAACTTCCTCTTAAGAGCCATCCGCCCAAACTGCACCTTATTTGAAAAATGGGATAGAGGGAGATGGGATAGGATGCAGGGGGAGGGATAGGGACAAACTTTCCTGTCTCCCACCAAACAGAGAATTTAAACAGCATCTGAAGGCGACATGAGGAAGGTCTGGTCTACAAATAGAAAACAAATCTCTGAACCTTTTATTTGAAAAATGCCAAATAGATATTATAATCCATTTTATAAAAAAATGCACATTTCAGAATACAGAGCTTTGAACCAGACGGCAAAGCTCATGCAGTAGTGAAAGTTAATGTACTTCTTGAATAAAAAAAACAATTCCTGAAAATAGTGTTGTAGGACTCATTTTTTTTTTGAAGGACTCGGTCTGGTCTTGGAATCAAAATCATTTTTACTCAGTCTTGTCTCGGTCTCGGAGCTGGACTCCGGATTTTAAATCAAGCCCAGTCAAGACCACCACTGATCAGCTATATTTCCATACCATTACTGCGATTAAAAGGAAAACACCTCTTTCTAAAGGAACAGAGAACTTAATTTGTAGTTTGATTTTTATCCCCCCGGTTACCGCCGTGGTCTTGGTCTTGTCTCGGTCTCGGAGCACTCTGGTCTCAAGTATGTCTTGGTCTCGATTAATCTGGTCTTGACTAAAACACTACCTCACAACTTACTTCTTTCAATTAAATACTAAAATGTCACATTATCATCTTCATATGGTATATAGCAGAAAGATATATTTAATATACATGATTTTTGCTTAGACAGAGATGCACAAAGTGTTGCTGCTGTCCCCGGTCTCCCCTACTACTTCTTTGTGTGTGTGTGTGTGTGTGTGTGTGTGTGTGTGTGTGCGTGTGTGTGCGCGTGTGTGTGCGCGCAATCGGCAATGACGTGAACAGAACTGCAGATCAAAGATTGTGCAAACATCATCTTTGTGTTAAAATGTAACTACAGCCGCAGCGCCATCTGCTGGTGGTTAATATTTAATGCACGATGCATGAATCAGGCTGCTGTATTCTTTTTAAAGCGGAGATCTTCTGATACATTTACATCAATGACTTGAATTACTTTTTTATTTATTTTAACCAATACAAATGTATGGAAATTTAATCAGCTGAACAGAGGATTTATTTCATTGGCCGGCTGACAGAGCTCGTTATTTTTGGACCAGTAGGAAGTGACCCAGGAAGCTCTTCTTCTGCATCCATAAACATGTTAAAGCGGTCGTGATGGGACGCTGCTGCAGAAAGCAGAGCTGTGAGCGGATCCTGTGAGTCCTGCTCTCAGGATAACAACGATGGGCTGAACGGGAGAGACCGACCAGGATCATCATCCGACTGCAGCCTGCAGAGAGGGTGAGTGTGCAAAGATGAATCTACACACGTTATTATGACGCTTTGCCTTAAAGTGCATGCACGGTTTGGTGATTATTTTGCAGTGAATGTGAAGCAGAGTGTTGAAGTTGAAGATGCTCCTCTGCAGTCAGGACGGATGAAACACAGCAGAGGAATTTAACGACGTAGTTAATGCGGAGGAAACCTGCGACCCGCGTCATTAAGAGGGGACCTCCTGCAGAAACATGAAGGAGGATGAATGAACGTCTGCACTCAACCACACGCTGCACCACACACTTCAACATGTCCACTAGTACAACCTCATTTAACTCGTTTGGTAATATTTATCGGATTTAGCTCCTTTCACAGAGCAAGGTCACAAAGTGCTTCACAACATTACGATACAAATATTAATACATAGATCATAATAATGATAAAGTGACAAAATAAAACAAGAACTAAACATCAGAAATTAAGTGTTTTTTTAAAGTCCTTTGTACGGTGGCCGGTTGGTGCCAAAGGCTCAGCGACTGCTGGAACAACACACGTTTAGAAAAACGCACAGCTTATTCAGAAACACTGCAGATTCAAAAAGCAAATGCAACGGCTGAACCAGACCTCATTTCTCAAAGTTCTCACCTGTTTTCAGTTCGGAAAGTCGAAGTGTTATAACAACAGCAAAAAACAGTTACAAGTTATTTTTGAGCAGAAAGTTGATGTGCACCACATGAGTGCACCAATAGCCCCCCAAGAGTTTATCGGTGTATCAGCGTGATGCGACCTTTGCATTTGTTTCCGGAGTTTGCATTTGCTTTTGAATGTGCAACTTTGAATTCTGAATAAGCCCCGCGTTTTTCTGAATGTGCGACATTCCAGCCGTTGCCGAGCCTTTGGCACCTACTGGCCACCGTACCTTTGGGACCTACCGGCCACCGTACATTTGCCTTTAAAGTGACAGACCTTTGCTTTACGTCCGGGGTTCCCAACCTTTTTTCTGCACGAGCCCCCCCACACAGAAACCTCACGATGGAAAAATAATACATTTCTGTCAAGAATTCACATCAGGTTTAATAGTTTTATTGATAGAATCACAACAGAGTAGGAGACATTGTTAAGTACCAAAAGATCTTTAAAACTATCCAGTATGTGTATTAACATGATTATCCTTAATCAATGCATATGTAAGTTTGACAAATGAGCACACAAAGCCTCACACCACCCATAGGATATTTGGTACATTTTGGGGCTTTTTTTGCTTTGATTTAAGAGACAGGACAGGATGGAGTCAGAAATTAAAAAGAGAGAGAGAGAGAGTGGGGACGGACATTAGAGAAAGGAGCCACAGGTCGGATTTGAACCCAGGCCGCCTGATTGGAGGACTTTAGAGGACTTTTCAAAAAGCATTTCATTTGAGTTTCATTGTCTTACACTAATAGTTCTCTGTCACCAGCAGAGGGCGCTATATGAATTACAACAAACATCATCACTCTGCAGAGTGTCAGGTGGTGACTGCATGTGCATGCTCAGAGTGACCATCTTGTCTTCATCATAAATCTTTATCCACACGTGTTTGAGAACTTCAGGGATGAACTCAATAGATGTGTATATCTTTATCTATCTCTACAGACTTCATGGATCTAAGAAAAATATCGGCTGATATATATATCTGTATCTGATTTTTTTCTGCTCGATATCGGCTCAGTCTCTAAAAATCCCGTATCGGTCGGGCCTTTAAAGAGAGTAAGGAATTAATTTGTCTCTGCTGCCATCGCCTTTTTAATCCACTCATTCTGTTTTTTTTTAATCTGCTGTATTTATTGTCCACTGGACTTTTTCTTCTTATGTTGTACGCTGATTACTGGTTGGATGTTTTCACTGCTGACTGCAAAACAAACGGCCCTCTCACAGGGCTGATAAAGACGACCCTGAACCTTGGACCTTGAACCTTGAACCTTGTACCTGTGCTCTGTCAGGTTAAATTACTGTTTAAGTCAAAGGAGTCTGGTGTAGAGTTTCAACGTAGTCTGTCACATTATGTAGGGTTGCACATTATCTTTAAAAGCCGTCCAGATATTTATCTTCTTTGTGCCCATAAATAGAGAAACATCAGATTTCACTGATAACTGCCTCCTTCAGACGGAGACCTTTACGATCCTCTCAGTCCGCCTCTGTCTGAGCGGAGGAAGTGAAGACGGATGACTTCTTCCTTCGGGGAGCGCAGGCCTCAGCAGCTTGACACAGTTAGAGTAAAAGTGACAGAACAAAGACCACAGAGTGAAGAGTACATGATCAGGGTGAGATTTTCCACTCCTCTGTGCATCTCCTCCAAACAAACCCCCCCGAACCTCTTCACCTTGAAGCAGATCTGAAGCTGCCTGAAGCCTCTTTGTTTGAAAATGTCAGTGTGTTTCACAATCTGTCCTGCTGCTCTGAATCTGCTGGGCTTTTTTTTTTTGTGGCGCTGAAAGCTGCAACACAGTCGAGAAAGTGAAGCTTGACTTCAGATATTTGCTTAAAAAAAACCTACAAATTTAGAGCTCAACAAGAGACTACAACATGGAGGCTTTTTTACTTTTCAATGCAGTCGTCTGCAGAAAGCATCGTCTGAGTTTCAGCCTTCTGTGCACGTCGATGCAGACTGCTGTTTTATATTTTAACAACTTTATAATAATTATAAGAAGTGACCTTAAAGGTAAGGGTAGTCATTTCCTCCAGATACACCTTATCAGATTTTGGTTGAAATTGTCTTTAGGTCCTGGCAGAAATTAATAACTCATGTTCTCTGAAAAAGGAACAAAGAAAATCCATCATCTGTATCAGTTGTAAGTCTGAAAAAACTTCAACCAATGTCTGCCACGAGGTACCAATCTGATGAACCAATCACACGCCTCCTGTCTCCCCCTCGTTTTCTACCTCTTGCGTGCACTAGCCCACACTCAAAGCGCGTCGTGGAGAGATGGTAGATTGCAGCCAATCACCTTCTCTGCAGAGCAGATGATACGCTGACGGATGATGTGACTGGACACACGCAATAGTAAAAAACAATATATTTAAAAAATAGCACAAAAAAAGGGAATAGATTTCAAATTTGCACCTTTGTACACTGCAAAAAGTTGAATCTAATCGAGTGTAAAAAATATCTGTTTACACAATTCACGAGGTCAGACCAACGTTTTGTTTTCAAGATTATACAAATGAGAATAAGGTTGCTTGTAATATTTAAAAACAAACTGCCAATGCAGCAAGAAAAAATAACTTGATTCTTTTCTGTTTTGCTTTCTTGAATGGAGACCTTTGTCTAAACTCCAGATTTTCATTTAGCAAAATGTGTTGAAGCTTTTTTAAGCACTCACAATAATCGAGTCAGGCTTTACTTTCCACTTGTACGATGTTAAAGTTAGATGTTTATCCAGACCACACTGCATCGTAAACTGAGGCTCGAACTTGAAAGAGTTTTTTTGTAGGACGTGGAGGCCGGAGTGTGTTTGTTTCACTTAAAGAAGATGGTACTTCCTGAGAGGTACACAGGAAGTGTTGCGTACGCACATTTAACTTACAACACACAACTGACTGAATGACTGGCCCAGTTAACACTGATCTCTGCACGCGCACACACACACACACACACACACACACACACACACACACACACACACACACACACACACACACACACACACACACACAGCACACACACGCACACACACACAAAGAACTACACAAACACACACACACACACATAACCACACACACATACACTCACACACACACAAACACACACACACACACATAACCACACACACATACACTCACACACACACAAAGAACTACACAAACACACACACACACACATACACACACACACACACACACAGAATGTGGTTGTCTACTATTATGTCGTTTTCTCTCGGCTGTTTCTCTGAACATGTTTTTATATTTATAACTTCTTCCTCTTACTTCCAGTGTCACCCCTTCTTTCTCTCGATCAGTAGCCCTCCTCCTCGTCTCTCTGAGGCTTCTTTCTGTCTGTCCTGTAAAACCTTTATTGTAACTCAGAACATCAGCGATCCAACTGAGAAACAAAAAACAAGAGCAGATGAACTCTGAAGTGTTTCTTAATTCTGAATTTCATTTTGAATTCATAAATTAGCATTTTAAGTTTTTTTTTGGAAAGTCCACGATATCAACTTTTCACTAAGACTGGTCCATCATTCGACTCCTCAGACTGAAACATCTAAATTTAATGTCACTTCTCGCTGACCCTCTGAAATAATAATGACCTTCTCTTCATTTCAAAAAAACGTTGAACACCAACAGGAAGACTTTTATTTCTGGCTCGAAGTATCGACCTTTCCTTTACGAATGTTTGTATATTTAATTATGACATTTTTTATTTATTTTTGTTTATAATGTGGGTCTAAATCCCACATTATGAACCAAACACTTAAAACAAAAAACTACTGCAGCATGTGCGTCAAATACATCTGATTTCAGTTGATGTAGGATTTCAAAACAACGATTCTTTTACATCTTTAAAAATGTAATCGCACAAAAAGACAGAATTTCCATCCATCCGTTTTCTTCCGCTTGTCCGAAGAGGTCAGGTCGCAAAAAACAAATCCAATTTAATTCAAATCAAATGAAAGCTGCTGAAGCAAAAAAGCTTCTTTATATGAATAGTGATTAATTAATTAATGAACTTATACAGGTAAATACAGGTTCATGTTCTGAGCAGACGAGGAGGAACTAACACATGAAAGCATTTCCAACACTTGTTTTTAATTCTTCTTATGACCTTCAGTGACTCACAAAATGTCTCAGGAGCCGCAAAGTGAAGACAGACAAATAAAGAATAAATAAAACCCCCTCCAGGTCCAATCACTGGCTCGTTCCTGCTTCTTGTGGTCTTCATCAGCGGACTTATTTGTCTCTAAAGATGTTTTTTTGTTCTGCTCTTGTTTCCAGGATCAGCAGCAGAACATTTCAATAAACAATGAGACATCACAATCACCTCCATGTCGGCTCCTTCTTCATGAAGTGACTCGTGTGTTTGCAGCTTTCACATCCTGCGCTGCGACTCGCTGGTCAGTGTGCAGATTAAAAAGAAAAAGGAAGTAAAATTATTAAAGTGTGAAGGAAGTTGTTGAAATGAGGAAGCTTCGGAGCTGGGCGGCCTCGCAGTGTGTCTGAGTCTGAAGCTGCTCCCATCAATGTGTGTGTGTGTGTGTGTGTGTGAGTGAGAGAGGGGAGTTCTGTACTTTTTAATGATCCGGACTCAAGCTGACGTGTTCTCGTGTTGATCCGTCTGCAGGCAGCTGATGAACCCCTGACGGACCCGGACCCCGAGGAGGACTGAGACCCTGAGAGACCGCTTCAACACCGCAAGTTCAGTAAGAGTGTTTCTGCCTTTTTTTAGTCTCAGCTTTAAGAGTTTTTAACCCCAACTCGACGACAATCTGCTTCAGTTTAACCTGAAGCTCTAAACCTAAAACCTCGAAGATCTAAACTCAGAATCACATTTCCTTTTCTTTCTCACTTTTTTAATCGACACAACTTATTTCTCTACACGCATAAAAAAATCCTCCAAAGAGGGTGTGATGGTTCCTCCTTTTTATCTGTGCAGAAATCAAACAAATTATTTAAATTAATTCCAAACAAAAATCAACAAGTTATCTCATCTTGTGTTTCAGTTTAAACGAAATACCCTGGGATTGTTTTTTTAAATTATTTTTCATATCTCTTAGAGGGTTAAAAATGGAGAAACTATCATTTAAAACACATCAAATACATTTATTTCTGCTCTTTATTTGTGATTTCATACAAAACTAAAGTCCAAATTGAAAACTACATTTTAATATTTGTGTTTTCTTCTCTCTCACACGTCCAATCAGAGGTCTTGTAGATTACAAACACTTCTTCAAATTTAACATTTTGTGATGCTCTATGTTGAAAATGTTATCCTGAAAAATATCGGATTATTTCAAGGCCACTTTGAATGATTATTTTCTTCTTCTTAAAGATTGAATCAGGGTCAGTGTACAAAGAAAAACATCAGAAGAGAGACAATGCTCTGAAGCAGATTTAGCTCACTAGCTCAGGTCCATGTGTCGTCCCCGGGCGGATGATGATCAACCATCATCATCTACATATTTCATGAGAGAGAAGAAGAACACAGAAAGATGTTGAGTTATAAAAGCATTTTGTAGACGTTTCCCTGAGTTGTAGAAACGTTGTCGAGTCATGACGACGAGGCTGAAAGTTGTGAGAGGTTGAGATGAGTTTGGAGATTATTATATTCTTTAAAAGAAAGTACATATTTTATTATTTAGTCCTCAGAGGTCTCGTAGATTACAAACACTTTGTTGTGACATTTTGTGACGGCTGGGTGTTGAAAATGTGACCTCGAAGAACAAAAGACAAATTAATGAAAGTATGTTTTATCTGAACACATCTGACAACTTTTAATTCCTCCAAAGAAAAACATATCTGATTGTTTCTTTATCACCGCTTTTGAAGAGACCAATAACTTTTCTCACATAAAACTGTTTCTTTTATTGATGCAAATTGATGTTTTTTTTCTCTTCTTGAACATCATGAACCATCACAGAGCTCTCTGATCTCTGCAGGGAAATACTTCCAGCACCGCCGCTCACAGAGATCTTCTCCTCAGCTCGTCACGCTGGCTCATGATTATTATCTCCGCCATCGACCTCATAATGATAACTTTATTTATATTTCACTGATCTAAACACGATTACTAAGTGCTTTACTGAAGACACACAACGACACAAAAAAAAAATACAGAGATTCAAAGTGCTTCGCAACACACACAGGATGAAACATCGGCCTGTTACAAAAAGATGATTAAGACTTAATTAAATTAATTAACAATTAAAGCAGGAAATGAATTACTAACCAATCATTAAAAAAAAAAAAAATTAAACAAAAGATTTAAAAACAGGTCCAGAGTTCTTCAGGTAGGGAGGTCCAGAGCTGGTGGCAAATGCCTGGTTGCCCTTGGTTACCAGCCTTGACCAGGAACAACTAATGAAGGTGCTCTTGATGACCTGAGATCACGGTTTGGAGAGTAAGGTGTCAAAAGTTTTGTAATGTAAGGGGGGAAGGGGGTGTTGTGTTTAAGTTATTAAAAGAATCTTAAAATCCTGTTGTGAACGGGCAGTCGATGAAGGAGGACGAGATCGGGGTTATGTGGGACCTGCGATAAGTCTCGGTCTGCAGTATTCTGCACTTGCTGGATCCGAGCCATCGAGGACTGACTAAGGCAAGAAGTGAAAAGAGCTTTGCAGTAACTTCGACTTAGAAGACTTTATTAATCCTAGAGCAGTGGTCCTCAGCTCGTCTAGCCTCAGGACCCCTTCGTGAAAAATTCCAACACAAATTTCTGATATATTTTCAACCGATCAGATTTTTTTTACTGAACACTTGTGCAGCTAGGATGTCTGTCCCAACTCTCTCTCTCCTTTCCAATTCGAAACCGTCCAATCTCTAAATAAAGGCATAAAAAAAGATCCCCCAAAAACAAACCTTTAAAAAGTGCTTTTTTTCCAGGTACACATTCGCCTACCCCTTCTGGGTCCAGACCCACCAGTTGAGAACCACCGTCCTAGAGGGCAATTCGGTTCCACAGTCCATCCAGACCATGAATACATTTACAAACCACCAACATCTGGAGGTTTTCAGAGTCATCGGGTGTTTGTTGTGGTGAAGCAGAAATACTCAAAACTAGAGCAGACACGAGCTGCATGGCTCAGAAGCAAGCATCATGATGTTTGATTTCTTCTTGACTCGGTCTTGACCCCTAAATGTCTTGGTCTTGTCCTGGTCTCCGTCAGTGTGGTCTTGACTCTCTCTGAAACACATGGGCCCTGAGATTACCTCTCTGGTTAAAGGTTGACTGACTGAATTTAATTTTTGTGAGAGTTTTGGACTCATCTAAATTCTTTTTTGGTTCTTCTGCTGATTTCAGGTTTCTTGCATATTGGTGGCTGAACTTCCATCAGGGAGCCACCACTCTGAATCCAACATGGCCGACAACGTGAATTCTTTACCGTTCTTCTATGGAAACATCACCAGAGAAGAGGCGGAGGATTACCTGCGTCAGGCCGGCACCATAAACGGCCTGTACTTGCTTAGGCAGAGCAGAAACTATCTGGGAGGTTTCGCTCTGTCCGTGCAGCACTCCGGCCGCTGCTACCACTACACCATCGAGAGGGAGGGCAACCAGACGCAGACGTACGCCATCGCTGGAGGGAAGAGCCACCGCAGCCCAGAGAACGTGATCGACTACCACGCCCAGGAGACGGACGGGCTGGTGTGTCTGCTGAAGAAACCCTGCAACAGACCCAAAAACATGCTGCCAAAGGTGGGCCCGTTTGAGGACCTGAAGGAGAAACTGATCCGAGAGTACGTGAAGCAGACCTGGAACCTGCAGGTCAGTCTGGAAATCTGTGCTGTTTGTTTAGAGAAGTGGTTCAGATAGAAGTGATTGTACCCGACCTAAAAAGCCTCTGCATGTTTCTAATAAGCTCCACGAGCAGAAATGTGCTCAAACTAGGATCAATATTGGAGATGATTGTGAAAAATGGAGAGAGGTTAGAACACAGAAAGGTTTACAGACCGATGCAGAGCTGGATAAACACTGAAGCTTCAGTGTCCACCACATGGTGACCTGTGAGCATGGACTCTAGAGAGGGGGGGGAGGGGCAGCTCTGGACTGCAGTACCCATTTTAAACTCTAGTTGTCAGAATTATATATCGCTCCTTTAACCTAATAATAATGCAGCGAAGTTCATATCCTGTGTTTGGTACAAAACAGGTGCAATCTTCATACATGTTAGAAAACTGCTTCATTATGTTTTCTATTTGTTTGTGAGAAATGACAGTATTGTGCCGTATAAGATTATTTTAAATATTTCATTTGTTTTCGATGAAAAAAAATGCTAAACTTGAAGCAGAACTTAGTTACACTTAATGTCAATCTTAACTTAGCTGTGTGTCTGCCCAGCACGTCCACAAAGAAGGCTCAACACCTCAGGGTGTTTTTCACGTGTGTCTACACAGTGCAACACGCACACACAGTGTCTCGCCTTCATGTTCTTCTACTAGGCTAACGTGTGTGTGTGTGTGTGTGTGTGTGTGTGTGTGTGTGTGTGTGTGTGTGTGTGTGTGTGTGTGTGTGTGTGTGTGTGTGTGTGTGTGTGTGTGTGTGTGTGTGTGTGTGTGTGTGTGTGTGTGTGTGTGTGTGTGTGTGTGTGCAGGGAGCAGCTCTGGAGCAGGCCATCATCAGTCAGAGGCCTCAGCTGGAGAAGCTCATCGCCACGACGGCTCACGAGCGCATGCCGTGGTTTCACGGGTTGATAACTCGAGAGGACTCGGAGCCCCGGCTGCAGAGGGGGTCGCGGACTAACGGGAAATTCTTGTAAGTGTAATTCTGACTTTTTTTTTTATGGCTGAAGGAATTGTAAAGATTTTTGTTGGTAGCAGGCTATAAAGACGACATCACATCTGACTTCACTTCAAAACATCAAAGAGAAAGACTCGTCAGACTCTGTCTTTTCTCACAGAGCAGAGTTTGTTTTTTTGGGGGGGGGACCAATGTTGGCATCGTAAGCAGTCTGGTCTGGAGTCCACGTATATTATTAACCATCAGCCTTCAGCATGCTGCAGTTGTGTGCAGGACAACAATCTGCAATCCCAGAAATGTCTCTTGCTCTCGCCCCTCTTGCTCTTTCTCTTTTTTTTTGTCTGAGGTATTTATTGAGTTATACCTGTGTGTGGAGTTGAATTGTTGACTTGGTCTTTGTATCGGTCTCATTTTGTGTCTGTGTGATGTCATTAAGAAATGTTTCTTAAAATGTGTCTGAATAATTCCATAAGTGAAGGGGCCATTTCAGGCCAGACAGGAAAATAAGAGATTCATTCATTCATGCAATCCAAGAACCCCGGGGGCAATTAAGGAACAAGATTGATCATTTTATTCATCTCTTAAAACTTCAGCATCTTTATATTTGTGCAGAAACCATCAGCCCTCTCTCCAACTCCAACTCCATTCTCATGTCTGGAGATGCTAGTTGGACTTCAAACGATAACAAGCACACCGAAAAGAAGTGTCAGTGAGGATGTCCTTCATCACTTATTCTGATTCCTGCTCGTAACACCTGAAGCCTCGAACACCTGAGGTTTATGTATGAGTAAAACTAGATTCGCTAAAAGTTAGAGAAGAAAGTGTGAAGCTCCTGAGGTGGAGCCAGGAGGACAGCAGGGTGAAAATTGGGATGAAGGACTGAACTAAAGAGCAATAAAGGCAGCTGTTGCTCAGTTGGTAGAGTCGGTTGTCTCTCAGCTGGAAGGTCGGGGGTTCGATCCCCCAGCTCCTGCAGCCACATGTCCGATGTGTCCTGTCTGTACGTACTTACAAACTCCATTCGATCTGCAGTCCCTTTGCACATTTAAGAAAAAGCAAAAGACCCAGCTCATTATGAACACCTACGACCTTCAGGAGGATGATGATGATGATGGTTTGTTTGATAACGACTGATTAGAGCTCTCAAGAACTGTTGTCAATGTTGTGCTTTGCCTCTGTTCACTTCCTGTCAGCACCTGTGTGTCCAATCGGACTCAAAGCTGATCGTTTGCACTTACTGACATTGTTTCCTTTTTTCTAGATCCTTGCTTGTGTTGTACTTACTCTCTGATGTACGTCGCTTTGGAGAAAAGCATCTGCTAAGTGAAGTGTAGAATTGTAGAAGTGTGTCCTTGGGCAAGACACCTAACTCCATGTTGATCCCACTGCTTTGTCAGCGGTGTATGAATGTGTATGAATGTGTATGAATGTGTATGAATGTGTATGAATGTGTATGAATGTGTATGAATGGATGAGTTAATACTGATGGACTCTTTACTCAGCAGCTTCTACCATCAGGGTGTGAATGTGTAGGTGTGACCTGTGTGTGACATTTTCCATTCACCAGAAGGCTTTTCTATTACTTCAGGTCCCTGCTGTCCACTGTGGATCATTTAGCAGGCTTGTTGTCTTCAGAGCAAACATCGCTGCAAAGGTTTTTGTTCTGGTACTGACTGTTCCGCTGTTGAAGAGGCGGGACTTGCAGCGTTTGTCTTCTTGCAGTAGTATTCTGAATGTGTGTTTTGATTTCATATAGTTCATGTATTTATTTGTAGCACGTTTGAAGTCAGTTGTTTCAGCCCTCTTGCAGCATGTTTTTGTGGGACGTTTGCATTGGTTTCTGAATTTTCTGTATGTTAAATGTAAGTCGTGTCAGCCTTTACAGAGTGGGTGCATCTGTCATCCACCGCAGACTGTAAAACCCGACACCAGTGTCTATCATCCTCTGATACAGGACTACGATGTGGTTCCACCAGCCATTACCATATATCTTTAACCACCAAAGATCAAGTAATTATCAGTGAATTATTGTGTGACAGTCACAAATACGTTTGTCACTTCTTGAGCACAGATCAAGTTTGTTCCGTAAATGTACGACAGAAACTCAAAACTTTACTCAATGTTTCACCTCACCACAGAGACAGTTACGGCTCTGTTTGTTCCCTTTAAGCTGTCGTGTATTCTCGTGAAAATCTGCTCAAAAGAAAGACAGAGAGAGAGCCCTAAACCGACCGCTGGAGCAGTGAACTGTGTCTGACAGATGTTTTAATTCTGAAGTCTTTTACTTTGAAATGTTTGAACTAAGCGAACGATAAGTGGTATTTATAGCAGCTAACGCTTCGGTTGAGAGGCAGTGTAGTCTCGGCTGAAGAAACACACACACCCACACACACACACACACACACACACACACACACACACACACGAACACACACACAGTGTGGTTTCCGCTCTGGCAGTTTGCAAGGGACTTCCTGAAGTAGCCAAACAAGAAGAAGAACGATAGCGGTGACTCGTCTGTCCTTTTTTCTCATGAAGCGTCTAAAACACAAACTCATGTTCACACTTCTGTAACGCAGAACATAAAACTCTTTAAGATGAATTACTGCAAAAAGCGCCGCACTCAGGGAGAAGTCATCATTTGGTTGTGCAACGCATCAAAGACAAACAATGAGAGCTGAATTTAAATGAACAATAAGGGAAGTACAGTTATAAATAAAGACACACGGTTCATAAGTCTTCTTAAGCTTCGTTTCTCTTCCTGTAACAGAGTGTCGCTTTGTTACCGTAATGCCACCGTTGCTTCTTCCCCCGATCCTTATCTTTGAAACTAGTCACGCCCACCGATGTCACGCTCCGAGGATCAGATGCAGAACTTTTAACGTTTGACAAGAAGGTTTCAGGTCCTCTGAGAGCATCACTAAAGGTTTGAAGACGATTTAAAGAAAAATAAATCAGTCTGGACATGACGCTTCAGGCTGCTGGCAGTCCCTCGCTCACGTCTCAAGGTCAGTCACAGCCTCCATCAGGGCTGTTGACTTTTTTACGTCCCGCCTCAAAACGTACATCTGTTCTTTCTAAATCCCTCGGGTCCTAAGGAAGCTGCGGGTGGAACATGTTGTTTTCTCACACTAAAGTGACAGTAAAGTTATTTTCAGTGTGCCACGGACGATTTATTTATTTTTCTCTGAACGTTCCTGCGACCGAGCGACGATTTATTTATTTTTCTCTGAACGTTCCTGCGACCGAGCGACGACCTAAGAACGTAGGTCGACTGTGCACGGGGTGACCTGTTGGTCATTTGTTTCTAAAGACATCCAGATAACAAGAAAGAAAATACAAATATGCAGAAATGGTAGCTAAAAATTGCAAAGACAAATATGAAAATGGATTCATATTACGATTTTAACATTTGTAGAACTGTATAAAAATATTTCTGAAAGTCGAAATGCTTTATCAAATCCAAGAGAAGAGGATTAGGGCCACATACGACAAAGAAACATTTATTGGCAACGTTTTTATACCAGACCTTCATCAGCGACCAGCTCCCTCAGACTCACATCCTCCTGCATCAGGTTCCAACCAGCAGGAGCAGTGTACCTGAAACTCCTTTTCCCTGTTTTTAAAGACACACTTTGGGAGCAGATAACAAGAATACATGTTGCAACTGGGTCACAGATCGAAGACTGAAGCTTCCAGAAATTATCAAATGAATAAAATGACACAAGTATGAGGGAAGCAGGTTCAGTAGTGCCTTATAAATAAGGACATGTCAGTGATTTAGTCTGCGAGCATAGACTGTGTATAAACATGGACGTAGTCTCTGTGACGTCACCCATCGGTTTCTGAAGCAGACTTTTGAAGCTTATTGGTGGCGGCCGCCATCTTGGAAATGCTGTCAAAGTAACTTTGATGGAAACAAAAAGCTGGAGTTTAAGCAGGCCGGTCTTACGCCTCCTGAAAATGAGTGACAACACACCCGCCTGTCAGTCAGACCAGCCACGCCCCTAATTCAGAATAACTCTTATCCTGAGTTATAAAATAACTCACAGTGTATTCAGTGTGTGCAGATTAAGACATGAGCTATTCAGATCAAATTTGTTTTTTTGAACCAGGCAATAAACTATGTTAACTTTTTTGAATGGGTGTGTATGTGACTTACTGTGCTTCTGCTGCCAGCCTCTAGTGGACACTCGAGGAACTGCAGGATTTTGCACTTCAGCATCGGCTTCATTTGACTGATCTCCCAGACATCCTCCTTTTACTTCAAGAGTTTAATCTTGTTTCTTCTTCTTTTTCTTCTTCTTTGTTCAGGATCCGTCAGAGAGATCAGAGCGGATCCTACGCTCTGTGTTTACTTCACGAAGGACAAGTCATGCACTATCGCATCGACAGGGACGGGAGCGGAAAACTCTCCATCCCAGACGGCAAGAAGTTTGACACCTTGTGGCAGGTTAGTCTTTTTCAGACTTCTGATTATGTTAATGCTTCTCTTTAACTTGATGTCATTTTATCTTTTTACAGAAGATGTACAGATATGAGTCAAGGCGTTTTCACATTAGGCACGTTTTTTTTCTGTACCTTGGACAACATGATTGCCTAGTGGGTCACTTGTGTAACGGAGGTGTGGCTTTAGGAGTTCTGCGTGGTTAGTTTGGGCTGTAGTGGTGGGGTCCAATGAGATATCTTCTCATGAGGCCCAATGTTGCTGGCGGCGCCCCTGCAGGTTGGTCAAACAGAGGGGAACAAAAACGGGATTCTAAATGGCTCAATGTAGAGCTCCCCCGTGTGCTGTTACTTCACACACTTAACACATCTGGACCACTGGGTTTATTAATAAGCCCCACCCACTAACAGCCAGCCAAACCCCTGCTTACTAGGAGACAGTAGAACCAAACAATACTCCTTCGTCCTCTCAGGAAAGAGTATTTTTCAAAGTACAGGCGAGCTGACCACGGGATATTTCTCAGGTTTTCTGCTACACCACGCAATAAAACATTCTCTCCAGACTCATAAGGAGCATGTTGACCTCTATAACTGATGCATGTACTGGTCCTGATCATTGTGGTGTCTGATGTGTGAACAGCTGGTGGAGCACTACTCCTACAAACCTGACGGCCTCCTGCGAGTGCTGACCGACCCGTGTCCAAGACCTGGGGGCGACGCCGGTAAAACATCACACACTACTAATCACAACACGTCTACAGGAAGACTTTTACACCCAAAAATGTGCTGAACATGTTTCTATTCAAACGTATTGTAAATAATGTTCACAGGGCAGACGGAACGACCTCTGCTCTCAACCGACCACCCGGGACTCAACTCAGCAATCGTAAGTTTTCTGTTTTTGTTTGTGTGTGTGAGGCTCAGGGGCGTTTCCTGACTCTTTTTTTGGAGTGGGGTTGCCCAACCCCTGCACTGACTTATGCAAGGGTGGTACTGAAAGTTTGTGTGCAGCCCTCCCCTGGCAGCCCTGCAGTGTTGTGCCTCCAGAGATCCTGCCATATTACAAATTCACCGTTTAGCAGTTTTTATTTGCCTTTTGTTCAACTTTAGCTAACGTTTGTATCATCTATAGTACAGCCATTTGATTGGATGAGATGTCCTACTAGTCTAATCTAGTGTCTAGCTCCTCCTGGAAATAACCAGAGTTTTTTGGGAGTTTTCTGCAAGTGTGAAACCCTTATGAGAGTTTGTTGATCCTTCTTTCTGAAATAGGCCCGGGGTTGAAAAGGAAGTAAGAAATTCAACAGTGCCGTCTACACAGGAACAAGGACTGCAAATCCACCATGGCTAGAAGTCCTGTATACAATGCATCGGGTGCACTTTAATCAGACGTAACAATGCCTACATGTATTGTCCCTGAGTCCCAATAATGAACAGGCTGTCGCGGGTTGACTGAGGGTTGTATTTTTTTCCAGGAGAAAGATGCTGCTGCTGATCTTTTATGTATTTTTGTTACGTCTACAGCTTCATAAATCTCAAAGGTACCACAAAACCTCCGTCCATGTGTAAGAATATCACAAGCAGGAGGTCAGAAAGTAATTCCTTTTGGTCTTTCCTCCTCCTGTACAGTAACATGAAAATGTTGTTAATGCGTACAGTATGAACACAGCGTCTCTGCACTTCCTTTAGTTTGCAGCTGAGTCCATCAGATGACTCAGTGTTTCACTCTGTCAGAGATAAATGTGGAGCTAACCTTTCCCCTGATTCTGTTTCCTCTGAAATGATCACATGCATGACTCTAACACATCAGGTCGCCTTCTGATAACCTCTCTGACCTTTTGGTTTGTTGTTGTTTTTTTTTAGCAAAGTGCTGCAGGAATTCTCCACAAGCTCAGAACTGTTCCCATACCAGGCCTAAAAAGGTGCACTAACCCTCCACCACCTCATCCTCTTCCTCCTGCCTCCTCATAAACCTGAAGGTCTATGAGAAGTGCCCCCCCCCCCCCCCCCCCCTTTAATGCTGCCCTCCCTTTATTTAATTTGGCTTCAGTGTGAAATGCTGCTCACTAACGCACTCGAAGTCTTTCTGTCACTTTTGTTTCTGTTTGGAGCACAGCTGACTGCTCACACAAACATTACTCATGATCTTGGGATAACAATCTAACGCCACCCAGAGGTTCCTCGCTGCAACTACACACCGAACCACAGACGTCAGTCACACCCAGGTCTGATTGGGTCAACATGTCTGCCCTGGTCCAAAGGCTCCTCTGCATCTCCTTTTCACTGACTTTGGAAATTCAGCTGATGTAATATACGATACGATTAGGCCTGTCCCCGGCTAAAAAGAGTCACATAGTCGAACCTGATTCATCAGAATTTGTCCATCGTGGACTGATAGTGAAACGTTTTGTTTAATCCATATTCTCTAAAGGCCCTGACACACCATTGAGATCTTCGGCCCTAGTTGGACCGTTGGTGTGTCCGGCTCCGTTGCTACCCGTCCCCCCCGTCTGCCTTTTTTCAGCCTGAGGTGGCTGCCGGGAGGTTTCATTTATCTCCAGCTCTCGACACAGGTTCAGGAAAGCCCCTTGAGCATGCCACTGTAGTAGCCATGCTTTCACCCATTAGTGCGGTTTCTCCTTATTTGTCTTCTCGTATCATAACAACGGACTACCGCCGCCTGCTGGCATGGAGAGGTATTTCTTCTCATGAGCAGAACGTACGTGGTAGTTGGCAGTTGGCTGTAGACTTTGTGGTGTGTTCAAGTGCAACTTTTTGGCCAAGACGTGAGGCGACGCCACAGGTGGCCTTCATAGCCACTAGTTCTTTGCCGTCTGATTGGTGTGTCAGGACCTTAAGAGTTTAACCACACCATTAAACTATTTGTCGTCTAGACTTGGAATAACAGTTTATTGTATGATAGAACTTGATCCATCGTGTTTCCTACACTAAATCTGCGTTACGATGACCTATCAGATATTACACGTGTCAAAAACAGCAGTCACACCCCCTATCGGCCCAGTGTGTGCAGATTCAACCACCCCACAGCAGCCACAATCTAAACATCTTTCAGACCAGTGACAAACTAACAACGTCTTTGAACTCACCATTTGAAGATTGACTGAACTCTCCTGATTAGAATAATCCACTGAGACTTAGAGACCATGATTTAAATCTAGTAAAAGATTGAATCCAAACATGTTAGATCCATAAAGCTTCTCAGACTGCTTCAAATAACTCACGTACCACTCATGAGTATTCGACTATAAGGGATCACCCCTAGATATGAAACAGTATGTTACGTTATGATACGATACAACAGAACGGGATGTAGGGTTCCAGGACCTGTTGGCTCGGCTTAAAATTGACTTCTGTTAGGGTCATAAGCAACACCTTGGAAATGTCTCAGAGGAGCCTTTGGTTTTGAACAGCCATGTTTACCCAGTGTAAAAACTCAGATTTTATACTACGGTCTTGTGGAGACACCTGATGGCCCGGTGGTGAAGCCACCATCATGACGGTTTGGAAGACGCTGCACCTGAAACGTATCCTCTCTCACGCTTCAGACTGTTTGCAAACTTTGAAGCTTTCTGCACCTCATGGCTTTCTTTGTTTTTATTTCAGTTTCTGACTTTTGACTCTCTGGTAATCGATGCTAGAGATTCAAAAAGAGCTCCTGGATGTGAACAAGCTTCGGTTGTTCTCTTGTTTTGTTTTTTAAAGAAGGGGTATGGGACATTCGGTATGTTTCAAAGTCAAATCCATCGGTGATAATGTGGTCTGTAGAACATTTGAACTGTTCCACCCCTTTTTTAAATGCATGGTAATCTTCCTTAATCCCCGTGTTTTATAATGAACGCCATGTTTAATGGACACCTCGTGTTACAGTGATGCTGACTACAGACAGCTAATGATGAGAACATGTTGCAGTTCACTAACAAAGGCCACGCCATGAAAGATACTGATTTAGGATAGTTTATTGTAATATGCCCGGCGAAGAGCGAAATGATGAGCAAGGTTGGATGATTGGAAGATTGAGGGAAGGATAAGGGTCTAAAGATGAAGAGATGAAGGAAGGGGGGTAAGGGATGGAGGTAGGTGGGGTAATAGTTAAGGGATGAAGAGAGAGGGTTAAGAGTTGAGGACTGAGAGATGGAGGGCTGTGGGATGACAGTAAGGGTCAAGGGATGTGGGATGAAGGGATGACGACAAGGGTCAAGGGATGAGGGATGACGGTAAGGGTCAAGGGATGAGGGATGACGGTAAGGCTCAAGGGATGTGGGATGAAGGGATGACGGTAAGGGTCAAGGGATGTGGGATGAAGGGATGACGGTAAGGGTCAAGGGATGTGGGATGAAGGGATGACAGTAAGGGTCAAGGGATGTGGGATGAAGGGATGACGGTAAGGGTCGAGCAATGTGGGATGAAGGGATGACAGTAAGGGCCGAGCGATGCGAGATGAAGGGATGATGGTAAGGGTCAAAAGATGAAAGGATGACGGTAAGGGTCGAGGGAAAGGGGGATGATTGGATGACGGTAAGGGTTGAGCGATGCGGGATGAAGGGATGACGGTAAGGGTCAAAAGATGGAAGGATGAAGGTAGGGGTCAAGGGAAAGGGGGATGATTGGATGACGGTAAGGGTCAAGGGATGTGGGATGATGGGATGACGGTACGGGTTGAGCGATGTGGGATGAAGGGATGACGGTACGGGTTGAGCGATGCGGGATGAAGGGATGACGGTAAGGGTTGAGCGATGCGGGATGAAGGGATGACGTTAAGGGTCAAAAGATGGAAGGATGAAGGTAGGGGTCAAGGGAAAGGGGGATGATTGGATGACGGTAAGAGTCAAGGGATGTGGGTAAAGGTAGAGAGATGAATAGAAGAAGGACGATGGACTTGTGTCTGCTGATGTAGGTACGACATGAGGAAACCAGAGGGGTCGACACTCTGGGTGGGAGAGCAGTCTCTTCGATGCCGTCTGTATGGACCCCCCCACCCTTGCTTGTTCCTCTATTTAGACAAAGACAGAAGTAAAGAAACACAGAGGGGTTTGGGAGGGAGGGAGGGAGGGAGGTGAAATCAGCGTCGGAGGAATAGGAGTGATTAAGGTGTGCGTGGTCTATGTTCCTGAACCAAGTTTCACAAACGATATATATTGAAATGTACAACCCCTCTTCCAAAAGACAAAATGAAACCCTCGCATTTGGAAGAATCTCGACCCAAAGCACATCTATCACTGTAACACAGGCGCCATTTAAGCAGAGAAACCCAGCTATGTAAGAGTATATCACTGCAGTTTAAATGTCAGCTGTGCAATCTTTTACAGTACTACTTTGTGCTTTTTCTCCCCTCTGATGATCCGCTAATAGGGTCGACCATCTCAACGCAGCCCCAGAAACGATTTGAATACTTACGAAACCAAACTGCCCAACAATCAGGCGGCCGGCAAAGGTAAGTTACTGAAGTCTAAGTGTGTAAATCAACAGTTACATTGCCCAGTGGTTACTCTTGACTTGATGGTACAGTTAAAGCTCCTGTGCACATTTTTAAGATTTAAGATTCTCTTCCTGATCGACCTTTAAAGGGTCCGTCTCCCTAACCTTATGAACACATTGTCATTCACACTCTTTTCTGCGCCACGCTTTGCAGTTTGTCTCAGTTTCATTTTTTTACTTTTCACGAGCTACACTAAAGTAAACTTTCTTCACCCTGTGTAAGTATCGGTATCAGAAGTGTCAGAGGAAGCTCCAGAAACTGATTCTACTGTGCAAGAAATTGGGAGGAACAGCATGAAAATGGAAGCATTTATTATTAATATTTCATTAGAAATGTTGTGTTTGCATGAAGATCAACGGGCACCCTGACACTGACAGCGAGCTATCTGAGAGCTGTGCGCCCAAAGGAGAGGACTAAACAACATGTCAGAAGAGAGCGAGGGAAACAGAATGATTAAAATCAGCTTCTATGTCAACAACAGTAGCTTCTATTCTCAAACAAATTAGATTCATAAGACTGTGTGATTTGATTTCTCCGTCAGAGGCCATGCCCATGAGCACAGAGGTGTTTGAGAGTCCGTACGCAGACCCCGATGAACTGAGGAGCGCCACAGTGGACAGAGACCATCTCATGCTGGAGGACGGAGAGCTGGGCTCCGGGAACTTTGGGACAGTCATGAAAGGCATCTACAAGATGAGGAAGTATGTAAAAACACATTAAATCACACACCAGTTCATCACTTTTAACACCTAGTATCTCAAGATGCCGAAAATATGGATGTCAGACAACTGAAGACAACACTTTAAATGATTCTCCTCGTCATCCTGTTGTAACGTTGGGGGTTAGACAAATAAAAATTTTGCCAGCTCAACATCGGTCTGTAAACCATTCGGCGTTCTGACCTCTCTCCATTTTTCAAAAGCATCTCCAATATTGATCCTAGTTTGAGCACGTTTCTGCTCGTGGAGCTTATTAGAAACATGCAGAGGCTTTTTAGGTCGGGTACAATCACTTCTATCTGAACCACTTCTGTTGCCCGCTTCCATCGCTGCAACACCTGTTGGTTTGACCTGATAACTGCTCTCATATCTGGCAACTGAGGGGCGTCCAAAACGGCCGTGTGGGGGTGTCTTAAAACCGCCTACCTTCTCTGGTCCAAACAAATCCAGAGCATTCAGGACCAGAATCTAAAGTTAGAAGGAGGACATACTGGCTGCATAAAGAAACAGTCAAACACTGTTCATCCACTCCAGCAAAACAGTCCTTTTAAGTTTATAAAGTTTATAAAGTTCAGCATCTTATCGGCTGCCTCTTTGGATTTGTAGAACATCAACGTTGCACAGTTCACAGATCTCTGGATCATCTTTTCTCGTAGGTTTCAGCGAGTTGCCTGCTGGCCTGCCTGTCTTCTCTCGTGCTGTGTGTGAGTGCGCCCGTTTTCACGGCCCAGGTTCACTCGCACTGTGAAGATTGATTTCTTCCAGTTTTGTTTGCTTTCACTTTGTTCAACTGTGTTTTTATCTAATCCAACTCATTGATTTACTTAATGTGTTTATTTACTAATTGAAGCAAACAACAAAAAATAATTTGACCAGCATCATGTGTTTTATAAATCTAACTCTTCATGCTGACGTGATCCGTTTTGTTTTGATTCTAATGTTTACAGTTTTAAACGGTCTTCTTAACCTGCATGTCTTTACTCTCCACAGTAAATGCTGCTTTCCTCCTCCTGTAACATCTACAAAAATTTGTTATTTACAAAGTCAATCCTATAACACTACGAAGAAAAACTTTTTTTAAAACAAGTCTTTAGCTGACTTTAACTGTGGTCAAACATGTCTACAAAGTGCGGAATGATTTGCGTCGACATTGATGAATCTCGATGTGGTGTCATCCTGACTCTGACCCTCCGTTTGTGTCAGGACGGAGAAGCAGGTCGCAGTAAAAATCCTGAAGAACGATGACAACAACCTGTCAGTGCGCGAGGAGATGCTGAGAGAGGCTAACGTAATGCAGCAGCTGGATAACCCGTACATCGTCCGGATGATCGGGATCTGCGAGGCGGAGAACCTGATGCTGGTCATGGAGCTGGCCGAGCTCGGACCGCTCAACAAGTTCCTGCAGAGGCACAAGTATGTTCTCTGATCTGGATCCGTTCAGTCCCTGGACACAAGCATCGATAATACACTTTGTGCTTTGAAATGTGACTTTACAAATCGATATGAAGGGATGCAGCTTTCAGACACTCGCTTTGAAATTCAAATTTTTTTTTTTTTAGATTTTGTTTTGGCTTTTTTTTTGTGCCTTTATTAGAGAGATAGGACAGTGGACAGAGTCGGAAACCAGGGAGAGAGTGGGGAATGACATGCGGGAAAGGAGCCACAGGTCGGACTTGAACCTGGGCCGTCCGCTTGAGGACTACAGCCTCCATACATACATACATACATACATTTAAAGGGATACATTTGAAACTTTCAGACCCTTAGACAGTTTATGATCAGCCTGTCATTGGCCGCCTGTTTCAGGTTGAGGTTTACAGTAAATATAACCATCTGTAACTTTGATGATTAGAACATTTGATCCTATGCAGGCAGACGAGCATAAAGAACCTGACAGAGCTGGTCCATCAGGTCGCCATGGGCATGAAGTATCTGGAGGAGCATAACTTCGTCCACAGAGACCTCGCTGCCAGGAACGTGCTGCTCGTCACGCAGCACTACGCCAAGATCAGCGACTTCGGTCTCTCCAAGGCCGTCGCCGAGGAACAGAACTACTACAAGGTAACTGAAATGAGTCAGGGATCAATACATACAAAGCATGAGATACAGAGATGTATGGCTAAAGAACATCCTGATATTTATAAAGCTCCATTAAATGATCATTGAGAATAAACTCTTTGGATTTAACCTTTAACCTGGAAGTACAAAAAACTGCAGTTCCTCAAGTGTCCACTAGAAGCGGGCTGCAAAAGAGTCATGCAATCATGACCGATCTTACTGCAAGTATGGCCCGACTCAGCTCCTCCTCTTTGCCTGTGACTAGTTTGAGATAGGTTGAGTCAGCATTTTTCAAAATGGCGACCCCCATAGTTGGGCTTCAAAACTCCTCTTCAGTAACCAGTCAGTGACGTCGCAGAGACCACGTCCATGTTTCTTACAGACTCTGTATGAACCCTCTCACGTGTTGTAACTCGTATGTGTCTCCTCTTGCAGGCAAAGGGTCATGGGAAATGGCCGGTGAAGTGGTACGCTCCGGAGTGTATAAACTACTTCAAGTTCTCTTCCAAGAGTGACGTGTGGAGCTTCGGGGTTCTGATGTGGGAGGCTTACTCCTACGGCCAGAAACCTTATAAGGCAAGAGGAACATGATCACGTTGTTATAGCAGCTGTTTTTTTTTTTTTTTAAATGAAGGGATAATGTTGTCCCTCCTCTCACCTGTCTGTGTTTCTGTCCTCAGGGGATGAAGGGAAACGACGTGATGCAGATGATCGAGAGCGGACAGAGGATGGACACTCCTCTGAACTGTCCTCCAGAGATGTACGACCTGATGAGGAACTGCTGGACATACAAGTCAGTCTCCAGGGAAACGGTTTATAGTCAGGGTGGATGAGCTCTAGTGAATGAATACTCAATGTCATGTGTGAAAAAAGAATACATCCAGTAGACTGTTTAAAGAACAGTAATCAACCCCTAACTATGGTTATAATCTGTCTTTGTTCTCTTGTGTTTCAGGGCCGATGAGCGTCCTGGATTCAGCGTGGTGGAGATGAGACTACGAGATTATTATTACGACATCTCTCAGTGATTTTCACACTGATGATATGAGACTATGCAAACTATCTAGCGATGAGAAACATGACGTTGAATCCTGTATGAGTGACGCAGATGAACTATGAAAGCTGTTGTAAGTTATTGGCTTCAACTGAAGGATGTATTCAAACTTTTAAAAACATAATTATGCAAGATGTCTTTTTGTTTTGTTACTTTTTTTTCCTCCTGAATGTAAACAATATTCAAGCTCTAATAAACCGAACAAACGAACATTCATCTGAAAATACCAGAACACACAAGTGGGTCTTTGTGTTTCATAATGTTTTTAAAGGTGACATATTCTCCTTCTCTTCAACAACCTGAACCTCCAGTGTTGAAAAATGAAGCTGAAGTGTAAAATCCTGCAGTTCCTCGAGTGTCCACTAGAGGCTGGCTGCAGAAGTACAGGAAGTCACACACACACCCATTCTAAAAAGCCTGTTTTTACAGCAGAGATTAACATGTTTACAGCCTGGTTCAAAAAAACAAACAGGTCTGATTAGCTCATGTCTCGATCTGCACACACTGTACGGGGGGTGAATGTTTTAATGACACATCCGTTTTGATTGGATGAAAGATAAGAGTTATTCACAATAAGGCGTGTAGCTGACCTGATTGACAGGTGGGCTCGTTGTAATGGTTTGTCAGGAGGTTTAAAACCCGCCTCAGCTCCAGCACTCAGTCTGTCTGAAAGTTAGACTGAGACAGCATTTCCAGCATGGAGACCGCCATCGATGGGACTCCAGCGCCCCCTGCAGGAACAGATGGATGACATCACCCAGGCTTCTTTAATATTTACAGTCTATGAATTCCAGCAAGTGGTCCGGTTTGGTTCAGTATAGTTTGGTACGGTAAATATATCTGAATTTGCAGAATTTTTATCAAATGTACTCCTTAGCAGTGATATAATAATTGTCATAGCAGCTTGATACAGTGTAGCCCGCCAATAAACTCACACACTCAACAAAGAAGAACGCTACATGGTAAACAACGGTGGACGTCCAGCACAAGTTATCACCGCCGAGGTCATCTAAGGGGTGGAGCTACGAACTGTCAGTAGTCACAAAAAAACAGCCTTAGTTTTTCTACTAATCGGACGGCAGTGTGTCTAGCTCCGCCCTAGGGTCAGCTCGGGATGCTTGGCACTACAACAGAAAGGTAGCAAAAAAATATGTTGGCACAAATCTGTTATTTTGGTAACATTCCAAACTTCTGACAGTGAAAACACCAATAAATGCGTACCTTACAGAACCAAGCTGAACAGGACCGATTGGTGGAAACGGGTCTTATGAGGTCCTCTCCAGAAATGATGTTAGGATGATTTGTCCATTCTGGGCTTCTGTAGAAACAAGACGGTTTTTAATTAAAAGGACTTGTTGGCTTTGTAGCTATGCAGGTAAAGAAATGACAAATAATAAAACATTTCACGTTTGACCTTTAAACTTGTCAGACTGTTTTTTACTTACTGATTAAATGAGGTTTAAGATGTCTTTAAACCATCTTTTCTTTAAAATTCTTCATTCCTCCATAAACACTGTAAAAATGTGCGTACATGTAGGTTAGTAAACTCAGTTGTTCGTTTTTTGCAGTCAGAGGTTTGTTGATAACTTTTGTACCAGCAGGTGGCAGCAGAGTCAAAGTGACGCCTGACCAAAGACGGAGAAGTAGTGTTTAATGTACCTGTGAGCTTGGCTGATAACATGTAAGAGAAGTTCTTTCAGTGCCGTGGTTTAATCCTGGATATATAATCAGTGTGAAGTAAAATAAACCAACAAGACACAACACTTTACCATCAGATGATAAACTGATGTAAGGAGCCCTGCCCTTTAAAGAAACATTTAAAAGCAGTCTTTAAATCCATACACATGGTTTGCTAAACTTTCCCTTGATGGATAGATGTGCTCAAACAAAGGTGTGTCTGTGACACCTTTAGGAGACTTTGTGAGTTTATGATAACTTTTTGTAAAAGACTGGCTGTTAAATAAAAAACTACTCACATACTTTGTCTTTTAAACTCATTGGTTCAGCAGGCAAACCATCAAATCAACCTCTGAGCCCCAGGAAGTGGTTAGGAATCCCAAACTGGCGTCAAACAGCTCAAAGGAATGGTAACAAAGGTAAATGTGTGATGTCATAAGGTGGATATTACTTTGGACTCGTCAGCTGAGCTGTCTGAGAGTTTGTTAAAGTGAAATGAAACATTCAAAGATGCAGCAGTGTCCTTCTTTTACATCACTGAGACTACAGGGAGACACTGAGGACGACTATCTACAGTGAGCCTGAAGGGACAAAATAGCATGAGATTAATCTTGATTAACTCATTAACTCTGGCAGCAGTATTACATTTTAATGCCTAAAATTGCTGCTGCGGGCAGGTTTCAGATGGAGTGATTTTTTATTTTTTTATCAGTGTTTTTTATTTCATGAGTGAGAGATATGTTCTGCTCTTCAAAGACAGCAGAGTTTTATTCTTTGTTGCACAGGAAAAAAATCAGCAAAATGACAAGACGTCTGCATCGTCCACAGGGGGCAGCATCGTCAAAACAAACTAAATGTTCCTCACAGGTGCTTTAAATCAACTCATCAACAGCTATCATAATGTGTTTGGAACCTGCACTCTGTAAACCTGCACCTCTTACCTCAGATAAACCATCAGTCATGCAGCCCTAAAAGGACAGTTCACCAGAATTAAATAAAGAATCTGTCCTCTCCTAGAAACTATGAAAGCTGATCACCACCTGAAATCGTTTCAGGGGCGTGTCCAGACTTTTTGGACTGGGGTGGCCCGACTGGGGCGCTGACTTGTGCAGGGTTGCCTGAAGTTTGTGCACACACATGAATAAAGATGATTTATTAACCCCCTTATTTCTGCTCTAATCACATCGATTTTTGAGTTGCACATAATAATGGCAACATTTGGGGTGGCCAATAAGATTTCAAAGGGGGCCCCCTTTGAAATCTTATTGGCCACCCCAAATGTTTCCAGATGGGTTGTTCCACCCATCTGGAAACACCCCTGGGTAGAGGTCAGTGTGCCCGATTGACTTTTTCTTTTATTTAGCCCTGTGATTATTTAGAAACCTGTCCAGGTTGTATACCCCGGTTTGAACCTGGCGGCGTCAGCTAACCTGATTGTGACCGTTTGAAAAGAGCAAACATTGAAAGATGATCGATGGATTGAAACAGATAACCAGCAGGAAAAGCACAAGTTTGAATAACATCAAACAGAGATTAGCCGTCACTCTGTTCTGGCTTGGCGGGACTTGATAAAAACTGTTGATAATAAAATCTATATTATTGTAACATCCTCCGGTGCTCAATCAATGTTTCCACGGGCCTGTTGAGGTGAAGTTGATTTAGTGAAGTTCTGATGTCAGAGGTATGTTTTCATAAACCTCACTACTCTCTACCAAATAGGCAGTTTGCAGATCATAACTGAAGCTATGCTTACAAAGTTGGAACCTGCCTGACTCTGTTGAAATAACCTGCGGTTTCATTAACGTCCAGAAACACCTGTAACGACAGTTTGAACAGAAACAGTCTGAGTGCACGACCAGAGAGGAAAAAAAAAACCCGACTGAGCTGACCTGCCAAGACAAAAAACAAAAAAACTAAAATAGATGAACTTTTGAAATCTTTATGAAGGTTGTCGTTACTGTTACACCTTTTACGTCCCCGAGAGGTGGTCGGGGTCGGGCCTCCAGTATTGGGGAACCGGTCGGTCTTTCTTTTACGCAACCCTGAGCTGTGGTGGGATTCCCCCCGGCTCTGTGCTGGGACATCTGCCGGAAGGAGGCAGCCACAGTGGTGATGTGCAGCCTGAAGTCAGGCTCTGTGCAGCAGCAGCATGAAGCCACAGGGCAGCCTGCACGCAACCGCCGGCCAGGGCCTCAACTGTCTGCTCACACACACACACAACACACATATACGCATTACACACACGCGCACACGCCTGCTTATATCCTCATGCCCCCTCTGACCCTGCCCTCAGCTTTGCATGTCTATCTTTTAACCTGACAACGAACTGAGTCCTGATCTCAGAGTAGGAAAACATGCAGCCTCTGTGATCGACACTCAGGTACACAGAGAAAAATAAAACCAAGTGAAGAAGAGGATCTAAGAGGAACTGAAGGTGCAACACAAAGAATACCACTCATGTACTTATAGAGCCATTATGCAAAAATTATAATTGAAGGAAAAGAACTGTTGAAGCAGTTTTTATGTCCGTCTTCTCGATAGACATGCCTCTTAAAAGCCTAACCCTTTCTTCTTTTCATCCATGTGTGTGTGTCTAAGTGTGTTGTTTTTGTGTACATATATTTATTGATGAATGTTTAGTTAGTTACTGTATGGTCTGACTGTGGTGTGTGGTTACGTTGCTGTATTGTTGCTGGGTGCACTGGGATGTCATGTGTATTGTTGTGTTGTCATTTTGGAAATCATGGAAGAATAAATGCTGCTGCTGTGAGAAAGCCATGGGTGGTTCTAGGCAGGGGCCAAAAGGGGCCAGTGCCCCTGTAACACTGAGCTTGGTCCCCCTCCAAAAGGAAGAGCCCCCTAATAACAAAGCATTTGACTTAACAACCAGACTCACAATCTAGTATTAAAAACTGTTACTGAAACAAATATAAATTAATGATAAGCATGGTATTTTTAAATGGTATTTAATGATGTGTGCTATTATTTGGCATAATATATTTTTTAAAGTGATAATCTTTATCTATTTTTCCTGGGTTTCGGACTCTTGAACCCTCCGATTCCCAACCCAAGTCATTACAGACTGAGCTACTGCCGCCCAATAAATAAATACTATATGTCTTGGTCTGGTCCCAGTCTCAAGAGTATTCTGGCCTCGGGGAATGTCTTGGTCTTTGTTAGTGTGGTCTTGACTAAAACACTACCACATGCTCAGGCTTTAGTTCTCATCACAGCGGCCGGCGGTTTGATTGAATCTAACCTTTGCTGCCCGTCACTCCCCCCCCCCGACCGGCAATCTCCTACGAGCACTTCCTGTCTATCTTCAGCTCTCCTCTCCAATAAAAATGTAAAAATTTGCCCAACGAATAATATATTGTTATGTTGGTGTCGATGGTGTGCTTTGAAACAGACTGCAGAGGAAGCATCTTTTCTGTGCGACAGATTTATTCACAGCAGTGAGACGAGGTCTAACAGACCGTCTCCATGGCGACAGGTTCATTGAAGCAGTTTGAGGCTTTTTACTGATTTACAAACACAAGTCACATTAACAAAGATCAATGAAAACTCCACATTCTGGTACATAAAATCAACAGAAACTAAAACAGACAAGAAGGAAAAGAAAAAGGCAACTCAGTGGAGGTGACGTAAATGATGATGTCACTGCGTTTCTGTGGAAACAAATCTGAACTCACAAACACACAAGGCATGGCGTATACATTCTCAGGTGTTAAAGGACAACAACACACGTTATTATTTGTTCTCTCACGTCCTGAAACAGAAGATGGAGACGTGCTTTTTCTGTTTCAGACGTTCTCGAGAGTTTAACGCGTTTGTCGCTCTGTCGCAGTCAAACAGCACGAGGTCGACACAGAAACTCTGTCATGGCTTTTAACGCAGTGAACGATTCTACCTGCAGAGATTATTTTTATCAGTGATTAAAACTGTTATTGGTTACTCACTGAAACAGAACCACACGCTGATGAAGGCAGAGAGATGTGGCAAAGAGCTCTTAAAGGCTTAATATGCGATTTTTTGATCCACCAGATGTCGCCCTTGAGCACCAGCATGACACTAAAACAACTTGCGCTGCATTGCTGTGTTAGCATGCTAATGCTAGCAATCTTTATTATTATCTTGTATCTTCACACTTCATGTAAATTTACCAGAAATGACCGTGATCTAAAAACGCTTATATGACATTGAAATAAGCTGTGAGTCGCATATAATCGCATATAAAGCCTTTAAAGAAACAGTACGTCGACGCTGTAGTGTTACTGAGCTTGTCAGAAGTCTGGATAATTAAACACTTAACGATACGACAGGTTTGAAAACAATCTGTTGTTTTAATGGTCGGTAGTATCGAAAAGTACAGACTCTTTAAAAAAAACAACTTGTCTTCGGTCGGATGTTTAACTAAAATGCTGTCGAGAGAGAGAGAGCACGGACTACATTGCCAACTAATTTCTGCAATGTGTGCAGGAGTTCGCGGGCAGTTTTTGGTAATTAAAAACAAGCAAATAGCCATCAGTGGAAGACTAGGACTTCTATTTTTTGTTTTCGTAAAAAAAAAAAAAAGTGCAGATGCTAATGGCCAGCTGCATTGGTTCAATCTATCACAACTTGTCCCCATCTCACGACCAAACCATCCACACGACTGCTGAGGTTGTTCTCTACATCTGCTGATTTTTAGTTTGAGTGTGGACAGAAATCTGAACGGAGAAACTTTCCATTTAAATGTACTTTAAAGTAAAAACATAGAAATGTGGATGTAGAACAAGTTTCCAAACTTCCACCCCCTGACCTTTATTTAGCTGTGTTTAATGATTTATTTGCACAAACGTCCGATGTTAGTTTGCGTTTTTCTAAATGTTCTATATTTGTGCTGAACTAAAGCTTCTGATGCATACCTCTGAGTGTTTTTTTCTGGCTCTCTGATTGGTTCTCTAGTCAGGATGCTACTGTTAGTAACTAACTGCCAATCATTCTACAAACGGCAGGAGAGTAATTCATGTTAGTGAGTGAGTAGTTCATGTTGGAGGTGTTCAGTAAGTTAATGCTCTGTTAGTTGTCTTCACATCCTTCAGCGTTAGACGACACCCCCAGCAGCTGCTAGGCTGTGAAGTCTTCAGTCAAACCAGAAGGTGGGAGGGGTCCCCGATGTCCTGCCGGCACACGGTCGTCCGCGGGGTTCTGTACAGGCGGATGTGTTGACGTGTACAGAGTCGGCCCGTTAATGTTGAAAGCAGTGGAGCAGAATGAGAGCTGGAGGCAGAGAGAGAGACCGCCTCACTCGCCCTTAAAGTGAGGACGCCTCTTCTCCTTGAAGGCAGCCAAACCCTCCAGACGATCTTTAGTCGGAATCACCTGAAACACAACACGCGTCAGACCCCTCCTCCTCAAGTCAAAGCTAAGCCCCTCCCATAAACATCTGAGACCCTGCATCCAGAGGTCACTGCCTTTTATATCCACGACGAGAAGAATTGTTAAAACCATCTCTTAATATATTGTTTTACACATCGTCTTTGAACCGCTCTGAATACCTGAACCTGCAGAAATAAGTTCAGGTTATTCAAACTGTGTGACTACGAGGCAAACAGCGGAGCAAGCCATCAAAGTCTGTCAAAAGTGAGGAGTCCCTTCTTCATCACGCCGTGTCCTATCAGCACGTGAGCGTTATAAATCGCCACGCATCTCGCATAATCGCACGCACTTCACCTGTTAAATATATAATTGTCTGTGAATTTCAGTTTACCCTCTCAAACAGTAAAACATGTGGTGCATTTATTTTGAAGTTGGACAAACTTAAGTGTGGTGCTTTTATTTTGAAGATAAACAAAAAGAAGTGAGGTGCTTTTATTTTGAAGGGGAACAAACAGAAGTGTGGTGCTTTTATTTTGAAGGTGAGCAAACTGAAGTGCGGTGCTTTTATTTTGAAGGTGGACTAACAGAAGTGTGGTGCTCTTATTTTGAACGGGTCTAACAAAAGTGAGTTGCTTTTATTTTGAAGGGGGTCAAACAGAAGTGTGGTATTTTTATTTTGAAGGTGAACAAAAATAAGTGAGTTGCTTTTAATTTGAAGGTGGACAAACAGAAATGTGGTGCTTTGTATTGAGGAGTTATCTGTTCCATTACTCACCTGGGAATAACACGCCTCTTCAATCGCCAGACCCGTGGACAAATCGACCTGAGAGAAGAGGAGAAGTCAGGTGATCATTTAAGGACAAAAAGGCGGGAAAACAAACCCTGAGTGGAAAATGACGAGCAGGAAGTCTTACCTCTATTCCCTGGTTGATCGCCAGTTTTGCCATCCTAACAGCGATTGGACCCTGAAGACACAAAAACAAACAGTGACTTCCTTCTTTTCATGAATCAAAGTGTTTTCACCCCTGCTGGTTCAGCTCATCCTGCTCCGAGATCACTTCACCCCCCCCCATAAATATCGAGGCTTGAAATGGCGTTCTGAACAGTTCCTCCATCTGTTCTCCTTTAATGTTTTTTTTTTTTTCTTACCTGAGGGTTGATCTCTCGTGAGAGCTCCAGAGCGCGCAGGTACGCAGCGTCCCCGCTCTCGTTCTGCTCCACGGAGTGATTGACCAGACCCAGACGACACGCCTCCGTCCCGTCCACCACCCGCGCCGCAAAGATCAGCTCCTTGGCCAGAGAGACGCTGATAACACGAGGGAGACGCTGCGTCCCTCCTGCACACGGGGAGAGAGACACATCTAACCACGTGCTTCAGCATGCTGTGAGCTTCAACCAATCAGCATCCAGGACTGACTGCGTTCTTAAATGCCTTCAGTTAAGCTCGCTGCACTGACCTGAGCAGTTCAAACACGATAGATATCGACAAGAGGTGTGACTTCTAAACGTTTAAACGCTAAATGTTTACTTAAAACAGGTCGGAAATATACTTGAGCGGCGCGCCCAGGCATCGTCTGTTATTAACAAGCCGGCCGCCAACGTGCAAACATTTAGCAATTTGGTCAGTTTTGCGCACCACTAATATCGACTCTCTGTATAAACGATCGCACGTCATGGCCTGTGGAGTTTTTGGCGCTGGCTGGCTCGTTTCAAATACAAAACAAATGTAGCAGAGCGGCTGTTTTTTGTTGCTGCGCTCACTGCACTGTCAGTTAAAAACATTTCAACTTTTGGAGCAAAGCAGCGATTATCAATGTCACTTCTCCCTCATCGACCAATCAGAATCAAGACGGGGTGGGCCTTAACCAATCAGCTTTAACAACAACAACGGTGGAGGAGACGCTCCATTGACTTGTCTTTATGAGGGATCAGTTTCCAGGTAGAGCTGCTGATGATGTCAGGACACGATGACTTTACAACGCCTTCATGTCTTTGAATTACAGAAAATATTAAACACACAGAGCTAACGGACATCACAGAGGGAAGCAGAAGTTAAGTTTCGTAACCTAGCAACAATGAAAATGTCACCAGAAACCGAGGTCTGTGGACACAGACACTCAGTGTTGTTGTTCATGAAAGTTAAGACGTCTGTAAAGAACATTAAAATAATAATAAAAACATGGCCTTACCGGCTCCTGGAATAATTGCAAGTTTGGTCTCAACCAATCCCATCTTTGCATTATTGGCTAAAAAAGATCAAAGAGAAGACGCCTAAACATTCAGACATGAACATGATTACACAGAAAATCTCATCACATTGACTGAGATTCATTTATCATCAAATCAAGATTACATCGTTTATATCAAAGGTTCAGTCACATTAAAACGTTTATTAATGAAAAGCTTCAACATGTCCGTCTGTAACGTTAAACAAAGGGTCTCTGAGTCTTACAGGAAATTCTGATGTCACAGGCGAGCGCCATCTCCAGACCTCCTCCTAAAGCTGCTCCGTCGATGGCAGCGATGGTCGGGACGGGAAGGTTACCTGGACGAGAAAAGACAGACAAGGAGACGTTAAGACTACGATGTGAGAAGAAGGATCGTCTTCACTTCTGACGGGTCGACCTTGATTATAACGAGGCAGAGAGACTTTCAGACGAGCAGAGAAAAGGTCGTCTGAACCCGTTCTTGAGTTTAGCCTTTAGAAGTGGTTCAACAGGGTCTGAAGGTCTCCACGTTAGACTTCAGGGATCTGAGATGTTCTGGATTCTTTTAAACGACCTGGAGGCCGGCCCGTCTGGCTGAAGGCGTCCTGCCTGATGTATTTTTGATCGTGGTCGTACTCGTTTATTTCACGTCCTTTAAAGCAACAACATGCAGTTGTTCAGATTGGCGCTCTTTTGCACCCTCTGAAGGTCTTAAGAGTGTAACTGCACACTTGGGCGGTCTTGACTGCCCCTCACAGACGACGTGCATTTGTTAACAAGCAGAGGAGCGGCGTTGTGAGAAGACAAAGAGCAACTGGCAGGGTGCAGCACTGTTAGCTCTGCTAGCGTCTGTTGAGGAGAAACATTTTGTTAAAAGATGGATTTACCATCGACGACTTCACCGACCTCCACGGTGCATGGGGAGGTCACAAAGCTCCAGCGACACGAGGATCAACTCTATTAACAAATTAGACCGGATGACGCCGATGACAACCACAGGCCGGAACGTGTCGGGCTAATTTGTTAATTAAGTTGATCTTCAAACTCCAAGTGTTGCTGGAGCCTTTTTTAAGATTTATTTTTGGGCTTTTATTGGAGAGATAGGACAGTCAGTGAGAGAGAGAGAGGGAATGACATGCAGGAGAGGAGCCACAGGTGGGATTTGAACCTGGGCCGCCTGCTTGGAGGTTTGATACATGGGGTGCGCGCACTAACGACTGCGCACCAGCGCCCCTTACTGCTTTCTGACCTCTATTTATTTTGAGATATGACTCTGATTAGATGACTCTCTGCTAAACACGAGACAACGATGTCACCGACAACGCTCTACAACGAGAGCGATCGCTTACAGAGCTCTGTGATGAGCGCTCGGGCTTTGGACACAAATGGTCCGACTTCACTCTGGTGCATCTTCACCCGCTCCTTCAGGTCGGCACCTGCAAACAAATAAAAACACAACAGAGCATCAGCATCACACAGAGACCAGGAAGAAGTGGTCAGTCTGCCACGCCCCACAGACGCCGAGTATCTGAACGAGAGTCTGCTCTCTGATTTATCCACACGTCTTAAAACAGCTGATTAACGGTAAGATCCGGTGTACAAGACCCCGTGTCCACGTAACAGTTTTTTTATGAGCGCCAGCGTCTTTTTCCATATGTTTCAATGAGTAGAGAGCGTTCGCAGCAGAAAGTGGCCGCCTGGAGAAAAAAGTGTGCTCAAGTTGAAAACCTTTCAACTTTTCAGAAAGCCGCTGTTGACGTCACGGGCGCTCTTTTCCAGATGTTTGATATTCCCCGTAGTTTTGCCTCCTACTGATTGTGTCTTGTACCCACGTCCTCCTTGCTCCGTGTCTGATCTGGAAATAAACGATCTCAAATATAAAACATGCAGTAAAAACGTAACAGAGCAGTGTCGGTCATACAGCGGCCGTTATCAACACACTGTTGTCATGGAGACAGGACAGACGTGCCACGCTTTTCTTCTCGCTTCATGCAAACACTCCAAGCGCACAGCCAGCGCTTTACTGCTCGGAAAAAAACGCTAGGTGGACACGAGGCCGAAGACGCACTTTAAATACACATTAATTCAGCTAAAAAGTGCTTCTTATAAACCAGTGGGAACAATATACCAGTATACAATTCTTACTCTTTAGAGCAGCTGGCCCCATCACACACGGAACCTGGCCCGATCGAAAAACACCTCCCCCATTTGTCGTGTATTGCACGCCGTGCTGGGACACATAGCGACCCAGACCAGGCTAGCTGCACCGCTTTTTAACATCTTTCATCCGTCACGAGGTCATAATCATGCACGTAAAGAAAACTGTGGGATATCGTTCAGGAAATTAACCTCATGGAACGCTCTTCTTTAAGTTACCGAGTGACCTGCGGAGTCGGGCAGCGCGACTCGCAGGGTGAGGGTCTGTAGGCTTCTTCACAACTTTCACTGCAGACTGAAAGAGCAACACAGCTGCACAGAGACTGTGACTTTACTGAACACAATCAAAATCATCATGCAGGAAGGAAGCTTAGACCCTTTGTCTCGCTGGGAGGCGACTACAATCACACTGTGATGGTGCGACTTATATTCCAGACAGAACATGACAAATAGTGAACACAACATGAACTAAACTGGAAACACATTTTAAACAGTCAGTGAATCATAAAGAGCGAGAGTGAACCTGCACAGAAGATCCCGGGAACCAAACTGCAAATGATGACGCTGCGCACTTTGTTGTTCTTCTTGATGTCCTCCAGCGTGTCAAACATCTGGAAAACACATTTTAATGTACAACATGTGGGTATAAGAAGAAGTGACAGCAACGCAGACTTCTCTGAGTGACGCAGAGAAAAATCTCTCTCATGTTGAAATGGTTGTCATATAAATATAAATATCTGTATTTACCATTTTGACCAGATTCTTGCTGATGGCATTTTTGGCTTTTGGTCGATTTATACCAACGACGACGATACCTGAAAGACGTGCTCGTTAAAGGTAATACACACCTTCTTAAAATGTTTTATCAGGCTGCCGGGGACATTTCATCAGATCATTAATCAATCATACATCAGACATCATCAACCACGCTGCATGGGTCGCCGTGGTCAGTAAGAACGTGTGCTGCTGGACGGTCCGATGCATCTGGAGGAATTTAGCAGTGAGAACTGTTTACAAATATCTTCATTACGTTTTATTTTAGGGGGCGGGGCTAAATATTTGGTAGGACTTGCAGCCCAAACTGTGGGCGAGCTGCAGGTTTGTGCAGTCTGACTCTGTGGGTACACTTTGTATTTGCACTCTGGAGCATTAATGATGAAAAGAACAGAAAAGTAAAACGTGCAGCTGCTCACAACAAAGTATCACATTTGTCTTCACAAAAAGTTGTAACTATTTTTTTCTCCACTTAAAGTTTGACGTCAACACGTACTTCCTGATTTGGTTGTGGGCGTGGCCTCCGCTGCGTCCGGGGCCGGGTGATGTGTTTACACCTGTAACTTTCTGATTGACAGCAGCATCGTTACCATCGTTACCGCTTTAACCTCTGTGTTACATGTGGAGTGACGCGGTTTATTAGCGGAACTTACCGGAGTCCTCTCCGTCGAGGTATCTGACGCGCAGGTCATCCTTGGAGTCGGAGCTGTAGCCTCGTGTCGTCGCTTTACCGGACAAAACATACTGTCTCGTGCAGGCGGTCGCCGCAGCTATCCTGCACGCGCTGTCCCGGTCTGCTGTGTGCACGCGGAAGGCTTGTATTAAGGCTCTCCGTCCCACCAGGACCGCCATGAGGAGAAGCTGCAGAGATGTTTGACTTTCAACTATGAACCGGGTCACGTGGTGCTGTCACGTGACTTAATGCAGTCCCCCCCCCTTCAGTTAACAGCAGGTGAACAGTATGTACTGCAGACAGCTGAGGCATGCAAAGTGACGACAGAGAGAGAGAGAATAAAGAAATAAATAAAGTAATACATTTATAATTACGGAAGCCTGGCGGACATAAATTCAAATAAAAAACCTTAAAGGTCCAGTTTAAAGAAAAGACAGTAGGTTACATTGGAAAAACGCACAATACAAACCTTATGTGTACAAAAGCACATTAAAAGTTCAGTTTATGTACTATAAGCTATAGGGTGTATATATATGTATATCTATATATATATATATATATAATACATTACTATAATAACTACGTAATTTAATCTCTCTTCTTTAGAAATGAACTCATCACGAAATAACGTGATAAATAAGTCTTATTCTTTATCAAGGGAAAATGAAGTAGAATAAATGTATTGATGCCTGTCCTCATCCTCCTTTCACATCATTTCTTCATGTTTGTTAAGTGTCTTTGAGAACCTAGAAAAGCGCTACAAATATCTAATTATTATTATTATCATTATTAAAACAGCATCCTCCGCCTGAAAATGCTAACTTCAATCTGCTTCTCCCCTCGTCTCTGGGGAAACAACACTCTTCTAAACACACACTTTGAATGTGTACAATAAATAAAAAAGAAAACACATTCATGATTCAGTGACAAGACGTTTATTGTAAACAAAAACTCACCATTACAATAAGTTGAGAAAAGTGTTCAGATACAGAAACCTGGACGTCAGGCTGCCATCATCATCAGACTCACCGGTGACCAAGCTGTGTCATGACCCCTGACTGTTCTGGGACATTTAATGTTACATTTACAAACGCTGGACCGTTGGAGATATTTCGATGATGAGGACAGACGTTTTTCACAACGTGGCCTGAAAGTTAAAAAAAATATCAAACACAAACACACAAAGAAAAAAACAAACAAAAGTGAAGCAACGACTACTCAACCAACAGAGAAGAAGAGCATTTTTTAAGATAAACTTGAACTTCAACCAAAAAATCTGTGACTTGGTGACTTTTTTAATTTAAACTCCAGCAGAGTCGGAGGAATGTGAAGCTCAGTGTTTGTGGAGTCGTCTCAGCTCACCGCTCACAGGAATGCAGAAACAAAGTCTTCAATGTGTACAAAGTACACAGAATGACTGTGGCGATGAAGGAGAGCAGGATTAACACGAGGAACCCGGGCAAGAGAGGGAGAACAGAATGCAGAACTTTACAGGTTTGGGATTTTCTCACAGATTCCTTAAAGTTTCCTAGAGAGAACTTTTTTTTTTTTTTACAGGAAAAAGGAAGAAATTACAGGAAGAAATCAGGATTGTCCTCAAAACTCAGGTTCAACTCATGCAAAGTGAATCTGTTTTCCTTTTCATTGCCTAAAGCATTATTCTCTCTAGATGTCTTTGCATGTTTATTTGTCTTTCTGCAAACTCATTACATCATCTCTGAACTTCAAACATCCCATAATGATCTGGTAGAGTGCTTCTTGTTTCCTGTGAACTCAGTGAACTTATTTACTGATGAGGATTCTGCAACTTTACAAAGTTTCAATGCAGAGCATGAAACTGAACTTTTGCACAGACAGAGAGCTCATTTTCAACTCTTGTCGAAAGACGATCCATGACTAGAAGTCTTTTGAAATGTACATGTACGGAGGCTATAGCCCTCGTTGTAGTGGCCGTGGGTTCAAATCCGACCTCGCCCCATTGCTGCCTGTCACCCCTCACTCTCTCTCCTCTCAACATTTCCTGCCTCTCTTTAGCTGTCCTCTCTGATAAAGAAAGCAAAAGCTGCTTTTTAGTGACATTAAACTAAATGACTCCTCAGATGTGAAGATTTAGTGAAACATCAAAACACAAACACATTGACAAAGACAAAAAACTTTGCAGAGTATTCAGAGGACATAAAACTTGTACCTGCAGGATGAGACATGCTGGTCTCTAAAATATTAAAATACCACTGAAATACTTTATCTCGACGTTTCTTTTTTGGGCTTTTTAACCTTTAATGGATAGTTCAGCTGAAGAGAGACGGGATGTGTTGATAGGAGAGGGGGGGGGGGATGACATGCAGCAAAGGGTCAAGGACGGATTCAGACCCACAGCCACTTTGACAAGGACTATAGCCTTCGCTCATGGGCAGCACGACATAAACACAAGGCGCTCCCATGTTGTTTCTCTAAAGAGAATCGGGTGCATGAGTGGCCTGTAATTAGTCAAATGAACATCACTTCCACAAACATGGAACGTGCACCATCTATTTCTTTAATTACCCCGACCAAAATAAAAAGTTATCACCAGGAAATGTTCAGAAATAAAAATAACTCTGCTAAAACTTTCCTCTAAAAACGCCTCCACCCACTGTTCTTCTGTCACCACACCGACATAGAACAGATCGACAACACGCACTCTTTGTTGAACTTAAACATGACAGATTTCAGTTTTAAGGCATAAAACGGCCTGACAGCAAAAACCCCCGCTTTAAAAAAATAAATGTTGATATGATGGAGCCAGACTCTGTAAAGCAGTCTGAGTGACAGCTGGTGTAATAATGAAGTTAAAGGTAGAGTCAGTAACGTTTTCCTGAAAGGGAAATTATGATGAGCCCAGGAGGAGGAGGGGCCCAGTTTGAATGTTGTGTTTACAAGCTGCTACTAACTCCACCTTTAAGAGCTTCACACCTCATCCAACACATTAATAATCACTAAGTAATGGATTCTCAAGTAACAAGCAGACATCCTTTATTCAGGCTCCTTCTACAGCGGTGACAAACACACGCTCAACAAATCAATGTGAGTATTCATATTCATCAATCTGCTGCTTTAGTCTGAAGCAGAAACAGTTTTCAATCAACCAGCTCATTACAGATCCTCCACGTTTGACAGTTTGACCCAAACAGCCAATTAAACCAACATTAACACACATCCTGCACAGATCAGGACGTCTATCCTCCTCTAAAGGACGTCATGCTGCAGGTCAGAGGGGATTTAATAAAGAGGAAGTGTTGTGTTTAAATGACATAAACTTAAACAGTGGACTAAGAAACAGCGACGTAGAAGCAAATGGAGTGACTGATAACTGTGAAAGGTTTGGTTGGAGAAGAGGATCTAAAAAGTGAATTTAGCCTATTTGAGTAGAGCTCATTTTCCTCTGGTGTCACTCTCAAGGTGAGATATGTTTCTGACAATCCACTGCATCTGTTTCAGTGTATTACTAACACAAGCTCAAACAGTGAACAGAAGAGAGAAGGAGACGGAGACAGGAAAACTCATGTTTAAGAGAATGACTGGTTGGCAGAGGCAAATGACGGTTATGAGGCGACTTGCAAAATGTGCACACAAAAAAAGCTATAAAACTTTTAAACACTGGGAAACAAAGTTGTCGAGTCCACATCAAATTCAAAAAGCGTTAACTCTACGCAGTGCAAGAAGTGTATAAGTTCATCTTTGTTGGGGCTTAAAAAAAGTCTTAAATTGGATTTTAAAAGTGTGCATTAAACTCTACTTAAAACGACTCGTACGCCTCTCAGCAGAACGTCTTTAGAGCTTTTTATCCGGTGCAGAAAGTCAGAGAAAAATGGCCGCTGTGTAAATGTCGTAGAGTGTGTATAAAGAGGAGTATTGTACATTATGCTGCATGTACCATCTGAGCTATAACACACCACTTTCACTCAGCCTACGTCACAAACAAGCCGCTTTTTTCTCCTCAACAGACTCCGCCATCGTTCAAACGCGCGATGATAAAAAACATGTCTGAACCCTAATATGAACCACACAGTGCAACAGCAAATACAGTGAGAATACAAAACATACAAAGGTCATTCACAGAAACCCTCCTTTGATATTGACTCGGTGTGATCAGCGGTGCTTTTGGTCGACTCTATCACGGCGCCGTGCTGTGTTGTGATCAGTCTTTTCAGAGTGGCCATCTGTGCCGACAGGTCAGCGAGTCCCTGTGTCGGATACGAGGGGTGAGAGTGTGCACGGGACGGGTCTCCGGCGTCCACAGGGGGGCTCCAAGTCAGCCTGCTACTCTTCTGCAGGGTCTCTGTGCTGCTTTTGTGCAACTGCTCGGCCCGCTGGGTCCAGTCCTGCATGTCGGAGACCTGTGAGGACAGAGGACACAGGGGGGGCCGGGGGATCCCCGAGGAGTCCTGAGCGGGCCGGTAGCATCCTCCTTCTGATGCGCTGATGGGAGGGGAGGACTTTCCGGAAGGCTCGTACTCAGGGTCGATGGCCTCCACTTTGATTTGGATGGTTCTGGCTTTGATGCGGAGCTTGTGGGGCAAAGCTGAAGAACCTGAATCGGGCACTTTGTGTGTGGAGACGATGACACTCCTCTGGTCGGCTACAGACGGCGTCAAACCTTTAGGAACCTGCTGCTCATCCTCGCCGTCAGAGGATTTACTCACAGCTCCGTCCTCTGAGCTCCGGGGGGAGCTGCTGGACGACCTGGTGATCTGCAGGAAGGAGGCGGGCTGTGAGTAGACTCCAGACAGAGGGTTGGAGATGAACTTCCTGTAGAGTTCATAGGGGCTGCTCCTCTCCTGTGCATAGCTGATGTTCTCTGCCGACTCCTGCTTGACCTCTGCGGTCCTGAAGCCGCCCTGAGCACATGTCTCAGGCGTGTGAGGTGAATGCTTGATGACCGATATGCAGCTGCTGCGAACATGAAGAGGCTCTGAATCCCCGCTGGGACCTTCTCCGGGACTGGGCGGACCATAATCCTGGTAGAGGTCCACAGAACTGGACAACTTCTGGACTTCCTGTGCATACGCCGCCGAGCTCAACAGGCCGAATTTCAGCTTGAGCGACAGCAGCTCGGCCTTCAGGGAGGTGTTCTCCTCGCCGAGCGCCATCAGCTTGTTCTCCAGCACCATGTCGTTGATGCGTCTCTTCTCTCTGGAGCGTTTGGCCGCCTCGTTGTTTTTGCGCCTCCTCTCCCAATACACGTTGTCCTTCTTCTCCTCGGGGATGAACTCCCTTTTCCTGCGACAGCTACTTTTATTCTTGAAGGGCATTGCGGAGATTTTGTGCCCCATCAGGTCTCTGTCGGCCCCTTGTAAGGCCACAGCCAGGACCAGGGCATCCTCTCCGCTGTAGGAACCACTGGAGTCCACTTCCTGTTTGATTGATTGCATATTATCGCTGAAGGCTTCTGTCGATATGCTCAGAAGGTCTTAGCTGTTCACCATACTGCTAGTATGAAGCAACAGTGACAACATTGGATGAATCCACTGATGCTGAAGAAATCTGTTGAAAAACAGACAATGAGAGAAGTTTTAGACGTCGGAGTCAAACAAACTCACATTGAAAGGGGAGTTTTTCTCTAGGCTGGGGGTGGAGATACCAGGGGAGGGGAGGAGATTTCTTTTTTTACCAGAATCCCACTGTGACATCACAAGGAGAGCACATTTGAAACAGAGCATTTTTCTCTGTGTAGTAAGACTTATGCAGACCACAAACAAAGGACTGGATGGGTTTATTTCACATTTTGTGAGTCAGTAGACACTCAGGTTACCCAAATATATGTTCAGAAACACTGTAGAAGTGGATTTTTCAGAATATGTCCCCTTTAAGACAAATACAACAAACGTTTGATAGACATATTCAAACTTGTAATGACACCACCCAAACTGGGAAAGGGGAGCTAATGTGCCTAAAAATGAAGTTTCCAACCAACATAAAAGAGAAGCGTCGTGTTTTTCCCACAACCACCGCTGTCCTCGGTCATGCACGGCCTGCTCCAACCTCCACCTCAGCGGGAGGAAGTGTGGACAACAGGAACACGAGGAATACAAAAGAAGAAATCCTTCCTGTATATTATCCCATATGCTTTTTTGTAAAGCGTCTCTTTTTGTGAATAATGATTGATTGATTGATTGATTGATTGAGAAGAAGAAAAAGACGACGAACAGCCAATCACGTTGCAGGGATAGGGTTAAGCAGGTGAAATGAGCGACAGTGACACTGAAGGAGGCAGGGAGAAAACATCGCTGATAAGAAAGGACGCTCAACACAAATCCACACAGCAGTCCATGAGAAACTCTAAAGCTCTGAAAGGTACAACGACTGTTTTGTGTAAGAAGTGTGATGGATGAGAAAAGAGAGTGTGACAGTCTAACAGAAAGGTCTCTCTGCAGGGATCCTTTCTGTGATAATGTCAGATACTCAGAATAACAATCTGAACCGGTCAGTGTGGAGAAACTTGAGAACGTTTTTTTTTTAACATTAAGGCCACAAAATATGTGGGAGAAAAAAACCCACACAAAAACACTCCTTTAATATACTAGTAGGAGTGGATTTCTCCGGCCCTTTAAGAACAGAACATCTGCATTAAGTTTTTGAAAGCGCCCTCCTCCTCCCGGTTTGAAATGATGCTTCAGAGTGGAGTTTTCTTAAAAAGGCAGTTTGGCCTCTTTTGGGCTTCCGAGCTTCCATACATCCAGCACAGAGGAGAGGGAACAAAGGAGTACAGTCAGCTGTAATCATAACACGTGGCCTGGCAGCGGCTCAGAGAGTCCACACACACAGACTGTAACCTGAGGCTGACGCTACACACACACACACACACACACACACACACACACACACACACACACACACACACACACACACACACACACACACACACACACACTAGAAGCTGATTTCAACTGTGTTCAAACAAGATATTTATTTCGTTTTCATCTCGTTCTTTGAGTTCCAAATGGCGCTTGGATTTTTCTATTTTTATCCTGCCCTGTTTCCACAGCAAAAACTACGGAAGCCCAAAGAGGACATGCATCCATACACTTTATTTCTACTTTGTCTATACTAGTCAACAAGGAAAGTTCAGGTGTTTCTCTACATCTCGACTTCTTCATCTCGTCATCTGAGGATGACAACGCTGGTTACCTCGTTAGTCCTCTTTCAAAGTCTCCAGATATGAACTCATTTCTACCAACATTTTTACCCCAAGATAACAAAATAAAAGAGTTAAGATCTCAGAAAACGACCGAAATGTTTCTCGTTATCACAGGAAGATATGATAAAATAAGATGTATGGACGCAGGTCCTCTTAGGGCTTACCCTCTTAGCTTTATAAAAAAAAGTGCTTCATGAATTAAATTGATCCTGGTGGAGTATTCCGAAATGCACGCCCTCTTGTCCTTGAGTGTGTTTACATTAAAGCAGGAAGTGCTTCATGGAAACATGATTCATGTGAGTTATTGCACAGTATCTTTCACGTGTTGGGACATTTTTAAGGTCTCTATGAAATCCCACTTTCATGTGGTCACTGAACGTCTTCTTCTGCAGTTTAAATCCGGCAGCCTCACACTCTCTCACTGTGTCTTTGTGTTGTACAGAGAGTACAGATGTGGCACAGCTCTGCGGGGTTACGCGGGGAGGATTCCTCCCTTTTGTCTTCTTCTCTGACGAGCCCACGCATGACATCAACACTATAATAAGACCACGCACGCGATTTATAAAAAAAAGAAAAGAAAAGAAAAAGGGAAAGGGTGGTGATATTACCGCAACGGGAGCTGAGACAGAGAGCACGGCTCGGCTCGGCCCGTCAACACGTCCTCTTGCCCCAGATTCCTTCATTGTGTCCGGATTACACAATAACCCCCCCCCCTCCCCTCTCTCTCTCGGTATGACCGCAGACATTATGCAATATTTACCGGTGAGGCAATAACAATGTGTTTGTTCTGCTCTGAGTGTAATAAATATAAAAAATCTGTTACTGTTTAAGTAATAAACGTGTGTAACAGGCTGTTCCGAGACAATGAGGGCATTCACGCTGTTAATACATGACATCACTGCGTTACTCATGACACTGAAGCGTGGGGGTCTATCTACGCCCTGAGAGGGAGCCCTTATAATGAGCTGAGAATAAACTACATTAAATACATCGCGCTGCCTCTGTAGACCACACACATGTGTTTAGAACTTGTTCTGTGCAGTCAGTCGATAACAGCAGCTCTCATGACACTACAGCCGGACATTTCTAATTCTGGGTTTCACCACTGTGTCGCAATCCGTAAACTCCTGCTCCTGGTAGGCCTCTGTGCCTCACTGCATTTAAATACATGCCTCATATACTTGTGATTATTATCCTTCTTCTGTCAGACAGCCGGGTATAATATGCACAAGGCCTATTTATAGCACGGAATAATGAAGCGATAATAGCCTCGAACTTGCGCTTCACCTCTCATGTAAACGTAAACGTGGTTATTCTAAGTTTAAAACGGGGTTAGCAATCAAACAGGTTATCCACGTGACACATAAATGCACATCATGTTTAAATATAATACTGTAAAGGTAAATATGCACCGCAGTGATTCAGAACACCTGAACACAACACCATCACGCTTCCTCTCTTCCTTACATTAGGACTCAAAGTAAAGCTCCTAATGTAAACCTGAAGTACAAACTGTACCTTTTCTAGCACCTGGTTGGAGGACTCTGTCTCCGCCGGGCTTCCGGCTCAGGGTCCAGGTGTTCCATCAGGTGAAAATAAAAACAGGTCGTCTTAAAAAAGTCGCAAAAAATCCTACAAGTTGCGGAGCAGCTCGGCTCTCTCCTCCCTTGGCTTTTTCCTCTCAAGGTGGCTCCTGACTCAGGGATCTGTGTTAGTAGGTCACCGCTTAAGTGTATTGGCAGCGCGTGTTGACGTGACAGCCGCAGCAGCCAATGAGAACGCGGCATTTTCCAACTTTATCCAATGACCTCCTGCTTTGGCAGAGCGCTCGGATCCCATTTAAAGCGCGTGTCGTCATCAGCAGTGTGTTGGTGGGGCGTTCATGTGCGTCAGTTCACCACAGCGTGCTTAGATCTTCACGATGACAGAAACACAGTAATGTGTTAAAAAGGGCAGAACATCACAGAGACCTGACTGAGGGTGTTTAATGTGCACGGATGAGCTTTCATTTCACTTCGTTTGATTTACATGTATCTGTTATCAAAATAAACACGTGAGCTCACGTTTACGTGGCCTATTTGTGTACGTGCAAATTGTTTAATATATGTGTAATAAATACAATATATGTGTTTTAGATTACTTTCATTTATAGCCCTTTAATCCCCCCCTTGAGGTAAAAGGTATTTCACATTCATGGGGGGTCACAGAACATAGACTGTAAAGGAAAGTGTGTGTGTGATAATAACATTTGAATATATAAAAAACTACAGCTACCTTCCTCTACTCAAGATGTAGACATAGGCCTACCTAAAAAATGAAAGACCACCAGGTAATTTATTCTAAATATCGGTAAGAGGAAGGTACAAAGCCAGTAAACAGACATCAATAATAAGAGAGAAAAGTTATTTAAAACACATGCTCACTGTTAGTATTTATTACTGTTAAGATGTTTGAAAAAAAAGATCGTTTACAAAAAATGAAACAAGTGAAGGAGAAACGATTATTAATTGTTTATAAAACGTAGAATGTTTATGAAGAGGTTGTAGGTTATATTTTTATATATTTGCCATCTTAAGTAAGTAGGCTAATTTAAAACTTAAGTCATCTTGCAAGAAGGGGGTCTCCGGCAGAGGGTAATGCTCTATCGGGGTCCTTGGCATGACGAAGTTTGGGAAATGTGGCAACTAAGGGAATGGGAGAGGAGCTGTGGCTCAGTGGTATCGGAGGGTCAGGGGTTCAATCCCCAGCTCCTGCAGGGATGTCCGATGTGTCCATGGGCACATATGAATGATGGACTCTTTACTCAGCAGCTTCTACCATCAGTGTGTAAATGTGTAGGTTTGACCTGCGGTGTTAAAGAGCTTTGAGGAGTCAGAAGACTAGAAACAAACTGAAAAAGCTCAAGTGCCTTTACTCACATTAAATATGAGTTAGAAGGGCAGAGGTCATGAACATAAAATGTCTTTAATGTAAATCTATTGAAAAGGGAAATCATTTGAATGAAGGTGTACAGGGTCTCCAGGTGTATCCTATCAGTTAAAGGCTTTTTCACTGTCCTGTGGGTGAAGCAGAGAGAGAGCGCGCGGTGAGCCTTTTCTGCAGATCCTGAGGTGTTCGTTCAGAAAGTCAGCTTGCCAGCTGCTTGGTGGTTATCAGCGTGACACTTCTTACTTCCTGCCTCCTGCCTCCTGCCTCCTGCCTCCTGCCTCCTGCCTCCTGCCTCCTGCCTCCTGCCTCCTGCTGTATGAGCCTCTCTGTTCCCCTCACCGTGCTGATCGGTGGTTTAGTACACTCTGCTCTGATTACCTGATGGGCAGCAGGTGCGTCCAATGCAGAGAGCCCAGAGGCTGCAGCACCTGGACGAGCTGTTTCCCCTGGTCTGCCACAGAACAACTATTATTTAATACATTTTGTCCCCTTTGATACAGTGGGGTTCAGATAGACAATTAAGCCACCTTTAGAACAATATGGAAATAATCGAAATAACTAAAACATGCATTAATAGTCTGACAAAACTGTATTAAGCAAATTCTCTGCTAAATAAAATGTGTGCACTGTACTACTGATCACCACGAGGGGTCACTGTTGTATAACGTGTGTATATGTGCAGGACCCGAGTCAAGATGGCTGCTGCTCACATGTGTTTCTGAAGACTTCGAGTCTCTCTGAATGTAAGTACTGATTAAGTTTGAAAAGCCAGTCGTCAGTCTTAAACTTAGTTGCATATTCATGCAAAGTTTCCCCACATTTGAACCGTCTTTATGATGCAGAGCTCCAATGTTAAAGTCTAATATAGGTATTTAAAGGTTCAGCATTTCAGCACACAACAGGTGGTTGTGATTTTGGTGTAGGCGGGGGGTACAGCAGGTTTTAGGAAGTGTCTTAAAATGCATACTGTGTGCGGCTGATTGGACCTCAGCCTCATTAAGAGCAAGCTGATGGGAGTTTTTCTCTTTGGCCACACAAAGCTTTGACATTTAATACTAAATCAATGACTTAAAGGTGATTTTTTTTATCAAATGATGCTAACCCTGCAATATGAATTAAACACTTGCATAAAACACTTAAATAGCTTTTCTATTATTCTGGACTCCTCAAAGTTGTTCATACACCACATGATACATTCACACAGTGATGCAGAGGCTGTTATGCAATGTGTCCATCAGTTATAACAAGGCCCATTCACACACCTCAAGCTATGCCACTCGGGAGCAATTTGCAATTCAGTGCCCAAGGACTCTTCAACATGTGGCTGCAGGGGACTGAATCCTTGACCCTCCTGTTGAGATGTTGAACTCTTAAATAGATCAGCATTGTGAGCTACTAGGGTCATTTAAAAATATTTGGAGCATCAAAACACGCCACAATGCATGCATCTGGTGCTACTACCCCTTACAGACAGATTCCACAGGGTCCGTGTGTGCAGCGTTCCGTCTCTGCTGTGGGTTTTCTCCGTTTGACGTTGCACGCCCAACTCCACGGGGTCTGTTTCTGAAGAGTGAGTGCGTTGGATCGCAGCCATGAGCACTTCATATCAATGCATGAAGCCGCTGCATTATGTGCAGCAAGATCTCTCTACTTTCACACTGTTCACATGGTTTAAACCTCATCACCCTCGCCCACTGGCTCATGTCTAATTGTCCCACATATTACTAGCTACATTCACACATCATCTTTTGGACATTGGGTCTTGCAAATGTGCGTTCAAACTAGCAGCTCAATCTGAAAATTTGGGGACATTTCAGGAATACAGGGCGTGTGTGAAAGGAGCTGAAACATGTGGTTGAAATGTCCTGAAATAGGGAAGATTACTTTGAGACGAGTTTGCGCTGTAAAACCCAGAATCCCAGATGTGAATGAACACTTTTAGCAGCAGGTTCATGTACAACGATTGTGAAAATATTTTACAGCAAGATCCATCGCATGCTTACCTTTTCTTTGCTGTTTAATTTAGAGGTGTAAAAACCCCAGACAAACCATTTTTTAAAATGATTTGTTAGAGAGACTGGAAGCTGTGAGTTAAAAGGTTCAGTATGCGCTTACACTCCAGGCTGTTGTTGTATTTCTTAACTACAAAGTATATTTTAGGCCTGATGTAAAGTGACTGCTCAGTGTTAAACATACTAAAAATGAAATGAAATGTGATGACAAAGAACAAGTGATAGAACATAATTTCCTTCTCTTACGGAGGGGAAATCCCCCATTTTATTCATATGACTTTACGTGGACATTATTCGGTGAGCAAACCTCTGCTTCAACAAAGCAAACATGGTGGAAAAGACACAGTATTAACACAATGAAGACGAGTTACAAACAAATACACATGTGTAAACCAAAGTACATAAATTACAAATCCCTACAACTTGGTTGGCAAAGTTGATGTAGGGAAATAGGTCCAAAATACATTTCAGTGAGTAGAATATTAATAAACTAAACCATAGACCTTTCTTTCATAGATTCTACAATATTCTATCCATCAAGCAATCTGTGTTGTTTTATGCTTGATGCTTTTACAATCCTTAGAATTATTCCCTCAAAAACATCTTCCAATGGTCATTGAAAGTTGCACAAATTGTGAATGTAACTGGAACCTGTGTGCCAGGAGCAAAATTGTGGTCTGGAAATCAAATAAACAAAGTTTAGAGGGTGGGTGGCACAAATCTGACCAGTGAATGGCTTGTATATGGCAGGGGGGGAACGTTGCTCATGGCGTAATGTGCATTGGCAAATTCAAAACTTCTATCAAGGAAAGGCAAGTTCTGAAGATGTTGTGGGTTACAAAATCTTTGAGTGTTGAAAAAGTGAGGAAAGTAAATAAATTCTTCTTAATGGCAGCAGAATAAAAAAGTTAGTTTTGCTCTTTTAGCAACTGAAGAGTTTGAGAGGTACAAACATGAAAAACACTTTACAATCAAAAGCTCCAACTAAGAAACTCTAACATAAACATTCGGTCACTGTTTTGCACAATTGCTCACTGCACTGTTTGCTGTTCTTTAAGCATATAAGCTGCACTGTCTTTACACACGACACCCTACTTGTGTTTGATGAATTCATTCATCAGTATGTGGGTGATCCCTGTCACCAAGCATCTCTGGTTCAGGCAGAAGTTGTGAACAAGCTAAACACCAACACCACTGAAACCTGAGTTCTGTTCTGGGTTCTGGCAGCAGCTCTTGTGCCTTTCACAGAACACCAATGTGTGATGTCCAGGGTTTTGAGGTTGGGTGTTGGGGGCATCAATCCTGACCTCATGGCCTGCCAGTTTAAGGCCCTTGGAGGAGTGGCTCTTGGTGCTGAGAGCATGATGGTCACAACTTCTATCAAGAAAAAGGCAACCTCAGAAGAACATGTTTGTGTTGCACAGCAACGTCAAGAACGCAAAGTCTTCTAAATTGCAACCAAAGAAATGTCTACAGAGGGTAGCGTGATAACTTTTGCTTATTGATTGGCACAGGAGTTCGAGAGGTACAAACGTGAGACACACTTGACATTCAAATGGGTCAGTACTATAAAATAAAACTTGTACAAAAACATTCAGTCACTGTTCCGTACTTTTGCTCACTTCACTTGGCGCTACTTATCAAGTTTTGGCAAGCATAGGTCACAGATTAGTTCATGCTGGTCTTCAGACACCCCACTTATGTGTCTGACAGGTCAATCCCCAGTTCGTAAGTCGTTGGAGGATCATTGTCACCTAGAAGCTCTGTTTCAGGCACTGATGAGTCCTTGTTATGGTCTAACTCTTCTGGGGACCTCCTGTTTGCCAAGTCCTCCTCATTGGTCTTGGAGTCCTCGTTTAGCAAAGCTGCTCGCTCTGTGGCTGAAGTATTGGAAGGGGCAGTGGTGACATACCCTGTAGATGTGGATCCACTGCCGCTGTGGTGAGAACCAGCTTTGGGGACCATCTGTGGTGGGTGGTGCATCTGCTGCTGGGGCATTGGCATGGGTATTTGCATGGGGTAAAAGTTCTGCAGGTATGGGTAGGCTGGCATGGGGTGATACCCGTTGACAGGGATGTAAAGCTGTGGGGGCACCATTGAACGATGCATTTGCCCCTTCATAGGCATGAACTGTGGCTGGTGGAATGGCGAGGTTTTTTTAGGACTTGTGTAGCGCGATGCATTGGCTGTACTCATGCTAATGTTGCTAACGGGGCTGGTGCTCAGGGAGCTGGTCTGGGTGGTGTTGCTGGTGCCAGAAGTCTGAGCAGAGCTGTTGTAGTTGGACAGGCTCTCCCAGGAGCGCAGACGAGTGTGGATGTCCTTGAAGCGAGGCCTTCTCGCTGGGAACTCACTCCAACACTCCAGCATGAGTGTGTAAATCCAGGCTGGGCAGTCATCCGGAGAAGACAGCAACTGGTGGCTTTGCACCATCTCGATCACATCCTGGTTGGAGTGTCCACAGTATGGCTGCAGACCATAGTTGAAAGTCTCCCACAGGAGGACACCATAAGACCAGATGTCAGAGTCCGTGGAGAATTTTCCGTACATGATAGCTTCTGGAGACATCCAGCGAATCGGGAAAGGGCTTGTTCCCATGAGGTTGTAGTAATCTGCAGAGTACACATCTCTGAACAATCCTAGATCAAGGATCTTGACGCTGAGTTTGTCAGAGACCAAAATGTTTCTGGCAGCGAGATCTTTGTGGACAACCTGCTGGCTGGAGAGGTACTCCATCCCTGCTGCAATCTGGGTGATAAAATGAAGGAAATCAGCCTGCTCTAGTGTGGATTTCACTGTCTTGTCATCATCCGAGCTGCCGATGTCTGAGTTAGGGGAGCGCATCACCAGATACTCGTGCAGGTCTCCGAGGCTGGAGTAGGTGAATATCATGCTCATCGGATGCTCTTTGGTGACCACACCCAGCAGACAAACAATATTCTGGTGCTGCAGGTGAAAGCGGAGCATGGCTTCATGTCGGAATTCCTCGCAGAGAGTGGAGTCGACTTTGTCCTTTAATGTCTTGATGGCCACCACCTGGCCTTGCTCTCCAGGTGCGGTGCTGTACAGGTGGCCCTTGTAAACCTTGCCGAACCGGTCCTCGCCCAGCTCCTCCATAAACCTCACAGCGGACATGTTAATCTCCCGCAGCTTGGCCTGCAGGCACAAAGCAATAAATAGAAAGACATGTCATCAAAGTGTATGGCCAACAATAAAACCCAATGTTGAACTTAAGCACTGTAATGCAACAGTTCTTAAATCAGGTGTATGGACGTCACTTTCTCTTTTATTTAAAGGTATTCAGATCGAAACCAAATCTCCTTTACTACCAACCTGCCCAGGGACCACAGATGGTAACCAGCTGGTAAAAACAATCTGGTTCTGCTTTTTTATATGGTCTCTGACAATAAACTGTGATAGAAACATTGATAATAATCAACAGTGTTAGCTGCTGCTGTAGAATGGATATGGAGAGCTAAATCCTTGAATTGTAATTGTCTTCAGGCATCAAAACACTGCACTGTGGATTTTAAGAGAAAGTGAAAAAAACAAAAATGTAAACGCCTCCTCCCCAATAAAGCCCATGGTCATTACCTGGTGCTTCTGTTGACTGAGCTGTGACAGCTCCATGTCCTGGTTGGGTGAGCCACTGAGCTGGCAGCGAGGCGGTGAGTCTATCGATTCCTTTTGTTTATTGCGGCACATGCAAACCAGGAAGAAGAGGCAGGCGATGACCAGCGGTATCGCAATCGCAGGGATCAGAATGAACAGGATCTCCTTCCTAGGGTTGTCTGGAGGCTCTAGAGAGAGAGGACGATAGCAGAGATAGCAGCCAATTAAAACTGGACCATTATTTACAGAGCTAACAAAAAGAACAGGTATGGCAGTTTGTTCTTCACTGTCTTGTTTTTTGGGGGCAAAGAGCTTCCATATTTGAGAGAGAAAGTGGAGCTTGAGAGGAGCGAGGAGTTGGACAAATTGTCAGCTAACTTTAACGGGGTCAGTTAGCTAGATGCCTTCTGGCCTATTTGACTCCAAATCCTGTAATACCTCTGCGTCGATTCTAAGCTGTAGTTGCCATCCTTGTTGTGAGCACTACATACTTGTGCGTTGGTGTGTCTGCGTAGCTCTGCAGTATTGTACGTCGTCTACAAATGCTAGTTGGCAGGCAGTCCGACTTCCATGCTTGTTATATTGCCAGTTTTGTTTACCGCCACACTCTCTGCTTGTTTGTGTTCAGCAAATCATGGTGACTGAAACTGAGCGTATTATCTTGGAGTTGGAGCTGTGAATATGGAGCAGTAGTTAATTATACCGCCTTGGAGGGTTCTTCGTCCTGCAGAATTTTAAAAACGGGGCCGGCACCAAAAATGTTGTAAATGCCACAAAAACAATGCTACATAACGGTCCAATCACAGGGCTTGGGGTTGCTTCATTTCGACCTGTGTTACATCTTTGAGGAGGTGCAGGTCGTAGACTTTTCCATTAGGTACGGGGCTACATAAAACCTATAGTGAATGCTATGGTGTAGATTTGACACAGAGGTATAAATCAGACTTAAATGGGAACATGATTAACTTAATGAACGTCATGCTGTATTGAAGAAGACATGAAACTCAGGATTGAGACACTAAACTCATTAGGAATGTTTAATGAGGGAATAAATCAACGATGAAGTAGGTTCATTGAAAAAAACTCTATACTACCAGACCTTTTAATTTTAGGGCACTTCTGCATTGGCTCGACTTTAAACCAAGTAGCAACATCCATGTCTTTCTAAGAGTTCGTGGTCTGGATGGCTTGTTGACCACAAGCTCCCGACCCTGATAGAAACAGGACAGCCAACTCTGCATGGCAGCAGACCAAGCGGAGGGTCAGGGCCAAGATGGGGGAATTGGACAGGGGCCTAAGCACTTTGGCAGTTCAGAGGAGGACCTTGAAAGATATCACCAGCACCTTCTATCGAGAGCTAAAAGATGAGAGAGCTCGGTTTGTGAGCCAACAGAGAGAGGAAAGTTCTTGAATTCCAGAAGGGAAGTTTTATGTTGACCTTCAAAAAGTCCCAGAAGTGTCTGTTGAAATCTCAGTCTGTGGTTTGATTGGACTCTGCGGTCCATCATACAAAGGAACTGTTCAATGCCATCAACAAGAAGGACATGTTGAGCCGGCCAACAGCTTTTACAGCACTTCAAAAACCTCCAGGACAAACACACATCTGAAGAAATTGCAGAGTTTACAGCGTGTATATCACATCCTTCTTTGTGCAGAGCTGAAAGATTAATCACAGGGCAGTCCTGCACAACAAACCACATGTGCAGCTACCAACACTCTTATTTCAGCTCTCCTTCTGTCTCATCATCACAAAGTCTCTTTCACACATTCACTCAGCGACAAAGATATCATAAATCTCCTGAGCACATCTAGACTCTGTTGTTCACTCAGGCACATTTTTAACGCAATGTGACATCCGCACACAGCCGAGCAGTAACACTAACCTCTGCTGGTTCATATATGATGACAAAAGCTCTTCATACATCGCTGCCTCCGGCGGTCGTGTGTACACACACGGGTAATGAGATACTGCAGTTCACACTGTATGTCAGTGGAGAAGTTGTAAAGGTGCAGTAACCATCATTTGTTTCTATCAAAGGTCAAACTGTAGAAACAAATCACCTGTCAGCTGTCTTTGTGAGTCTGGGAAAAATACAACACATGACTCTGTGAAATAGCTTGAGCACATTAAATAGTATAGTATTAGTAGTATTTTTATATCTTAGCGTCATGTAGAGAACGACTGATGTCTAGTTTTTGAGACTGATTATGGTTTTTGATATAAAACACCTTTTCTAGGTCGGGTTTGAGACTGATCTGCTTTTGATAACAATGATAGCTTTATAATAAAATGCAGTTATTCCTCATGCATATTTGTGGCATTTTGGCTCTTTATTGTTCATTTTGAAGCACTTTTTGATGCGTTATTCTCTATGACATGTTTCTACAATTACTAGACCATTAACAGATATAATCCATAACCTCATAATCACTGTTTACGGCTATAATTATGGGCTGTGGCTCACAGTACAACGTCTGCTGAACTGGATAATGTTGTGTTGCTTAATTAAGGCTGAATACTTAAATATTTTTACTTTGATCTATAAGTAGACATTTCAGGAGACCCCATTTTAATTCCATGTGACTCCAAGGTTGGGAAAGCCTGCTTATAATATTCATTAACTCAAAGTATCATTAAAATATATCAAAGATCCCAGAAAGTATGAAGAGACACTCACTGCAGGGCTGGATGTCACACAGGTCCACTCTGACATGGGGGTCCAGGGTGAAGCACCAGGGCGCCTCCATCTGTCCCCCGGGGTTACGACAGAAGTTGTGACTCCCCCACAGCTCGGGCTGGTCCTTGGTCATGTGGTGACTGTGGGGGTACTGAGAGCTCCACGGCTGGCAGTGATGACCCGACCTTGTGACGCTGACCGTTCCTCTGTAGTCCGCTCCGCTCCCGTTGTAACAGCTGTGATCTGAGGGTGAATCTGAGGAGCACACAGGGAGTCAGTGACGATGTTCTGAGACGGGTGACCTTGAGATGTGAATGTCTCAAACTAAAGGTAACACTGGTATTAAGGCAATTATTCTCAATGTAGAGTCAGAATCTGTAGCTGCGTTGGCCACTTCTGTCGTTCTTTTTACACCATGTCCTGACGTCCCCTCTACTCCGGTCCTACAGGGAACGCCTTCAGCTGTGAGGTGCATGTGCTTTAAAAGAGGACATATTATCCCCCTACTCCACCTTTTCAAACAGTCCCCTGTGGTCTAAATAAAACATCTGTGCTGTGCTTTGGTCAAAATATAACATGAATCAAGCACCAGAGGAGGTTTGTGACCCTGTATAAACCGGCTCTCTCAGAACGCTCCGTTTTGGTGTGTGTGTCTCTTTAAATGCAATGACCCCCCCTGAGTTTTCCCAGTACACATCACTCCTCTGTAGAGAGAATAAAAATGGCGGACCTGCTCAAAAGTTTTGTTCTAGTCTGGGGGTGGAGTCCATGGGTGGAGATACCAGGGGAGGGGAGGGGATTATTTTTTTACCAGAATCCCACTGTGACATCACAAGGAGAGCAAATTGGAGCATTTTTCTCTGTGTTGTAAGATTTATGCAGACCACAAACAAAGGACTGGATGGGTTTATTTCACATCCACATCTCACCCAAATAACCTAATAAAGGGCGGCAGTAGCTAATTCTGTAGGGTCTTGGGTTGGGAATCAGAGGGTCGCCGGTTCATGTCCGGAAATTGGCCTGGTAGCTGGAGAGGTGCCAGTCCACTTCCTGAGCACTGCCGAGGTGCGCTTGAGCAAGGCACCAAACCCCCCCACCAGCTCAGGAGCGCCCACTGTGGGCAGCCCCCTCACTCTGAGACCTCTCCATTAGTGCATGTCCATAGGATCCTGTTTGTGCATGTGTGTGTATTTCGGCCTATGTTTGTGTAGCATGTTCATTAGACAGAGTGTAAAAACGAATTTCCCCTCGCGGGATCATTTAAGTATAAATTATAAAATTATTATTATATAATATATGTTCAGAAACACTGTAGAAGTGGATTTTTCATAATATGTCCCCTTTAAGTTCAAATCACAAACCCTTGAACATGACGGTGTTGCACTTGAGCATCAACCTACATGGCCCTAGTTTGTCCTGCGGCACTCCGATCCTCATACAGGAAGCAGCATCACTGGTTCCGGGTCGCGGCAGCAGGTTGCATTTCGGCAGCTCCAGCTGCATGAGGATCATGGGGTTGGACCGGGCGATGGTGTACTCGGCGTGGCACAGATCGTTCTCCAGGGCCTCGCACTCGTCCCTGCAGAGCTGACGCTTGCGCGGGGCCCGAGCGCCTTCGTCGCACAGAGGGAAGACGTAGTAACAGAAGGACGGGATGGCGAAGCTGGAGCACTGATCCGACAGGTGGGTGGAGGTGCCGATCATGGTGAAGGCAGCTAAGAGAGAGAGAGACACAAATTAATAAAGCGTAAGATATTTTAGTACTAATAATTATACTCATCTTATAATGAATAATAAACCTGTGTTTGTTCTCACCTGTGATGCGGTTCTCACTCTCGCCCTGCATCTGAAGAGACTCCACATAGATGCTCTGGTTTCCGATGAAGCGAGCACAGGCGATGCCTCGGTACGGCTGACAGAAACCTTTATCACGTGATCTGTGAGGGGAAACAGAGGCTGCTTTACGAACATATAACAGCATGACAGATGGGAAACTGGACATTTTTCACTTTGTATGGAAGAGCATAACTCGCATCTGAAATAAAAACAACAGCCAATCAGTCTGCAGTTTCTTCATTCACGCTTCAAAGTAGAAATACTTTTGCTTTCTTTTTGGAATCACGAGAAAGTGAGTAGAAAGAGGGTCACAGTAGAGACGCTTAAACCTCCCAAGATGAGGAAACTGTTGACCCCAAAGGGAGCATGCATCACTAATAAAAAGGGGGTTTAGATATAATTTAAAGGTCACATAACCTCCTCCTCTTCATCAGTGTAAATAAGTTTCAGAGCTCCTCAAAACGTGTGTGACGTTTCTTGTTCTAAATCAACTCTGATCCTGTATTTGATCATGCCTATAAACCTCTCTATTTCAGCCCTGCTCAGAACAGGCTGTTTCTGTGTCTGTACCTTTAAATGTAAATGAGCGGTGTATGACCACGCCCCCTCTCTGGAAGGGCTTGGGTGTACTCGGTCTTTCTCGCTCCATGTCCTATTGTTTACGGTGAGAAGGCAGACTCAGAGGGCAGAACAAACACCTAGCTGTGGGAGTGTCACCCACCTGGGGGAGGGGCTACTGCCCTTTGTGATGTCATAAAGGGAAAATCTCCAAACAGCCTGTTTGAGCACACATTTTCTGAAAAGTGGAGCAGGTAAAAGACGGAGAGGATGGACTTTTCTCATCATTGGGGGGTTTGTAGACAGACTAGCGATACATATTAGTGTTAGAGAAACATGGTGAAGTGGATTTTGTTTTATATGTGACCTTTAAATAAGGAGATGCAGATTAAGACAGGCTGAAAAATATGCTGTCAGTCAATGCTAACCAAGACGGGAAAAACAACAAATCTTTCCATCAAATGAAGAGGAACCATTCCAGTATTCAATTTTTAGAGTTTTCCATAAACGCTGTCTGTCATTCATGTGTGCAGACTCTTAAGAGTCTTCATCTCAGCCAGTAAAGACATTAACACGGACGCTAACGGCGAGGCAATATGAGAAAGGGAAGCAGCTTTAACTGGAAGGAACAGGCCTTTGTGTTTGGATTTCTCCTCCGTTGTTTAAAACGGTCATGTCTGCAGCTCGTCAAATCTGTCCTCACACACACACACACAAGGATTGTAAACCATTATGTCATGGAAAAGTCATTAGCAGGCTGATTTCTGGTTTTCCTTCAGGATCTGAGTTTAACCCTTAAAAGCAGAACACCAACGTGAGAGTGAGGACCCTCCTTCAAAGAAAACAATATCTTATCAGAGAGGAGGAGGAGTGTATGCAGGAACAGACAAAGTTCTGCACACTTCTTTGTCTGTTTGTGTTTCTGGATTCATGCAAAGTATCTGCAGTCAGCTGTGAGTTAGCATGAGCTACCCTTCTGTTAGAGAGACACAGAACCTGCACTCCGTCCCGTTGACTCGTTACTTAAGTTCATGCAACCAGAAATGGAACATCTCACAGGTAATAAGTTTAAGTATGAAACTGATATTATGTGGCTGTAAATTTGTATTATTGTTTTGAAAATGTTTCCCTTTTTTGATAGGACAGCTGATAAGAAGACAGGAAATGAAGGTCGCCTTCATCATGGCTGGAACCTACAACCAATACGTCGAAAGCAAAATAGTCTCTGCCTGCTCTACCCGATGAGCCAAACCAGCAAACGAAATGAAATTAATTCAACATGGGAAAAATCTTTGACGAGTTTCAGGGAACTTCACTGTATTTTTTTTAACAGTCTCTAAACAAGTGCAGAAGATGAAGTCTTTTTCCCCCAGAGAAAGACGGGCTCTGTATTCAGGAAACAGTCGGCAACCTGGTTTGTAGAGAGCGTTTATTGATACTGAATTGGCCAACAGTCTCAGGTAGACGACAACAGCGAGTCCATAACTGAATCAATGTTGGCTCTGCTCACACACACAGGGGGCGATTGTAAAGTGTGATGACAGGCGGCAGAAAACGACTTCCTGCAGAGCCCAACGTTCATGAGGCCCCGCTGCTCAACCTGACCCCGTTTATAAGCCCTGAAATAAAACCAGGCATTGTACTGTGTGCAGTCCTGCCTCCTAAAAGTCAACCATTTCAAATATGAATCCAGAAAAAACTCAACCTTCATGCTGTCGCTGAATAACTGCACGTTTGTTTATCAGCTGTGTCTTTGTGCAAGGATCAAAAACAGGAGCAACATTACAGACTGACCACTCCACAAACTGAGTCTGAAAATGATCCTTCATCGTGCAACAGAAACATGAAATAAAGAAGTTATGTTTTATGTCTGAAACTTGCTTGGGCTGAAGGGGCAATTCATCAGAGCAAACAACAGCACATGGTCGTTCTAAACTCCTTCATCTGGTTAGATGTATAGTTTAAAAAAAGGTGCATTATTTAAAACCTTTGCACTGTTGTAAAACTCACAAATAGTGCTTTCACACCTGCAGAAAACTCCTGAAAACCTGCAGGAGGAGCGTCATGTGTGAACACAAACAGCTGAATGTTTCTCCTCCAGCCTCCTTGTATTTATTCTGCAGAAAATCAGAGTGAGCTGATGTGAGAACGCAGCAGGATATAATCAGGAGAATTCACCTGGAGTGAGTGGGAGGGGGTGGTGACGTTTATTCCCTGTGATCGCTGCACGACCATAGACTGTCTGCACGCCACCTCTACCATCTCCGTGCTCTAATGAACCTGCTGCTGCATGTTTCCTGTTCTCCAGTGTGTTCTCCTCCACTCTTTAGTTCACATTGAGATTCTGTTCAACTACACGTAGCTTTGATAGAAAGACACATATTCTCATCATAGAGTCATTTAGAGGACTCTGCTGCTTTGTCAGACACGTCTGTGTCTCGTCTCAGGCTACCTCTGACAAACAGAATCAAAAGTGTAATAAAACCGTCCTGAGGAGCAGCTCAGTGATCAGTCGGCTCTCTCCTCCGCCTGTAGACGTGTTGATCTTTGTGTTGACCTGCGGGGTCCGTGTCGGTCTGTACAGGAAGTCATGTCGGTTTAAGCGCTCTGATCTGAACGTGTTTTCTGACTCGCTCTGTGCTCGGGTCACGCTCGTGTCATGTTTGTGCTGGACTTAGTCTCCCAGCCCGACTCGAGTCCTAATCCACAAAACAAACAGGCTGAGCTAAAAGCAGACACACACACACACACACACACACACACACACACACACACACACACACACACACACACACACACACACACACACACACACACACACACACACACACACACACACACACACACACACACACTCGCTAAAATCACCTCTGATTTATTCAGTGAACACAGGACGTCTTTATACTTACAATCAGATTTATGAAGCAGTTATCTCATTGAGCCGCTCGCTGCGGGAGGACAAACTGACAATAAATCCTGTGGTCTGCATGAATTAGATTTAAAAAAAGCAGCTTTTGAGTAATGCTTCTGAATCCTTTGAGTCCTAAACGTTATTAAAAACTAATAAAAGAAGACATCCATGTTGTTTTACTTTGAGAATGAGGTTTGAGTCCTTCTTTTTCTCCTCCCTCTTTAGTCTCCTGAAAAAGGAGTCGGTGTGTGTTTCAGTCGCTGAGCTGAGATAAAAATCGACCACAACCACCAGAATAGTTTGATGAAGCTGTCGGAGTGGTGAACCTGGAATCATGTTAGGAATGTGTTTGATAGAATCAGCGCCGACTCCTTCAGTGTCGTCTGTGTGGTTCACTTACAGCTCAGCAGGCTCTGATCAAAGATCCTTTATTAAAACAACATCAGCAGCTGCTTTGTTTCAACTTCATGCAACATGATGCAACAGTCCACAAATATGTTTTTCCCCCTTCTTTGTTTATCAAAGTGTGCGCTGTGTTCCAGTTTGAGAAAATGACTCCCTGACTTTATGCAGAGATTTTTCTCATTTAGCCTGAAAACATGGCGGCACTCAGAGGTCGCAGTTTTAAACAGCGTTAAACTAAACTTCATTTTTAAATTTTTTACATTTACAAAAGAGCTCCAGCCATCTGTTATCTACTACTACTGTGTGTGTGTGCGTGCGTGTGTGTGCGTGTGTGTGCGTGTGCTGTGTGTGTGTGTGTGTGTGTGTGTATGTGTGTGTGTGTGTGTGTGTGTGTGTGTGTGTGTGCGTCTGTGTGCGTGCGTCTGTGTGAAACTATGATTACAAAGAGACGATGATTTATGTTGGTCTGAAGGTCTGTTATGTTAGAGAGGTTGTTCTGGTTGTGTGTCTGTGTGTGGTCAGTGTGAATGATGAGCAGCAGAGAGATAAACTCAGAGACTGTTTCCTCGACATGTCGTTGTTTTTAAACACACACGCCGTTCCCAGAGTTCTTACTGCGTCAACGCCACCAGTCAGATGTCAGAATCGTTGCTAACAGCCTCCAGAGAGAGTGAAGAGTTAAACAGACGGAGCAGTAACACAGTGCAGGACAAAACACACAACATCCAACACTTCCACCAACAACAGGAGACGTTCGTTTTTATCCTCTCACTCGACCACAGCGTCAAACAAACAGAAACCTGATTTGTTCTGTGAAGCAAGCAGGAACCGTTTGAAAAGTTTACTGAAATATTTTTTAAGATATTAAGTATAGAACAAATATGTTGTTAAGCATCGAATTAAAAGTCTGCTTCTATTCTTGTTTAATTCTGTGTGCTAGCTTGCTAGCTTGTTCTTCTTGCTGAAGGCTAAGGGTACATCAGTGCCTTCTACCTGTAACAATCACAGCTGTCACTAGGGGGCATCGCTTTACACCACAGACATGGACATAGTCTCAACGCACATTTAAGTCGAGCTATGGTTGCAGCTCGATTAGCCCATGTAATATGACTTTTGACCTTGTCCCAGTGTACATCCACTTAAAGGGAATCCATTTATTTAAGATGTGCTGCTCTGCTACGGTAGGTAGCGATATGCCCCATTTTAGGTATTTACTACTGGACCGCCTTCAGGTTGAAAGTGCTAAAAAGTTAGCAAACGGCAAAGTGGTGGTCAAACACGGACAACTTTACAGCTCTGTACATTTCATACGCTTTCATTTGAGTTCAAACACAATGCATGCTAACCCTCTAGCTTATGGTGACATCCGAAGGCAGATGATTATGTGACTTATGCTAAGCTACGCGCTAATGCTGTTTGATTTACGGGTCAAAGTCTGGCGTGGGGACTGTGGAGCGGCTCAGAACGCCTAGTCCAGTTTGGTTCAGATTGAGGTGTAAACATGTCAGAGTTAATTGAAGTCCATCCACATTATCTAAGCGTGTTAGTCCAACTTTGAACAGTTTCATTCAGACTTCAATGTTTACAGGTACTTTAAAAGTCCAGTTTTAGTCGGACTAACACAATAAATCTAATTTGTCTCTCTTCTCCCAGTTGTGGAGAGCAGCCCTACTGCGTTCTGCCCACCCTTAAGGCTTGCAGAGAGCTGGCCAATCAGAAGAAAGTGGGCACATTGAACGCCTTTTCTTGTAACCAGCTGCAGATTAAAGAGGTCAGAGGAGTCGTATTGTTGGCTGATGAGATAATCTCCCTGAAAGAGTCACTGAGCAACAAGGACATGATTCAGCATTCTTTCCAAAACCACGACTGCTGCTCCTCTCGTCTGCTCTGAACTCTGAATCCTCATGACTCAAACCCACAAAGAGAGAAAGAGAGAGAGAGAGTCCTCCCTCGCCCCTCATGGTTTCATCACTCGGTGCAGCCGAGCTAAACGATGAAGGTCTGAGCCGTTTCTAATAACTCGGTGCAGGTATGACTGTTTGTCAAGTCTTAGCATGTTCACATTAGCTTTGGGCAAACACCTCAGACACCACAAACATGCATTAACACTTCAACACCTCCAAGGATATTCATTAACTGCAGTCATTTCCTGAATTCCAGCGTCTGAATCCGTCCTCACCTCAAAAACATTTAGCCCGTCTAACAGGTGGTTAGCTACCATCATTAAACTGAAGCTTTGATTCAAAAACTAAATCATTGTCAAACTTTAACAACAAACAACAAAATATGACCTTAACAAATCATTCCACCTAAAAGGTAGAGTCAGCAGCTTGTTCCTTCAAAATAAAATAAAGTAAAGCTGCTCCATCGTCCCTTCTGGGCCTCTGTACATGTGTGGTGGTGTCTGTGTCTGCAGAGACTCTGTCCTCTGACTGGATTTTACTGTTCTGCTTTGTTCTGGTTGACTCGGGACGTTTCTGGACGAGGAGGTGGTGTGTTTCCTCCAGCCAATGACAGCGCAGCAGGTGAGTTTAGGAGTGGATACAATTCAGTGATTATGCCGGACGTTGACGTTGCAGCAAAGAAGAGAAAATATAATCACAGTGTGGAGAAACCCCAAGCAGATAAAGCTCGTTCTAAAAGGAGGGTGAACCTTGTGTTGTCTTTTACCCGTGGACGTGGAGTTGGTTTACTTCCTGTTGGACAGGTAGGTGAAAAACACCGGCGGTTAGCTTGTGCTAGCGTGTGCAGTTTGAAGGTTGGGTTTACAAACTGCTACTAACTCCACCTTTCAATGTCACAATATGTACAGGCCTGTTTCTGTTCTAACAGAATGCAGGTTTGTGTCCATTAACATCTTTTTTGTTGTTGCTCTGGCAGCGCCACCACCTCAGATTCAGACTACTGTTGCTAGGTAACCAAAGTTGGCTCACAGCCATTCTGTATAGTGATCTTTAAGTCAGTTTTTAAATCACTCCTTTATGTGTAATATTTGGTTTCAGAGAAACCTCACCAAGGAAACACAGAAACTATGAGTTTCGGATTAGTTTCTCCTCCTCCATTGTTGTTGATAAAGTTACGATCGGAAGACCCTCCCCTTCTTGATTGTGATTGGTCAGTGAGCGAGAGGGGACATCGATCAGCGTGGCACTGCGCCCAAAAGGTTGAACTAATTTCATCTGAGATTTTGTGAGTGCAGCAACTAAAAAAATGCTCACATTCAAATCGCCAAGAGATGCACCGCTCATTAATTCTAACACACGCTGACAAACATGTTTGTGTGAGGAAAGTGTTTACTCACGATTCGTCTGGGCTGTGTGTGGGCATCTGACCTGTGGACACAAAAAGTTAAAGACTTGATCAGGTAGCACAACATGAGAGGCAAAGTTCCTCTCCGAGCTAAAGATCATAAATTAAACTTTTACTTCCTGTAGTTTCTCCGTCTGACTTTAAGTGTGAATGTGATCCGTACCCAGTTTGACGTACAGCACGCCCGTAGCAGAGATGTGTTTCAGCAGGTTGGAGGCGACACACTGATAGTACCCCGTGTCAGTCGTGTCCAGGTCCTGGATCCGCAGCTTGGATCCGGCCTCGATCTTGCGGATGGTGATGCGTCCCTGCTCCTGGACCACGGGGGCGTCGTTCTTCAGCCAGCGGATGGTCGGGCGGGGGTTTCCTGCTACTTTGCAGTGCAGCGTGGCCGTCTGACCCTGGAAGTGTGTGATGTTGTTGACGGGCTCCTGGAACTCCAGAAAGTAACCTGCAGGAGAGGAAACACAGGCGAGGTTAAAAACTCTGAATAAGACATGTTAACCTCTGCCAAAACATCCTGCACAAAACCTCTGGCTGAGTCAGCAGGTACACGAGGGGTTAACTGAGGAGAGATTATTCACTAATTGTTCACAAACAGCTTCGTCTCTCAGACAAATCAAAACACTGAAACAAACCAGATTGGATCAAATTCAGTCCAGACGAGCGACCTCAAGCTGTAAGTTGTTTAGAATGAACTGTGACATTAGATTAAAGTTGCTCAGTGTAACATTTCTCCTTAAAGGTCCGGCTCTATTTATGGTTCTCCTTACGTGACTGATGGCGTGCAGGCTCGCTCGCCTTTACCCGTAGACTTTCAGATTAATCATAAACTCTTTTAGGAATCCGTCTCCACTTTAAGACTTTCTCTATTATCAAAAAGATGAGCACACAAATATCAGAATATAAAAAAACAGAGGATTTCACTCTCCAGATGTTTGACTCTTTCTCTCTTTCTCTCGGACGTAAACGAGGAGCGAGGGCACAATTATCTGACGGGCGTAAGTGGATTAAGCGAAGCAGACTTTCCTGATGAAGTAAATATTTTGCTTCTTGTGCCCCTTGTTACAGCAGATTCTGTTTGGTTGGGAGCAGCTGATGATGAACAGTGTTTAATTGAGGGCCGCAGTCATTAATTAAGACTCAGGATTATTTGGAGCTTCTTGTAGCCAGCTGTTGTGTTTTTGTTTTCTTAGTGATCTTGCTGGAAAGTATTAAAAAAAATCTCCTTTTTTGTGTTCTTTCAAATAAGACAGGAAGAGACGGGATCAGCTGAGCCAGTGGGGGAGCGCAGCGCTGTGTGTGTGTGTGTGTGTGTGTGTGTGTGTGTGTGTGTGTGTGTGTGTGTGTGTGTGTGTGTGTGTGTGCGTGCATGTCTGACTGACTGTGTATGTGGAGCTCCAGCTGTGCCGTGTTTTCACAATGCAGAAATGCAATGTGAACTCACAGACTGGCAAACCGACATTGCGCCCTCATGGAATCAATATGAAAGTACAAAGTCAACTTCGATGAGCGAAGTTACGGCACTTTTGCAGAAAAAGCAGACCGACTTTCATAAATTCCTGCTCCACCCTCTTCGTCCTCCTGCTCAAGGAGAAGATCAACATGGCGGCGAATCAAATGCAAATCTCACCGCTTCAAAAAGTTAGTCGACAAACCGATCTGTCACTGTGGTTACACCCATTATTTACTCAACCTCTGTGCTGGACAGATGACTAGGGTTGTCTCGATATCAAATTTTTTAACTTCATTACAATCAATATGGTTTTTGAAACTTGGCTCAGGAGCATAGACCACGCCTCAAACACAACCCATTTCTGTTCCATGCGTATTTAAGCACGCCTGAATCACTCCTATTCCTCTGCCACCGATTTCACATCCCTCTCCCTCAAACCCCTCTGTTTCTTAACTTCTCCCCCGCCCAGAGTCTCAACCCCTCTGGTTTCCTCACGTCGTACCTACATCAGCTGACACAAGTCCTTCTTCCTTCGTCCTTCTATCCTTGCCTCCATCTTTTCTTCCCTTCACTCTAACCTCCTTCCCTCCACCCTAACCTTCATCCACTTCATCTATCCACCCTCTATCTTCCAATTCATCATTTCGATCTCCTCCATGCATATTACAATAAATTATTCTAAATCAATATCTTTCTTGTTGTGGTGTTTGTTAGTGAATAGTAAGAAAGCAAAGATCTCGGTATATGTTTCGATACAACGGTAACAGAAACAGAAGTCCTGAGCACTCACAAGGAATTGCACACAAACCTCTGCACACTCTCTAAAAATGCTGGCAATGACGTGTTATTTAGACGGCACTCTCTCTGTCTCTCTCTCCCTGTCTCTCTCTCTCTCAATAGATTTATTTTTTAAAGTCTTGATACTTTTCAATTCCATAAACATATAAATAACGGAGACTTTATGGTTTTTAAACAAAGTATAACCCTATAAACTGTGCGACCAGCCTTTCCCCCCCTCTAACGTCTCCTGGCCCCTGTTCAGCTCCCCCTCCAAGAGTTGATTGGAGACCACATGGTCTGGTCCTGCAGGACGGGAGTGTGGCTGACAGCAGATGAAATAAAGCTGGATAAACGGCCTTCGGTAATGGAAAGAGAACGACAGAGACAGAAAAAAAAACAAAGGTAAACAAGGACAAAGGCAAAAAAAAAAAAAAAAAGTTAGCGAGCCACCAGAGAGCAAAGAAATGAAAAATGACTCGGGCTCTGTTTTTCCTCTCTGCAGAGTGACGGGGTGCTGAGTGTTCCCGAGGCCTGAAGTTTCAATTAAGCTCGCTCGTGAATACTCAAAGCTTTACTTAAACGTGTCTCAGGAGACGCACAACAACGATGCAATTAGCCAAACTAAATATGAGAACGGCTAGTGTTGACTTTTCAGAGAGACTGACTGGGCTCTGCTGAAGAATAATAGGATTCAGAGGGTTCAGAGTGAACGTGCTGATCAGAGTTTCTGACCTCAGCGCTGGCGCAGGAATGTCTGAGTGTCTGTGAGGATATCTCCTCGCTGGGCAGATGACTGTATAAGGACAGAAAGAGGGATGGCGCGGTGCAGAGACATTAATAAACACACTCAGAAGTCTCCTGGATCTTTGTACCATCTGCACTTCAAGTTTATGAACGGAAACACAGACTCGTGTGCCCCAGAGTCCCCTCCCCGGCCGCAGCAGATCTCTCCACAGAGCGAGGCTGCACACGAGTGATGTCAGCACGCTGCTCTTTAATTATAACGTCTTCATCCCTCGTTTAAGGACTTACAGCAGCTCTCTGAGTGTGTGAATCAGCGTGCGAGGGCATGGCAGGACAGGACAGATCAAACAGCTTCAATAATTCTTGCAGGCGTGATTAGAGGACAGATGTTATACACGGAGGCCTGACATGTCATGTCAACTTGACCACCAAAGGTCTAAGGATTGGCCCGTTGCAGACTGGAAAGCGCGTTGAGACTCTGGGGTCATCTCTGAGATCTAAATAAAAACAGGCTGGACCTATTAGTAGCCTTTCACACATTTACATAGCTCCTGAAAACTTCCTGAAACTAGACGTTTCATTGAGATGAAAACAGAGATTAAAGCAGAAATGTGTCATCGTTGCATCAGGCTGTGTTGCTTCGACTGCATCATTCTATTTCCTTCCTGTCTTGAGAGTCTAAGTCCGCTATGAGGTGCATATGTGAACACCCAACTTAGGAAGATTTCAGGGACAGCATGCCTCAAATGTTCTAGGATTTTCTAAGAGTGCTTGTGTAAAAACAGCTTGAGTGGCATGATGTAGCTGTACCTAGCCGGACCATCTGCATCTCTACTCTTTGCAGATGATGTGGTTCTATTGGTCACTCAAACTGTGACCTCCAGCTGGAAGGAGGATCCTTTGAAGCCAGCTGGATGAGGATGTCATCAGAGTCAGAACCTCAAAGTCTGAGGCCATGGTTCTCTGCTGGAGAATGACGGATTGTCTTCTCCAAGTGGGTAACCATTAGCAGTTTATCTCGAGGTCTTGTTCATGTGTGAGGGTAAGAATGGACTGTGAGAGTAACAGACAGGTGTGTGTGCAGCGGCAGAAGGTGTGCAAGAGTTGTTCTGAACCTTCCTGATGGAGAGGGAGCTTAAAAGTCGGGCAAAGCTTCTGACTTACAGGTCAGTCTGTGTTTGAACCCTCACTGATCTTTGGGAATCGATCAAAAAAAACAAGAGTTTGGCGCTCATGTATCTCATGTTGGAGAGACGCTGGTTCTTTGCATCCAAAAAGAAACAGCTGAAAAGTTTCAGGCACCTAATTAGGATGCCTCCTGGGTGCCTTGCTCTGAAGATTTTCCAAGCATGTCACAATAACTTGTGGGATAACCTGGGGTGGACACAGAGTTCACTGGAAGGATAACGCATCCCACATGTACTGGAACACCTCAGGATCCTCAAGGAGGGGCTTCAAGATCTTGCTGAGGAAAGGGACGTCAGGACAAACCTGACCTGAAACTATACTATCTAAAGCACTGGAATATGGAAGTAAGGGTGTCGGTTCAGGATGGTGCAGTGGTTAGCGCTGTCGCCTCACAGTGAGGAGGTTCCTGGTTTGAATCCCTGTCTGACAGGAGCCTCTCTGTGTGGAGTTTGCATGTTCTCCTTGTGCATGTGTGGGTTCTCTCCGGGTACTCCGGCTTCCTCCCACAGTCCAAACAGGTTAGTTAGGTTAACTGCTGACTCTTAAATTGTCTGTAGGTGTGAATGTGAGTGTGTCTGGTTGTCTGTCTCTACATGTCAGCCCTGTGACTGGCCTGTGAACAGTCCAGGGTGTAACCCCGCCTCTCGTCCAATGACAGCTGGGATCCACTCCAGCCCCCCACAACACCGAACAGGAAAAGGGGTGTAGATAATGGATGGATGGGTGCTGGGTCAGCTCAGTGTTAGCCCTTGTTGCATATCATCGCCCACTCTCTCCTCCCAACATTTCCTCTCTTTTCAGCTGTCCTTCCCAATAAAGGAAAAAATGACAGATAACTGAAGCACAAATCACTGGGTACAAAGTTCTGGAAAAAAAAAAAAAGAAGATCTTCAATCATGTGGAAAAAAGTCCAGACCAGTCCAGACTGGAATGTTTTGGTTTTTAGAAGCACGACAGAGATCCATGTTTGTTGCCCAATTTTGGCTGTTGTATTCTGAATCAACACTTCAAACACTGTTATCCATCACCATTCCCTCACAGAGTGTAATGCACTCCTGCAGAGATAAAGGCGGCATGCCTGCATGCAGGCTGGCCCACTTACAGCAATCCACTGTGTGATTCAGCCTTCATCACCGCAGGTCCAAAGCCAGCCTACATTGTGACTAGGAGAGGACTTTTATGGAGGCAGGGATGGCTCAAATATCAAGGCTGGAGTGCTTGATTGATTAGTCCTTTTCCCGAGAGATAGAGGTAATGAAAAGCAGCTTTCTCTCAAAGCTGGAGCTCTGGCTCCAGTCCAAAAGCTGCTCTGCTCGGACAACCGGCCTGTTTGTCTGACAAACGACCGCTCAAAGAAACACAGCAAACGATGTTTGGTTAAAGCAAAACTAACTTCATGAAGATTCTCCTCAATCAAACGTGTTTCTGAGAAACAGCAACCACAATAAGATGGAGGTTAGTGTTGACAGGACTTCAGAGCAGTTCACACAGCTGTGAGAAAATGAAACCCACTAAACACACAGAGCAAACACAGGTGAAAGAGATCGTGTGAACTTGACTTCTGCTTTCCTTTGACTTTGTTCAGTTCAGCCTGAGCTGGGTATCAGCCTTCATATACTGTGTTTACACCGAAGTGCATCCATAACATGAAGTTTGAAACAAGTTTTCATTGATATATTCTGATTTGTTATAATTTAATTTAATTTAATAATTCTAGATTCTGATGGGAGGCCGGTTAGTGTTAGCACCATCATAGCCTCGTTGATGCAGACTTTGTCCGTGTTCTGCAGACTGGGAAGGCTCAGCTGTGTACTGGTCTACACTTTCCTGAATAGAAACTGTTTTATGAGCCGTGCCTCACCTCTCCTATTGGTCTGCTAACCCGCTGTACTCCTGCTTGGAGAGTTAAACAACATACTTTATTAATAGAGGACTTCATGAAGAGTTATATTGAATTAGCCTGTGAACACCTAGTGGTTAAAATGGGTACTGCAGTCCAAATTCTAAACATTGTAGAGAGCTGTCTCCCCCGGCCCCCTCCTCTCTAGAGTTGATGCTCACTCAGGTTGCCATGTGGTGGACACTGAAGCTTCAGTGTTTATCCAGCTCTGCATCAGTCTGTAAACCTTTCTGTGTTCTAACCTCTCTCCATTTTTCAAAAGTATCTCCAACATTGATCCTAGTTTGAGCAGTTCTCTTGCCCGCTTCCATCACTGCAACACCTGTTGACCTGATAACTGCTCTCATATCTGGTAAACCGAGGGGTGTCCAAAACGGCCGTGTGGGGGTGCCTTAAAACCGTCTACCTTCTCTGGTCCAAACAAATCCAGATCATTCAGGACCAGAATCTAAAGTTAGAAGGAGGACATACTGGCTGCTGCATTGTTGTCAGAGAAGCCAGCACTTCAACATAGCATGTTTCCTTAATGTCTGATCATATAGTAAGCTCACTTTATCATTTCACTCACTACACATCTCACTGATTGGTCCTATAAGAATGAAGAAGGCAGAAATCACACAGAAATAATCCAGCCAAGACTTCAAATTTCACACACGGCAAAAAGAGACCTGCATAAAGTTTAGTTGAGTTAATAAGAACAAATGAATCCTGATGTGAAAACGTTATCTTTACATTTTAAACGTCACCCTAACTGACAGAGCTGTAGGAATGATTTATGCTGATGGTGTTTGACGATTCGCTGCTTTGTGAGGTCAGAGACTAAACGCTAATCATCAACGTTATTCCCATCATAATCTATTCTTCATGAGCTGGCTGAGTGAGTTACACAAAGTGACCCCTGGGACCACCCTGACTACATGTTCTCCTTGAACAGGTCCCAATGAGCCTGAACGACTTCCTAAAATAACAATTATAAGACAGGAAGAATAATCGCACACTGAGCCCTGCAGAGCTTTCTGTTTCATATCAAAGAATTGTTATAAAATGATCCTGAAAACCGTTACATGAGTTCTCATTTCAAACCGACGCTCAGTCCTCGCATTGCACTTTTCCATGACTGTACTCTGGAATTAGACTGACCCCGCCGCAGCTCTGAGGAAGATTTCCTTTAGATTAGAACATGATTGATGGCAGGGCGCCGCAACTGAACACCCGCCAGGACGCCACACTGAACTCTAAACATCCACCAGGACGCCGCACTGAACACGGGGCACCCATCAGGACGCCACATTCTCAAAATGCAGAAGGAAAAATCATCTTTGGATGTTTGGAGCTGATTGTGTCCTCGTTTTCTTTTGGTTATTAAGTTTTCTGTTCAATTCTACAATTCACTTAGCAGACGCTTCAACCCAAAGCGACGTACATCAGAGAGTAAGAACAACACAACATACATTGTTCAATTATCATTGCGTGTTTATGTTATAAAAAAATAACTGTTGGGGCGCCGGTAGCCTAGTGGTTAATGCACGCGCACTATGTACGGAGGGTTCAGTACTCCATGTGGGCGGTCCAGGTTCGAGTCCAACCTGTGGCTCTTTTCCTGCATGTCATTCCCCCACTGTCCTCTGCCCTCAATCCAAGATGGAGGCAAGGAAAGCCCCAAAATAAACCTTTAAAAAAAAAAATTAACTATCGTCTGACACGGAGGAGAACGCGTCTGAACCCAGCAGAGTGAGCTGGTTGAGGCGACGTCAGCTAAGGTCCGCCTGCATTTCCTTTCAGTTTTCACAGCCACGGGCAGCAGACGCCTGGACGCCCGAGAGGAAACTCAAAATCCCAGGGTTGTGTTTACCAAGACAGTTAACAACAGTAACTCAAACTTGACTGGCTGATTTTCTAAAGCACGACTTAAAATATCTGCAATGACCCTGGTAGATAAAACGTTCTAACGGTGCACAACATTTAGTATTTCTTGACGTAAAAAAAATCAGTCCCGTCATTCAGCAGCTTCTTCTGTTGAAGTGCTGCGAGAGAAATGTTGGGTTTGGCTTCTGCATGAGCACAAACCTGGCAGCGTCCCGGTGATGACAAGACGTCAGGAAACACCGCCACTGTGTCTGCCTGTTGTTCATAAAATAACACGCTGCATGAAGCTTCCTCTTAAATATTTCCACACTTGTATTGAACTTCAGGAGATCGATGGTAAGCCGACCAGCTGTCAGTGAAGTCGTATGTTTGTGTTACCTTCAGGTGTTGGTGCTGATCCACTCTGAGCTTCAGCCACGACGTCTGAGTCCACCGACAGACCTGGATCAGCTGCAGACAGATACACAGGACACTGTGAGTACAGAGATAAAGACATACATCTTGTATGAGCTCGACTAAAGGATAACACAAGGATCTAATCTTCGAGGAGTCCTGGTGTCCAGATTGCAGCCTGCAGTATGACTCTGCCACATGTCTCTGAATGTCATGTTGAATTAGAGAAACTGCTGGATGAAAAAAAGTCTTTAATGTGATTTAAGACTTTGATCCGTCTCAACAATACTCTGACTTTTCTTTGAGGTGCTGAATGTCTTTCAGAGTTTTGCAGAAAAGTTTAAAATCAGACGTTTTGTTCTCCGAGTCGACCACAGATATTTGTAAAATGTTCAGCTCGCTCCTCTCCTTTGTCTGGATTAATTAACTGCAGCTGTTTGAAGTCTGCTTTTCCAAATTTGGAGAATTCTGACTTTCTTTGCAGATGCAGATAAATTAGAAACTCTCTGTTATAAAGAAATAAAAATGGAATCAGTCGGATTTCTGATGAGTAAAGAGTCACTCTTGGAAAAAGCTGTTTCTGTTTCACTATGTGCATGAAGGTCACATGATGGTGGAAGGTTAAAAATGCCCCCCGCCCCTGTAGTTTCCAGATTATTTCCTGCTGCGTTCTCACATCTGCTCACCCTGACTTGGGTGCTTGAAGACAAAATCCAGCATATGATCGGAGGGAGAAATGTGTCTGGTTTTGTTCACATGCAGAAATCATGTGTGAGAGCCTCATGTGAGGGACGTTCAGTTTGTGTTGAATTTGGCGCCCCCTGTGGACAAAGACGCGCAATTTCTCTCGGTGCCGATCTTGTAGATGGCGTTTCCTGACTTAATGTCTCAGAAGCTTTGTTTTACATCTCTAACATGATACTGACAGTGAATCACTGGCGTGGACATTTTTCCAGATTGTTTCTGAAGCGTGCTGCCCAACCCCCGAGTCACCCTGCTGCTTGTGGGCGTGAACCATGGCGCGAACAAGCAGCTGTCAATCACAGCAGAGCGTACACCATGAGGGTCAAACAAACATGACACATATTGTATATCGCACCAAATGCTTCCAGAAGGAGATTTCAGAGCTCTGTTTATGTATAAAAAGGTATTTTTACGTTATGAAAAAGCCGCCATATTGTTTCCGGTTTGAACGCCGGGGAAAAGTCTTTCCTGTTAATCACAAGAGAATCCAGAATATCCAATCAAATGGCGGATCATGAAGCTCACATCACACTCATTTGAAAACTGTCCACTGTATGTTCTTGAACTTTTGTCCCACCCCTTTCTCTCGCCTCGTGCCTGCGCCTGCTCGCCAGGCATCCCATAATCCTTTGCCCTATTCGCATGTCGCGTCCAATACAAAGAGAATAGTCGTGTATAGTGAGGCCGAGCCGTGACACCGACCCTGCAGCCAGGGGTGAGAGGTCATAAAGAGACGTCAGAATCATTTTAGTCCGTTTCATATCCAGATAAAAAGTGGTCACAGGAGCTTTGACTTTAAGTTTGGATGCTTCCTGAGGTTAAAGGTGAACAGTCATGTTTCTGTCGTCGTATTAAAGTCCTTTATTCCTTCTGCCTGCTTCCTGGTGAACTATTCTTTCTGTTTTAAGCTTTCTGTCTTTACACAAGCAAAGAAACACGATGTTTGTGTATTTCAATCAAAGGGAGACCTATAAACTTTTCCACTGACGGGGGGGAAAAAAACTCTTAATGCCCCAAAATATGACAGGCTTCAATTAGCTTGAGTTATAATTGTGGTTTGATTTCCTGCTAACTTCTTGTTTTCTTTAGAGGAAACTCTTCACTTCACAACAAAATGAGGGAAAATAAAGACAATTGGTGGAAAGTCTGAGTGTCTCTGCGTCTTTTCTTGGTTTTTTACTCTGAAACACGTTGCATACTTTTTGTTTTTTTACGAGTACGATGTGTAATGGATACGCTGGCCGCTCTGTGTGATTGGCTCTGCTCTCCCTGAGAGTTAATCAGGATCAGGCGCATGTGAGCAGCAGACGCGACGTATGGCTCGGTTATTAGCTCCACTCGGCTTGGCGTCCGCCCTGCGTCCCTCCTATACGAGCATGTGCTCCACAGATGTGGCTGCAGGAGGAAATTGGTGGTGCTGAGGACTTCAGTGAAAAAAAAAAAAAAACCAAACAGCATTCCTCCCAGGAGCCACACTTCCCTCCACAGATTGGAGTCTAATCCGGCCGTCGATGCAGGCAGACAGAGGGATTATACCACTGAAGAGTCCTGCATTAGATGCAGCTGCTGGCTTTGTGTGTGCACTCTGTGTGACCATGTCCTTGCAGATCATCTCCGCCCTGCAGCCGAGACCGGTCCACCAACATGTTGGACTTCCTCACCTTCTGGACTTCCTCACTTTGTCCTCCAAACACTACGGCTACATGAATGAAGCTCGGGCAGCAAACAGAACACGAGTCGCTGCTCCCATCTGTTATAAATCTGCTGCGGGCAGGCGTGGAAAAAGGATGAATGGAAACAAGGAAAAGTGATCTGTTTCAGTGAGACGCATAAATATTCTTAATAAAGTGTAAACTTGACAAACCTGTGGTACAGGTGAGCCTGATCTGAGATACTGAATGTGTGCTGCAGTCATTCAGAGCTGTGTTAAAGGTGAGTCAAACTCCAAACATGTTGTTATTCTGTAGTCCGGGTCAAGCCCTACAAACACTAGATCCTACATTTCCCCACAATGCACCAGCCAGCAGCTTAAAACCCTAAACCCTCAGCGCTCAGTGAACGCTCATATCTCTCCACACTTAACGCTGACCCTCTGTTATGAATCTGCACAGAGGTGAGCGGAGACGACTCTGACAGCGGGTCGGGTCACAGCGGCTCAGGTCGATCAAATATCACATCTGCAGATGTTGACTTAGAGGAAGAAGAATGTTTTGTCTTTTCTTTTGAGCTGCCGTCGACACTTTTTTCAGTTTTATTTGGAAATTATGAACACAAGACTAAAAAGTTGTGAAGCTGTTTTAAACGTAGAGACAACAGAAGGTGATAACTTGATGAACCTACCAATAAAAAAAAAAAACAGAAAAAAGCCAACATAGCGTGGGACGCATTCACCGTAATATGGTGCAGCTTTTTGCACAATCTAAACTTCACAAAGCACACACAAGGAATGAATTACCTCATGGTAAAAAAAACTCTAATTCACAAACTCCAGCTCAGTTTGAGTCTCCTGTGCGTTGGCGGTATTTGTGCTGCAGTATCAGCACGGGATGTCTGGCACAAACAGTAGTGTAAAGAGATCATGACAAGAGTTCCACCTCTGGATTATCTTAACATGAATTATCAGTGAATTAAATCTGGAGTGAAATAAACCCAGGGCTAGCAGCGGCTCAACGCGCCACATGCACACACAGTCAGAGTGTGGAGACGGTCTGAAGCTGTTATATGTCCCAGGACTTCATAATGTTCTTGTTCGCTCCATTCAGCGAGGAAGCCTCGTTTTTAAACTGAGGGACTCTTGTCACTTTCTTAAGGGCTCATCGTCTGTACCAGGATCAGACTGAGCCCCGTCCGTGTGGAAGGACGGAGGTGATGAGAGCTTCTCTCCACACTCAACGCAGAACAAGAGCAAACTGCACGGAGAAGGGCGACTTTTATGGGACGTGTTTGCGCCTGAAAACGCTTCAAGCTGTGACCTGCAGGCGTAGCAGATATCAAGAGCAATAGATGACGTTAACTTTTGGAACATATCACATCGTTATTTGTTGTATGCGGCTGTGGCTCAGTGGTGGAGTCGGTTGTCTCTCAACGGAAGGTCGGGGGTTCGATCCCCAGCTCCTGCAGCCACATGTCCGATGTGTCCTTGGGCGAGACACTAAACCCCAAGATGCTCCCACTGCTTTGTCAGCGGCGTGTGAATGTGTAAGAATGGATGAGGTAATACTGATGGAGGTGTGGCCTGCGGTGTGAAAGTGCTTTGATTAGTCAGAAGATGAGAGAGGTGTTATACAAGCTCCTACTTCAAAAGACGGACACATACACACACACACACACACACACACACCGTGTTGTTTGTCTTCTCAACTCTTCAGACTTTTGTTTGCTTCTTTGAGTTTTTACGAGTAAACTTGAAGGTACAGAGGAGCAGGAGCAGGAGCTGAGTGTTCAGTGAGCGGGGACGCGTAATGTGAGCGAGGCCACTGTCACTTTGAGTTTTCAGTCACATTCATCACGCAGAGAGCTGCTCTCAAGTTCTCCCACCACACAGACGAGATGACAGCAGTCGCAGAAGTGATGCGTTCAAACCTTTGAGTCTCCAGACAAATCTCACTTCATGCAGAACAGCCACACCCATCAACATTTAGATGATGTCATCGCAGAGTGATGAGCGGTAATCTATCTGTTAGTTACATTTTCCTCAACCATCACAGAGAGAGAGAGAGAGAGAGAGAGAGAGAAAGAGAAAGACCGAGAGAGCGACAGAGAGAGAGAGAGAGAGACAGACAGACAGAGAGAGAAAGAGAAAGACCGAGAGAGCGACAGAGAGAGAGAGAGAGAGACAGACAGACAGAGAGAGAGAGAGAGAGAGAGAGACAGAGACAGAGAGAGAGAAAGATCGAGAGAGACAGAGAGAGAGAGAGAGAGAGAGACCTTCAGAGATTTTTTACTGAGAGAAATAAACATAAATCTTTTTTCTCGATAAGGATTCACGCTGTGATTTCTGATTGGGCGTCATTTTGCAGTTGTAATTGGCTCTTTTCTGTTTCCTCTGCTCTCCCACTCTGCACTATATATTCTCTCTCTCTCACTCTAAAATGTGATGTTTATGTTTCATAGATAAGACGTGTTTAGACTGAGCTCATTCATCTCTTTATCGGGCCGTTGCAGATTTTCTCTGTGCTCAAACCTTTTAAGACTCTCTTATCAATCTCCTTTCTTTCAAACACAGAATCTGAACGCACCCAGGCTCTCCTAAAAGCACAACTTAGTATAGAGGAATAAGACCGATGAGGAACAACTGTTAACAGAGAAAAATG